TGTGAGAAATTGAAGGAGAACTGACACCTCAAAACCATCTTTTACTATAATGATCCTTTCATCAAGTTTTTAAAGGAAATCGATTCTTTGATAAATTTAGTATATCTAAATAAATGAGAAACTCATCCCTAACTTACAAAAGGACAGGGTCAGTCATATACATGAACCTTGGGTCAGATGGTGTTTGAGATCAGACAGTCGGTCTGGTGGTGTCACTGCACAGTGCAGGGAATGAAGGAAGAATATAGACTATATAGAGCAGGGGTAGGCAACCTTTTAGCAGCATTGTGCCAAAATAGGATTGTGATGTCCCATAGCATGCCGGTCCTATTTTTTTAAACTGAGGTGTGTATATGTTGCTGTATTCTGCTTGTGTTATTTATACTGCTCGTTTTGTATCATTGTATTTGTGCGTATATGAGCTTTTATATTGTATATGTTCATGAGTAGTTTGTGGTATCGTGTATGATACATATGAATGTGGGATATTTGTGGAATTGTGTGTGTGTGTGTGTGTGTGTGTGTGTGGATGGATATGTCACATTGTGTGTTTAGTGGTGTGTATGTGTGGTGCTGTTTGCGGTATTGCATGCGAGAGGCTGCATGTGGGGTTGTGTGCATGTATGTGGACTGTTAGTGGTGTTGCATTTGTGCGGATTGTGTGTGGACTGTTCGTATTATTTGTATGAGGGGAGGGTTATTCTGCATTTCCATGTATATCTAGCAGTGTGTGGTTTCCCTGGGTTCCAGGCAGACCAGGTACAGGTCAAGGACAGGAGCTGCAACAGCAGCTGTGGGCTGCTTTACTACAGTGTGGATTCCCATTCACAAGTGCTGGAATTTGTATTAGCAGAAATCTGAAGTTTCACTGGGACTCCTGATAAGCCAGAGCCTGTTTAGCTCTAGCAGCCTTGAGTGTTGTGCAAAGACACCTCAAGTGCCGTGCACGGGCCACATGCCATAGGTTGCCTACCTCTGATCGAGGTTTTCAAACACTGTCTGACCAAAGGATCATATCTTATACAGGCGATACTCGAAAAATTAAAATATCGTGCAAAAGTTAATTTATTTCAGTAATGCAACGTAAAAGGGGAAACTAATATATGAGGTAGATGCATTATATGCAAAGCAAGATAGTTCAAGCCGTGATTTGTCAAAAGTGCGAGGATTATGGCTTACAGCTCATGAAAACCCCAAATCCACAATCTCAGTATATTATAATATTGTGAAAAGGTGCAATATTCTAGGCGCACAGTGTCCCACTCTAATCAGCTAAGTAAGCCATAACACCTGCAAAGGGTTCCTGAGCCTTTAAATGGTCTCTCAGTCTGGTTCAGTAGGAATCACAATCTTGGAGATGACTGCTGACCTGACAGTTGTGCAGAAAACCATAATGGACACCCTCCATACGGAGGGAAAGCCTCAAAAGGTAATTGTGAAGGAAGTTGGATGTTCCCAAAGTGCTGTATCAAAGCACATTAATAAAAAGTTATGTGGAAGGGAAAAGTGTGGAAGAAAAAAGTGCACAAGCAGCAGGTATGACCGCAGCCTGGAGAGGATTGTCGGGAAAAGGCCATTCAAAAGTGTTGGGGACTTTCACAAGAAGTGGACTGAGGCTGGAGTCAATGCATCAAGAGCCACCACACAGACGGATACATGGGCTTCAGATGTTGTATTCCTCTTGTCAAGCCACTCCTTAGCAACAAATAACGTCAGAAGCGTCTTACCTGGACTAAAGAAAAACATACCTGGTCTGTTGCTCAGTGGTCCAAAAGTCCTCTTTTCTGATGAGAGCAACTTTTGCATCTCATTTGGAAACCAAGGACCCAGAGTATGGAGGAAGAAAGTCCAGTGTGAAGTTTCCACAGTCTGTGTTGATTTGGGGAGCCATGTCATCTGCTGGTGTTGGTCCACTGTGCTTCATTAAGTCCAGGGTCAACACAGCCGTCTACCAGGAGATTTATGGGGATGCTGACTTAATTTTCCAGCAGGACTTGGCACCTGCCCACACTGCCAAAAGCACCAAAGCCTGGTTCAATGACCGTGGGATTACTGTGCTTGATTGGCCAGCAAACTCACCTGACCTGAACCTCAGAGAATCTATGGGGCATTGCCAAGAGAAAGATGAGACATGAGACCGAACAATGCAGAAGAGCTGAAGGCCGCTATTGAAACATCCTGGTCTTTCATAACACCTCAGGCTGATCGCTTCTATGCCATGCCGCATTGTGGCAGTAATTTATGCAGAAGGGGCCCAAACCAAGAACTGAGTCCATACACATGCTTACACTTTTCAGAGGTCCGATATTGTTCTATGTACACTCCTTGTTTTATTGATTGCATGTAATATTCTAATTTACTGAGATTGTGGATTTGGGGGTTTTCATAAACTAAGCCATAATCATGGCACTTATGTCAAATCACAGCTTGAACTATCTTGCTGTGCATGTAATGAGTCTCTCATATATTAGTTTCCCCTTTTACGTTGCATTACTGAAAGAAATGAACTTTTTACATATACTTCATTTAACACAATCTATTTCCTTTTAAAACTTAATGAAAGGATCATTAAATAAAAAGTTTAAAAAAATACTGCATTTGTCATAATATTGTTAAGCTTGCTGTAATAAAACATTTGTATTCTATGATGTCCCACGAGTACAGCAAAGCAACCCTTGTACAGTTTGATGTGAGTTTTGGAAGTTTTAGGGCCAAATCTGACATGTAGTCTTCATTCATGGAAATCTGCCAAAGATTTTCTGTGCTTATGTTGACTTTTAGAACTCATGGCAACCCAAGAAATACAATTACCCCTTTCATCCCCATGGCATACCATTTGCAGAAGTAGACAACCCTGGGCATTCCAAAAGGGGTATGTCCTGTCTTTTCTAGTAGCAACAGTCACAAAGTTGGCCCAATTTAGTATTCATAATTTCTTTTTTGAATTTTTCACACAAAAACTGTGCTTTCACTTATCACAACATTGTCCTTATACGTTTTACTGCTATAAGAGACTCATACTTGTGTTCAGCAATGTCTCACAAGTACAACAGTCCCCTCCCCACCATGAACAGGCTTTTTGAGGTTTTGGAAAAATACAAAGGACGTGTAGGGCTTGCCAATTTCAGTTTTTACACATTGAATTTTAGCAGATTCGTTTGCTGGGCCCATGTTGCCTTTGAAACAGTATGGCAATAAAAATTACCCCCATCACGGCAATTCATTTGTAATATTAGACAACACACATGGCTCTTTCACAGAGTTTTACTTTCTCTAAACAGCAGAACAAGCAAGTAACCTTGTACTACTGACTGTATGTACACCACCTCAAAGTAAATACCTCAATGTAACGGAGAAATCTGGGAAATGTCAGTCTGAGTAGATTGACTTTATACTAAAGGGTTACTCCAACCACCAGTGGCCATGGGGTCAGGAGCGTTTCTGCACATCCAGAGTAATTCTTACTTGTTTGCTGGCAGCTAGTTGCACACACAGCACACTGCCAAAAGACATGAACATCCCCAGACAGAGCACTTCCCACTCCCACTGTGTGCTCCCTCCACAAATTGTACAAGTTATTTTTTAAATAATCCTCCCTCTCTATCAAAAGGCTATGACTGGACTGCGCAAGTGCTAAGTGATTGCGCGTGGAAGATCTGCGCCAGCGCTGAATTAAGGTAAATTTAAACTCTTTTACAGGTTTGACGGGGGATCAAGTAGATATGCCCCTTAGGTTGGAATAACCATTTAAAATTAGAGCCATAAAATATGAGCCTCAAAATAACATCTAAGCTACTAGCTAGGACTAAATGTTACCACACACAAGCCAAAAACACTTTGACTAAGCCAAGGCTTGACAAATTTGTTTGGAATCTAGGAGGGACCTAAAAGAGTAAGGGACCTTTTTTTTAACTAACCGTTTCATTTTGAACGAGAAAAATGCAATTCTTAAAGGGACACTATAGTCACCAGACCACTACAGTTTTAGGTAGTTTTTCTGGTAAATGTAGTCAGTTCCTGCAGGCTTTTCAATATAAACACTTTTTCAGAGAAAAGGCATTGCTGCCTAGTAACACCTCTAGTGACAGTCATCAGACACTGGGTCATTGTTGCAGTACCTACGTTCAGTCTCCACACTCTGCATGGAAGCACTGATGGTTCCCCATAGAGATACATTGATTCAATGTATCTCTAGGAGGAGATGCGGATTGGCACAGAGCTCCCAATACTTTCCTATAGTAAAGAAAAAAAAAAAGCATTGACTTAGCTGAGATCATTAAGATTTATGATCCCAGTCATGGAGGTGGGCCAAGCCACAGCAAATCCAACACAACGTGGGGAAAAAAGGCTAGTAAAAACACCTCTCTCAGACGGGCAGATATCTAAAGGGACACACACACACACACACACACACACTCGTTTACACACTCAAAGTGACTTTTTTTTTTATTTATGTCCACCCTTTCAGAAAGCAGAGTGGATCTTTCATTGGGGTCTGGTGGGGCTGCTCTGATCATTTTCCTGCACTTCCTCTCTGCTCCCCTATGTGCTTTCTGCAGGGATGCTGGGCCAGAGTGACATATTATTCTGGCTCCTGCCATTACTAAACAGCTGCGAGGGAGCAGAGAGGAACTGCTCCCGCCATTACTGCTCCCTTGTTGCAGTCTTCTTGCTACCTTGACCAACCCTATGCTCCCCAGGGCGGCCGGCTTCAATGATCCCCACAGCAGCCAGCTCCAATGGTATCCTGCGCAGCCACCTTCGCTAAAGGGCTAACAAATCCCAGGTGACAGGGTGAAACTTGGTGCCTGGGATTTGTTGAGCCCTGGACTAACCCAGGGGGAACAATCTACCCTAGAATGTCCTTTTAAGAAGTACCTTAGCCAGCACAAAAAAAATAAAAAAAAATATATCACTAATGAAAATAAACGAAAAGGCGAGAAAACCGCATTGAATCTGTGCCAAACATTTTTTCAAATAAATATAACACAGCATGGACATCAGGTCAGATAATTTTATTTAGTATTCACTCAATGCGATATAAAAATTACTTAAACTTTACATAAGTAGTGACTTTCTACATTGGTACGATAAGTGCGTCTTACCATAATACAGTGGATAAATACACTTTTATTAATTTTATCCTCCCCCTCCCCCATAGTGCATATATCCAGGTAATCTGTACAAAGTTCAGGAAAAATGAGAAAGAAAAAAAACAACCAAAATAAACAACTTAATGTACTCTACCAGAGAGGTTTTATAAGGATTTGAACAAAATGCTTAAAAATTGTGTTTGTTTTTTTTGTGCAACCCACCCCTACAGCACTTACTATTGTAACCAGTGACTTGGATTTATCTATTACTTGCTCTTGCACTATGGATCACCAGACTGCTTTGTAAATAATTGAAAATGTACCTACGTGTTCATTACCTACGGGGTGATGTTTAATATGCATATCATGCACTGGTATGGCTTATCTGAGTAATATGGCCAGTACGTCTATTTTCAAGCCATCTGTAATCCGCTTGGAGACATGGACTGTTCGTAAAGCATTTGAAACATTCTGAATATATATACATATTTATTAAAGCCTTAGTAATGCAAGCACAGTGTGCATAGCATTAAAATTATTAAAAAATTGTGTGTTGAGTTTCTCCTCATTTTATTTTTCCCCAAACACCTACACACAAAGGTTCTCATGAAGCCCATGCTTCGTTAGGGCATGATAGGGTAAACCATGCAAATATTGCAGGGTCACGTACCCTTCTGTGACCTGTGTTTAAAGGAAACTCGCAAGCACCGATCCAATTGTATCTTTGCAATTCCACATACTTAAATATTCAGTACAATACATATATTCAGTATAGTATGTAGCCAGTCATCCAGTGCTAGAAACTGAAGCAATTTTTATAATTGAAAGATTTAAACCTAAATTAATGTGCCCAACTTCATAATGGTTCACTACTAGAATAAGAAAATAGTCTTTTTTTGCTGATGCATAATAGGTAGCTATCCTACCCAGGTCACCAGAAAACTCAAACCGTATTCATATCCCTCGTCTCCCTTTCCATGTTATGCTGCAGCTGAACCACCACACTTTCTGTGTATTGCTCCTCATCGCTGCTATCACTGTCATCATCATCGTCACCACCATCACGACCACCACCCTCCCCAAAATCGTCGTCATCTTCATCAGATGACTCTACCACGTTTGGTTGCGTGTGAGATTCAGATATGGCCCCAAACGAATGAGTGCTAGCAGAGGCAATAGGACGCAGTAAGGGTGTGTTTTCAGAGATGTCGTTTTCCTCCTGGCTGCTGTCTGAATCAGACTCAGAGTCTCCTTGTGATGGGACAACCTTTTGCTTGCAAACAGGACATGTCTTCTTAGTCTTGGTCAGCCAAGGGTCAACACACTTGCAGTGATAGGCTGTTAGAAACATTATTAGAGATTAAGAGATTGGTGTTTTAAAACAAAAAGATGTCATTCCTATTTACTTGGTTTTCAGTTACCATTTTATTCTTTCAGTATCTAAAAATTCCAGCAAATAACCATTGGCAAGCATGTCTCACGCTTACTAGAGGAATATAGAGAGACAGACATTGCTCAGATATGATGCACATGCACTTGGAATGTTACGGAGTGCTTCTTTGTGGGAGAAATGATCCAAGGTAGGAATAATTGTGTTTTGGAAAGGAGGATTGTGGTACTAACTGGGACAGTATTACGTTTGTGTAATACCCATGAATTATGGAGACACTGGGAACACCGGTGCAGTTGCAAATGTTCACTTAACGTCTCCATAAAAATAAAATATTTAACTATGATAAAATTATACATGGAGTTCATAATGTGATGTTATAACGTAAACAGAAACTGCAAGACAGGAGTTCATTTGTATTTGGCAGTAGAGATTAGCAGAATGTTGAAGCAAAACAAATCTCCCACCTTATAGGAGCAACTTGCAGCTAATAAATCATTTGATAGACAGTTATTTGTTAAAAATAAGTAATCAATGCTGAATGATCAAGGCTCACATTCACCCTATCCCCAACCCTTAATTCATCCAAACCCTACTTCTTTTACTTTAGCTTTCCCCCCCATCTTTATTGTAGCAAGGTGGTTTGATTGCAATTCGGTCTGAGCCATTTTAAAATGGGAGTCATTCGACCAAAATCTGTTACTAAAGAACCAAGCGGAACAAAAATGGCCATATTTGGCATAAACACATTTGTTGGTTAGTGAACACTTCCTATAATATTCTGTGACTGTGTTGAGAGTCTTTGTCTACAACAATTTGAGCGCTGGAATCGGTTGATGCCTGGGGTATAGTCTACTTACCATGTGAGCAGGGCAGGACTCTGAGTTTATCTCCTTCCTCGTATTCATCCAGACATACTGCACACACGTCATATTCATCCCCTGTAATGAAACAATTCTAAATATGATAAAGAAATTAAGTTATGCTACAAGATAGATAAAACGTGCATTTTTTTTGGGGGGGTGGGAGGCGGGAGGAGAAACAGAGGTGTGATTAACTTAACACAAATTTGTTAAAATGTATCTGAATACAAATTTGTTAAAATGCAACTGAACAAACTATGGCTTAAATTATCAAAATAAAGTGATACGGAATAGTGTGCATGCTGACAATTCACTGCTGTCCGGATTTATTTTTTGTTAAACACTGGCTAAAAATAAAGCAAAAAGCTGCCTTTGCTAAATACTTTCCTCCTTAATCATTTGAAAGAGAAGCCATTGTTTTACCTTAGAAGGACAAATGGCAATTCTCTGAATGCCCCAGTACTTGCACCAATAAACATTATTTGATTAAAAGGGATACTATACACCAGAACTGTTTCATTAAGCCAATAGTTTTTGTTTTAGTAGACAATGCTCCCGCATTCTTACTGCTCAATTCTCTGCCATTTAGGAGACACTTTTGTGTCTGTTTATGCAGCCCTAGTCACACCTCCCCTGGCTGTGACTCACACAGCCAGCATGAAACCCCCCTCCCCCAACAAAAAACGGTTTCATTTTCAATCAGATTGTACAGCATAGTGTGTTGAATTTAGAAGCTATTATCTCCTGCTCTGTTAACTGAACTTTATTCGCACACAGGAGGCTCTAGTGGGTAATTAACACAGAAGGAGATACATTCTGAATTATAAGCCACTGCGCAATAAAATGACAGTCCAATCCTCCTCAGACTAGCATTGGCTACCTAATACACAAATGAGAAAAGTGTAACACATTCAAACTTCCCATAAGAAAGCATTGTGCCCACCAGTGCCCAATATGCAGTGATTTCTGTCCCATTAAGGCTGACATTTTCCCATCTGAGGCCACCCGAGCCCTTCCTCACTTTTTCTTGCTCCAGGTTGTACATCTCGTCTTTGGACACTTAACATTGGTAGGTGCCAGCATATGCACTAGGTTGGAAAGACAGTAGGAAAGATAATCCACTGCAGTCTGATTATTGACATGCTTGTGCAGAGGTCTGTAACTTGATAAATAACTTTGCGAAAGTTTTTAAGTTTTTTTTTTTTTTTTTTTTTTAAATACTTTAGTCTACAGATCTCCAGTTTGCAAACAACTCCACGACTTACTACAGAAATACACTGGACAGTGGCGTACACATGACCCATGGGGCCCCGGTGCAAAAAACTGATCAGGGGAGAGTGCTCCCTCGCGCGCCGGCCACCCAGACAGCCCGCTCGCCGGGTGTCAGCAGGGCCAGCCTCGGTGGGACCTGGGGTGGCTGGCTCCTGGGCCCTGCCCAGGAGAACAGGCTGGCCCAGTAGGTACATACCGGGTCGCAGGGGCGGCCGGGCCCCCTGGTGGGCTGGGCCCGGTCGCAGCCGCGAGCCCTGCGACCCTGGTATGTACGCCACTGACACTGGATGTGTTTTTTTGGGGGGTACTGGCCTCCTTTTTTCAATCACCTCAGACTGGCTCAGAAAGAATCTCAAGAAACATTTTCCAATAGTAAAATGGAAACATGAAACGCACTGGACACAAGCCTTAAGAAACAAGAAAAATACACTACTAAAAATAAACACAACACAAACTCATAATTTCAATTATTTAGTGTGATATAGATTACCTTTCTTAAATTTATGTATGGCGAGTTTCTTTAGTTGATCTTTACGAAGTCTGTTCCTCCTTGCTCTGTGTCTGTCTTGCACAAATTTAGTGATCTGGATGAGAATATGAAACAAACTAAAAGATGTGCATATAAAATATAGTGATAAATTCCATTTAAAAAGATATTCAGTTATTGGTAATCCCTTCCCATCAATCAGCACATGAAGAGTCACAACCGAAAGCAAATAAAATATGTAAAGCTATATACTCTGTGCTCTCTAGTTCCTTTATAAGTAATGAGAGTTTAGTGAATATCAGAATATCCACCACTACTTAGACTGGGTGAGCAAAATAAATACATAGAAACATAGAATGTGACGGCTGATAAACATTTGGCCCATCTTAGTCTGCCCAATTTTCTAAATAAGAGATGGTGAATGCGGGCATCGATCCAGCTACCTCGCACATGCTAAGCCAGCGCTCTACCATTTGAGCTAATCCCCCAAGTTCAACATAATATTGTTATCAAAACAGGAGACAATGGAAAATAATAAAGACTGACAGTTTAATAAGGTTTTAGGGCTACCTTAACAACGAGTAGGGATAATAAAAATAATTTCTCTCTCAATAATGAAACACAAAGGGATGCAGTTGTACTATATAATCTCGCATTGGAGAAAAAGATTGTCAATACAGGAAATTAATAAAAAGTCACAAGGTTTGATTTTTTTTACTTTTTACCTCCCTGCTTGCAAATCCATCTCAATTTACAGTAATATATATTTAAGCACTTAATAGCAGGGATGAACTCTGCGTAAACGTGAAATCTCACTCTCAAAAAAATAAATTACAGAAATGTTGGTGTTTTGAGTTTTTTGGAAACAAAATATTGACAGATATAATTGTTAACATTGTGTGATTACAATCATAGAATTGGATCAACAACAGAAATAGAAGAGTCAAAGTTTAAATATTTATGCTGTACATCACATGGTGATGTCAAAATTGTCTGCGTGTCAAGTGGTCAACAAACAGTATTTTTGTAAACTGTCTGAATTAAAGTCTAAAGAACTGATGCACATTTTTCTAGAATGCCATTCAGTTAATGAGCTGTAAGATGGCAAATTGGTTCAAAATGGGTTAACTTGTAGGCAATTCTGCTCTGGCTGTAAAGCTCAAAAGGAGGAAAAAAAGATATTGAATCCATCAGTCTTGCAAAATAAACATAAGAGAAGCAAGGAAAACAATGATGTGACATTTCGAGTCAGTAGTAAGTGACCAGCTAGAAGTTTTTATAGACCATTTACAACAAGTGCAATTAATCTGCATAAAAGGTAACCCCACTGACCAGAACATTGTTAACAGATTGTTTAATAAAATCACCAAATTCCACATTTGGAATGCTGGGAGTGTTTCTTTCATTTTCTTTTCACACCTTGTAATACAGATTTGTTAAAATACAGTTAAGTAAACATAGTATTGAAAATCCTGGGAACTATTCGTTCTGTGTTTTGTTTTTTTAAATTCCATTACAGTTGGAATAAGTAAATGAAATCGATTACTTTTAGCGTAATGCACTGCTAATATTCTGGACAGAGCTCCAATACATACCATGAAGATAACAATAAGAACCAGACAGATCCCAACTATAATCAGGAACGGTATTAGATAGTACTCCAATGGCAAGTTGACTTCAGGGATTAAAATAATATGGGCACTATAGAAAGCAAAACAAACACATTGGATGTAAAATAAATAAAATACCACCAAGGATTTTTCTTTTAAACAAAAAACTTCATATAAATATTTTAGAGGAACACTTCAAGCACCGCAACACCAATGTTGCCTGCTGTAGTGTTATGGTGCCACTAGGGTTTTGGTGCTCTTCCAGAGTAAGTAGTCAAACCATGCTAGAATTGTCTGCCATCTTACTCTGGGTCCACTGGGCACTTGCTGCTGCCTCTTCCAAAATCAGAAGCTCTTGAGAAGGCTCAGCTGAAATTCTTAGCTGATGCTCTCAGCCAATGACCTGACCCTGTATGGCAGGGATTAGCTCAGTGAAGCTTCCAGCACCAGACACCACAGAACCCAGATAAGTTCTCAAACCATTCCTAAAAACAGTGTAAAGTACTTACTGGAATGTTCATTTAGTTACCAAAACAAGTTTAGCTTAAAGGAGCAGTTTTTGTGTATAGAAGTTTCACTGCCATTTTTGAGTTAAATTACTTTTGTTTCTGTTTATGCAGCCCTAGCCACTCACACACAGCCTGCATGAAAACAAAATAGTTTAATTGTTGATGTAACTTAATTTACGAGTGTTTATCTCCTGCTCTGTAAATTTAATTTATATCACACACAGGAAGTTCCTGCAGATTCTAGCAAGTTATTAACAGAGCAGGAGATAAGAAATTCTAAAATGAAACAGAATTTGCAATAAAGGAAGTGTAAACGTTAGATGACTCTTTACAGGAAGATTTTGGGAAGGCTGTACAAGTCACATGCAGGGGGTGTGACTAGGGCTGCATTAATATGTTGATTTAAATGGCAGAGATTTGAGCAGCAAGACTGCAGGGACATGATCTATACACTTCATTAAGTTAAAGTTGTTTTTGTGACTATAGAGTCCCTTTAATGACAGCAGTGTAAAAATGTAATATTTTGCATACATAGAGAAATAGAGGTACATGTACATTCTATATATAGTCATAATGCAAAACTATTAAGCAAAATATCAGATATTTATATTTTTTTTACTACAAAATAGAATCTTACTTATGGTTTCACAAGATTGTTATGGTCACAAAAATATTGAGATGGAAACATTTTTCATTAGTCTAGATTTAGTGACCATTAAAAATGTCTACCAGTCCTATGGAAATCTTCTTGAATTGCATACTGTTGCTGGAACATTGTCTGCATTATACACAGTGACCATGAAAGGGAGCAATATGGAGTCAATGTACTTGGGGAAATCAGCAGGAACATTCCACAGGTTTGTACATTGAATGTTCCACATTTTGCCCAGAAATTCAAGCTTATCACATTAATGAACCGATGCTTACAGGTCACATAGCTCACGACATAAAATATGTTGTTGAATATTACAATTTGTTTGTGACAGACTTAAAGGACCACTATAGTCACCCTGACCACTTCAGCTCAATGAAGTGGTCTGGGTGCCAGGTTTTAACCCTGTAGCTGTAAACATAGCAGTTTCAGAGAAACTGCTATGTTTACATTGCAGGGTTAATCGAGCCTCTAGTGGCTGTCTTCCTGACAGCTGCTAGAGGCGCTTCCGCGATGCACAATCAGAAAATCGCATTGAGCATGCATAATGTCCATAGGAAAGCATTGAGTAATGCTTTCCTATGGGCGGTTTGAATGCGCACATGGCTCTGGTCGCGGATGCGGCTCCACTCGCTTTTGCGGCTCCACTCAGGAACAGACGTCGGAGGTGGAGCAGGGGTCACCAGCGCCTAGGAAGCCAAGCGGTGGATTAGGGTAAGTGGCCGAAGGGGTTTTAGCCATTCAGCCCAGCAGGAGGGGGGGGGACCTAAAGAATATATAGTGCCAGGGGAAAAAAAAGTTTGTTTTCCTGAAACTATAGTGGTCCTTTAAACATTTTTCAAAAATAACACTAAATAATGAAGAATAAAGATTTATGAATAATGTTCATAAATTGTCATCTGTGCTACAAATTAGAGAATAAAATATCTGTTAAACAGTATTTCTTCAGAGATTCAAAATTTATCACGAAGAAGCAAACAATTGTTTTCTAATTAAATGTTGTAGTTTAAATGAAAGGTATTACAGTACTTTAAATGACTTTGAATAATGAAATGTCTATAATAAATGTTTTGGAATCCAAATTATTCTTATATTCCACACAAAAAAAAAAGAAAAAAAAAAAAATCTGTCGTTTTATATTGTTTAACAAGGAAAAAATAAAACTAAAGCTAAAGCAAGAACAAGCCAAATGTTTGTAAGACATTATAATGCGTAACAAAGGAAAAACACAAACTAGAATATATCAAGAAGTACGAAGAAACAGAGAAGGGGATAATGCAAAGGAGACCAGAAGTTGATTATTTCAGGATTTTTCACTAAAGTGAGAATTCTAACTAAATTTCAGATTCTATGACAAATTGGCTAAATTTGAAGCAAAGTTGGCTTAGAGAATTTTTCCAATTTGGCTATTTTTCCCCCCATAAATTTGAAATTCACTTTGAACGCTCATTTTAATAAATAACCTTGTATTCTTCCAAATTAGCACCCAACAGGCTGAATGAGTACATCATGGGCCATAGTGGAATCTCACACACACTTTGTGTTCTGGAAAATCTACAATTTAGATCAAAACATCCACCCCCACCCCCAAATGTAAAATGCATTTTAAAAACCAATATCCCAGAAGAAGAAAATAATAATCTGCATACAGTGTACTGTATATGACACATTAGGTACCCAGTCTGAAACTAAAACCACTGATCAGATGATCCTTACCCTTTATCCCATGTGAATTCTTCCTTCATAACACGCGCTGAAGACTCCCCAATAAATACAGATGGAATGTCAATCTTCTTCAGAATGTCCACTGGAACACACAAAAACTTACAGTAATTAAAAGGAAAATATACCTACAAATGACGGGGAACCTGCAGTGTTTCTACATTGCAATAAGGGAGAGGACTGCATTAGGAGAATTGGGTGCTTACAGTACAATTTCACTGGCATCTGCGTTCATTGAATGACGCACTTTCTCAAAAAAATTCTAAAAAGTATATTCAAAGCGAATCGGTTTATTCACTAAACTCTGAATTATAGTGAATTTAAATCCAAAATAGCCGATTTGCTACTTTTTCAACTCTGCTATATAGTCACAGCTTGGTTATTTTAGCTTGAGCTTTGTATTGGGGTTTTATTCTGTATTATGGAAAGGTTAGTAAGTAAACCTAGATGTGTAAACCTCAGAAGAGAAGAACTTGCTTTTGAGACCTCTTCCATTTTAATCAGATACAATGTCTATCGATTATACTTCAACATCTAGTACATTTAGAGGCTTACAAGTCACCTGGACTAACTTTGCAGACATGCGGTACTAGAAGGCAATACTTTGCAGTGTAACCTAATGTATTTAATCAGATTTGCATCTATGGTAGTGAACTGGGCATTAATAGAATAACCGTGATTTTACTTGCAAAAAAAAAACAAAAAACCCATCATCCAATCCATTTAAAAGACCAAGTCAGGCCAAAAACAGCCTGCAACGGCTATGGGGTCACATCCATTACGAATGCTCCCTGAACCTAATAGAAATAGAATCTTAAACGTAAGGTCACTGCAACACAAAACAGAACCAGAATGATGTGGAAAAACATGGTTCTGCAAAATCTGAATAATTACATATCTTCTGACACGATCAGCCAATGTACATTATATATCTGTACACTTTAACGATCACAGCCCTGTTATAAGCAACCTTAATTATACATTCAGCAATATGTCCACCTTGTTTCCCCCCATTCTTTACTTTACCAACCTTTTCTCTTGTTTTATAAGAGTTTCATTATACAACAATATACTCTTAATTGGTAGAAAGGTCAGTTACGTACCATCATTGGATCCCATGCTGATAAGGTCATCGGAATCCACATTGTATACTATGGCAGCCTTGTAGCCAGCCTTTTGTGCATTCAGTACCTATTAAAAAAAAAAAAAAAAAAAGTATAGATTAACCCACGATATACATTGAAACAATGCATGTAGTCAGAGCTGCAGTACATAGCGTAATAAGTGTATGTGTAGCTCTTGATCAAAGTAGACAGTTCCCTGGCGGGAGAGAGAGAGAGACTCACCCTAGGGCACCTGTGATACCGGCTACCCACACCTGCTGGAACACTTAACTAGCCAAGCGGTTACAAATGTGACAGGTTTTTCTGTTTATGTTTACATTCCCTTTTAATAGGGATCAATATACCCAGCAAAGTTAGTTTACTCGTTAACCACATCTATTATGTCTCTCCCTAAACTACCATGCATGGGCCACAGGGCTCATATGACTAATTACTCTGGTTCAGCATGTTTTAAGAGTGCTAGAATGTAATCATAATAGACACTAAACTTAACATGTCTTATCAATGCAGCACACAATATGACTTAAATTGTCTACACACTGTAGTGCTAAGCAGACCATTAGCAGCATGTTTTTGACCTTCTGAAACTCAGTTATATGTGCTCTAACTTATCGTTACTAAACAAGCCTTGAGATATCTTTGTTCAAACAATTCAAAACTATTAAAAGTTTTTAAAAAATTAAAATATATTAATGCGATGACACTCCTAGAGACCCTACAATATAGCATATAGGTCATTCTACCCATACAACTACATCTCCTTTATGTAGAAAATATGTTAGGCCCTGCTATGCCAAGCGACTACTGCTAAATGTTGAATAACCTGAGAGTAATAGTGGATGAATCTAGTGAATGTATAAAACAAAAAATGTGCGATTATGCATGCCACTGTCAAGCTCTTTTATAGGTGGCTATACGTTGATACACGCTGCTGTGGCGTTTGTTTATAAGCATTGATATCTCTCTATGAGAATCACTTTCACTTTGAATCACAGCTCATAGTAAGGCAGGAATTTTTCTGTGGTCTGATTGACAGACAGAAGGTGTCACTAAGGGTATTTAGAAAAATACAGTTGTGTGTTTGTGTTTATTTCAGTGGCTAAGGTTCCAGCTTCAGCTTGCTCCCTTATGGCTTATTTTATAAATAAAGTGTGTATCATTTGTGCAAGAACACAAAACAAAAAGCACACACTATTGTAGTCACAGTACTATGTAATATACCATGCTAACCTTGAATACTCCATACCAGTTAATTAAAATAATGCACAAATTCCAGTGATAGCGTTCAAATAGGTTTTGCAGAAATGGATTTTTAGCCTTTTAATGCAGTATTGCACAATACCCATTCAAGATGCAGTTTATGGTGAATTAACATATATACATAGCTTAAATTAGGTCATGCATGTGCTGGGCAAAAAGGTGGATCATCTTAGCTGCAGAAGTTAAATTCTGCGAAGAAAACATTCAAGCAGTTAGGTAGGGTGTGACGGTCTGTATATGTGTTACTGTCTGTCATTCCCATAAAGTAATATCGCCAATAATCCACAAGGTAAAATATCGCTGGTATCGCATAATAATCCACACATGAGCCAAAGCTTAACCCCTTAAGGACTGGACTGTTTTTGCGATGTTGTACATTTGCGACCAGGAATATTTTTACACTTTTGTGGTGTTTGTGTTTGGCTGTAATTTTCCGCTTTCTCATTTACTGTTCCCATACAAATTATATATTGTTTTTTCAGGACAAAATGGGCTTTCTTTACATACCATTATTTATATAATCTCATGTATTTTAATTTAAAAAAAATACAAAAATCTGATGAAAAATTGAAAAAAATACATGTTTTTGACTTTTACTTGAAAAATCTTTTACTCATCTACAAAAGCGAATGAAAAAAACTGCTAAATAGATTCAAAATTTTGTCCTGAGTTTAAAAATACCTAGTGTTTACGTGCTTTTTTGCTTTTTTTGCATGTTATAGGGCTATAGGTACAAGTAGGATATTGCGGTTTCAAAACATACATTTTTAAAATTTATCAATAGTGACATTGTAACACTATTATCTGTCATAAATCTCTGAATAACACCCCACATGTACATATTTTTTTTAAAGTAGACAACCCAGGGTATTCAATATGGGGTATGTCCAGTCTTTTTTAGTAGCCACTTAGTCGAAAACACTGGCCAAAGTAAGCATTCATATTTGTTTGTGTGTGAAAAAAGTAAAAAAACTAAATTGAACGCTAATTTTGGCCAGTGTTTGTGACCAAGTGGTTACTAAAAAGACTGGACATACCCCATTTGCAATACCTTGGGTTGTCTTCTTTTGCAAATGGTATGCCATCATGGGGGTAATTCTCATTCCTGGGCTACCATACGCTCTCAAAGGCAACGTAACCAACCTGGCCATTTTCAATGTAAAAATATTTGACCCATATATTTGACCTTGTAACTTTCAAAAATGCTATAAAACCTGTACATGGGGGGTACTGTTTTACTCGGGAGACATCGCTGAACACAAATATTAGTGTTTAAAAACTGGAAAACGTATCACAACAATTATATCATCAGTAAAAGTGCTGTTTGTGTGTGAAAAATGCAAAAAAAGTAACTTTCACTGACAATATCATCGCTGTGATATGTTTTACTGTTGTGAATCACTAATATTTGTGTTCAGCGAAGTCTCCCGAGTAAAACAGTACCCCCCATGTACAGGTTTTAGGGTGTCGTAGAACGTTACAGGGTAAAATACAGTGCTAGCCAATTAAATTCTCTGGAATTTCGGCCTGGGTTGGCAGGCAGGTCCCTCAAATTGCAATCAATAAAATTACTGAATTATGTAAAAATATTACATAAATACGCACGTAGAATTTAAATATATATGCATATTTATATATTTGAAGTCTATGTGTATATTTATATAATTATTTATGTAATTTTGTATATGGACGTATGTATATTTCTTATTATTTTTATTTATTTTATATACATAGATATATATATACAAATTCATTCTAAGTGTATTTTGATATAAATATATATATATTAATTTTAAAATACAGTTAGAATAAAATTTCATATAGCTATATAATTTTTTTAAAAATTTTTATTATTATTTTTAAAAAAAATTATTTAATTTAAATTACTTATTAGTTATATTTTATAATAATATATATATACAATATATATAGTTATTATATATATTATATATATACGTGTGTAATTTAATTATAAGTGTATTTTTATATTAATATAAGTACATATTAATATAAAAATACACTTAGTATGGCATTTATATATGATATATAGACATATATTATATAGATATAATATATGTCTATATATCATATTTATACATATATAATTATTATTATTTTTTTTATTACCATTAACTTTAATTTTTTTTCTGATTTTACAGTTGCAGGGAGACTGCCTGTCAGTACAGACAGTCCCCCTGCAGGCAGCACTATGGACACCTATTGTGACCATGTGATCGCTGTGTTAAGCGATCACATGGCCACAGGGGTCCTAATCTGCCGTGGGGAGACTGTCTGGGCTGCAGGCAGTCTCCCCACAACCGGAGGAACACTGATCGCCGCCGGGGGAACGACGGCGATCAGGTAAGTAGCCCCAGACCGTTTGGACGGTTCAGGACCGTCATCGGTCGGCAAGGCAAAAATGCCGATGACGGTCCTGAACCGTCCTCGGTCCTTAAGGGGTTAATGCTGGAACAAGACTGGTTTAATGGCAGGCAAAGGCATTCAATTTATACAGCACTCTGTCATTTTACACAGCACTCTGATTGGTTAGATTCCAAGCCCACCAATCAGTGTTATGAGTCAAATTACACCGCGTGGGAATTCCAGAGAACTTTCCCACGCTGTGTAAAATGACAAAGAGCACTCTGATTGGCTTAAACCAACCAGTGTTCTTAGCCTGATTGCACGGCAGGGCAAGTCTTTATAAGCCTTCATCCGCCCTGCAGAGATCTGTCTGTGCGGAGCCCTCCATGGCTGAAGATGGATTTTATTTTAGTGTCGGGTTTCTTTTTCGTCAGGCTTTTTTTTTTGCGCTCGGATTTATTTTATTTTAAGTTCGACGGGTATTATGCTTTTTTTAGTTGGCCTTTTTGGGGGCTGGAAATGAATATTTTAGAAGAAAGAAGACATCAAATGGTAAGTTTTATTTACATGTTCGTTATTTTATTCCCCCCTCACTATTTTTAGTGTGAGGGGGGTAGGTAGGGGATAGTTTTTATTTGGGTGGGGGGTAAATAGGGGAAAAAAATAAAAAATAACAAGCATACTCACATGCATACATTTATATACAAATGTATGAAATTACCACACACACACACAAAAAAAATGATTTTACATACTGATGATGCATAATCTAGAATTTAAAAACCGCATGTGCCTCTGAATTCCACTTACAATTTAAACTGTAAGCATTCACCTTCCCATGACACTGCAGTACAGTTTGAAGCTACATATTGCAGAAAAACTCCAAGTATCGCATGACAAGTCATCATTAAGGAGTACCTAAATTCTCAACCGAATAATAATGAGATTGTCACATTTGCACAAATTCTTTTCTTCTTGTTACAGATTGTTTGAGATTATCAGGTTTTAATATTGCTGCTTAATGTCATTCATTCTGAATGCCAAGATGTTTCCATTTAAAAATGATGAATAACACAAGGATGTTTCTTCAGTCCGACTTGGAAATTAATACCAAGAACGGTCCACACTGGCTTAACAATATTATTAAATAACACAAATTAAAAAAAATAAAATAAAATAAAAATAAAAACTAGGATGGCAAAAATCACAGTCAACAAATAAAAGTTTACAAAAGATTAGAAGTAGCCCAGTTCAAATAAGCGTACAAACTTAAAGACAGGGTGAGGCAAAGAAGAGATAAAATAAAAGTACTTCTGTGCTCAGTGCAGAAGGTAGGATAGTATCTTAATGCTGACCTCATGAACCTTAAAACAGTTAAAGGGGTCACCAAAACAACTTTAGCTTAATGAAGCAGTTTTGGTGTACAGATCATGCTCCTGCAGTCTCACTGCTCAATTCTCTATCATTTAGGGCTTAAATCACTTTCTTTATACAGCCCTAGTCACACCTCCCTGCATGTGACTTGGGCAGCCTTCCTGAACACTTCCTGTAAAGAGAAATCTAATGTTTGCACTTCCTTTATTGCAAATTCTGTTTAAGAATTTCTCATCTCCTGCTCTGTTAATAGCTTTCTAGTCCCTGCTGGAGCCTCATGTATGCAATTAAAATTCAAATTACAGAGCAGGAGAGAACTTTTAAAGTAGGCTACTATATGAAAATTTAATCATTTTTCCATGCAGGCTGTGTCAATCACAACCATGGGAGGTGTGGCCAGGGCTGCATAACCATAAAGAAAAAAGTGCTTTAACTTCTACATGACAGAAAATTGAGCAGTGAGTCTTTAGAGGCATGATGTATACACTAAAACTGTGTCATGATGCTAAAGTAGTATTGGTGGCTAGTGTCCCTTTAAGTTACAAAAGCAAGTCATGTCTGGAAGAGCTTTTGCACATATTGGTTATCTCATGGTCTGAATTCTTTAGGTCAATCCTGCCTGTTACAAGTTTTTAACTTTGTAAGTTAACCCAGGTTCTTTTCCTTTTACTCAATGTACAAAGTCCTGCAGAATGTATTTAAACATTTATAGAACTCCATCCATACATTGTCGGCATTCTCTGATCAAGGATGACCTCTTATATCGCTTCTTCTCAAGAGGTTCCCCATTTAAGATGTTTAAGAATATTTCTAATAGCTACCACATGTTGCACAGCTTTGTACATGGAATGGTCAGGAAAATAGTTAAAATGGTTTCAGGAAATTGTGAAAACCAGAGCTAGTGCAGAACAGGAATTCCTGAAATTCCAAAAAGGTAGTAGAGTGGCAACAGGACCACCTAGTCAAGCAATCACATTACTAGACAAAAGCAGATACATCACATAATAAATGGACTCTACTCTCCATTACTAAATTCTGAAGATTATTTTAGAAAAAGCAAGGTATGCCCTAGATTAACATATCCAGCGTTAAAAAAAAAAAAAAGAAAAAAAGAAAAAAAAAAGAAAAAGAAAAACCCAGCAGAGATCTGTTCTATTTTTGAAAACAGGCCTATTATAATAAAATAAAAACAATGTTATTGCAGGTTAGGTTTTTAAAGATCCAAAAGTAGCATTTAGAGATTTAGGATGTAACCACTTGCGGGGATACCGTGTTGAGGTTACGATGTAGTGTCAGTTGTGAGGCAAGATAACATTCCATTCACAATTACAAACTCTTAGAAGACTTTATCTCTCCAGTCCAGCATACACCAGGGAATGGGCCAAAGACCTCAATTGCACTTCATCATACTCTGACTGCAAAAAAGATTTACTCTAGTACCCATCACACCTTCAAGAAGTTAACTTTAAAAGGTATATTAAAAAGGCACCCAGTCCATATCATCTCATTGAAGCAGTCTGGACATAGTGTCTTAGTCCCCTTAATCCCCGACCCCACAATGTAAAAAACACGGGCATTTCTCTAAAAATGTATTTTACATTGCAGGGTTAAGACTGACTCTAGTGGCACTTCCCGCAGTTTAACTCCGCATAAAGATATCCAACATTTTGCCATACCCTCAGGATAGCCTTGAGTTAATGCTTTCCTATGTGGAAGGCCTAATGCGCGTGCAGAGCTCGCCATTCATGCTCGTTAAGTTTTCGTATTGCACTGACATCGGAGGAGATCAGTCCACCACCGAGGTCAATCAGGTAAGAGTTTAAACCCACCCAAATCAAAATAAATCCAATGCATCTTCATGACACTCATTAGCAGCATTCAATGTCTTCATACTGTGACATTTTAATGCAAAGAACTTCAAATATCAATGACTCAAGGAGGAAGCACATCTAGCGGGTGTCTGCTCAGAAGCCACTAGTCAACCTTCGACACTCCAGATGTTTAAGACTACACCTCCCATGATGCTTTGCCAGCATTATAGGTGTAAGGATTATGGGGGATACTCTTAATACTATTAAAAGCACATATTTTATTCCCATTACCTCGGTTTCCTGCAGTGACCAAACAATCATGATTTAGGCGAGTGTTACACTTGCTGTAAGCCACACCTCTTCGGCATTCCCCTGTTTAGGAAGGCCATTCTTCCCATAACCGGTTAAAAGTCCCCAACCACTTTGTTGGCTTTGAGTTAAATACATTTTATCTGTTTTCTCTCTCTCCATTCTCAGACTGCCTGTCCAAAGCTGCTGCAATACATCATTCTGGCTCTTTCTCTCCTCATTTGTGCTGCTGCACTCACACAGAGCCTGCCCCTACTCCCTACTTCCCCTGCAGGTATTGCTCTCATTTAGGATGAATTTAAGCAGGAGAGCTGCCCAGAAGAGGCTTTCCCTGATAATAGACAAGCAGAGCACTTATTGTCTCAGTGCTGATCATGGTGAACTGACATGAGCGGAAAAGGGCTGATTTAAAACATCTTAATTTAGAGAAATCTAAATCTAAGCTAGTAATTCTAGCACAATGCCTAGATGAAATTTGATTGTCTATAATTTAAGATTAAGTTGTATTTGTCATGGTGCCCTTTAAGGTGTAGTGGTTTTGGTGCTTACAATGCACCTTTGAGAGACAGTTTTCTCTGGTTCTTACAACATTTATAAAGTTCTGTTCTAGGTGAACATTTTCTCTACAAAGAAAGATTGACCTAATAATGTACAGATCCTGCAAACTCTAATTTAGGAGATTAGAAGGAGTATGCCTTACTAGCTGCAAAACCCCCAATATCTTTTAAACAAACACACAAAATTAAGCCCTAAACTCACACTCCCATTACTTCTGAGTGATAATTGCCTTGAGCTCTAGAAGTTATGGTGCTCAGCCAAAGATGTATTAATATTTCAAAAGGACCCCAGGCAGGTTACCAGTTTAACCTCCCCCCTTCAAGTGAATGTTTAGTTCCAGTGCCCCTGAGCCCAGGCATCACCTTATGGATAATTCTGCGCTGTGCTCAGCAAGTCCTGCAGTGGACAAAAGCAGGTTTGGAAATATTATATTTGCACAATATCTGCACATAACCCCCTTCCTAAAAAAAAAAAAAAAATTTTTAAAAAAATCTACAAGTAGAGTTTTTCAGGTAACTCTTAGGGCACCCGATGCCCTCTACAAATTTCAGGTTAAAGGAACACTCCAAGCACCATAACCACTACAGCTTTCTGTAGTTATGAGTGCCCTAGTGTTCCCCCATTATAGTCAAAGAGTTTGCCTTCTTACCTGGGTCCGACTGGCACCAATCCCGGCCTTCGCTACTAATAATGAAAAGCCAGAAGCTTCTGTCAAACCGAAGCCTTACTGTGAAAGGCTTCACTGATTGACTGAGAGTGATCAGAAACACTCAGCCAATAAGCTAACCCAGCACTGCAGCACTTATCTGAAGAGAACTTACAGAAGCTCCTGCTTAGGAGTTTCCAGCTTTCCATCGTTCATAGTGGAGGCAAGAAACAGCACACTGCACACCCCAGGTAAGAACTCAAACTGTTCTGAAATGGTTTAACTACTTACAAGGGAGGACACCAGGGCACCATAACCACTATATTGGTTTAGTGCTTGGAGCCTTTAAAAACTAAAACCTATAAATGAATAATTTCATAAAAATGTAAATCAACAATGTTTACATAAAAAGAATGGTATTAGTCTTGACAATTATCTTTTGTTTTAGGCTAGCAACAAAACAAAGTCAAAGAAGGATAAGGCTATACAGGTTTCCACTAATAGAGAATTAGGGTCATTGCAACCAACCTCATGTGATGCAATACAGATCAACAAATTGCTTCACGGAAGTGGAACATCTCTGGAGAAGTTATAATCTTACATCTCTAGAGATAAACTTTCCAAAGCAGCTTGATATGTATGAAGAGACAAAAACAAGTGTGCTGTGAAAAATACACAGCCCTACTAATATACAAAAGTGTGAAAGGACACACTTCCATCATTCACAGAGGAGAATTAACCATTCATTAGCCTGCATTACTGCATCAAATTATGTATGTTCTTATAAGGGGGTGGAAGGGTGAGACTGTCAGATGGTCAAAAAAATTGAGCCATCGGCATGAAAATTAAAGGATTTGCAATTACTTGCTTATTTAGAGATTGCCTTTATATTGCACTTGACAGAGATTCTCATCAAATCTTGTTCCTGACAGCCAGTAATTACATATCCAAACCTCAGATTCATGACATGGTGTTTGGGCCCTTTTAAACTGATCTTACACAGAGTTGGATCATAGTCTGCCCTGAGATGCCAGGTTAAAGGGACACTCCAGGCACCCAGACCACTTCTGCCCATTGGAGTGATCTGGGTGCCAACTCCCACTACCCTTAACCCTGCAACTGTAAATATTGCAGTTTTCATAAACTGCAATATTTACCTTGCGGGGTTAACTCCTCCTCTAGTGGCTGTCTACTAGACAGCCACCAGAGGGCACTTCCTGGTTCATAGCACAGATTTTCTGTGCTATAGCGTCGCTGGACGTCCTCACGCTATGTGAGGACCTCCAGCGTCGCTAAAATCCCCACAGGGAAGCATTGAAAGCATTGGGGAGATCTAATGCGCCCCGCTGGCGGCCGCATATGCGCAATCGGTCTCCCCCTCCGGATGACGTCACCAGGGGAGGAGCGTGGGCGGACCCTGGACCAGCACAGAGGGACATCAGCGCGGGCTACAGTAAGTCACTGATGGGGTTTAAAACCCTTCAGCAACCTGAGATGGGGGTGGGAGGGAGAGGGGACCTGGCACTGGAGTGTTCCTTTAAGAACACCTATGGCTTTTCCCCAAAGCATCACCTAGAAAATTAGTTGTGGACGTCTTATTTCTGAACGGCTTGATGCATGTTACAAATACAATGGGGTTTCTCATTCTCCTATAGAGTGCCTGCCTGCGTTTGACTGCCCATTTTAATGAACAACTGACCACTGCTTGGAAGCAACTGCAAAGGTGCTGTAACAGGTGGTGATTAGCACGTTACCAACCACTGCTCACACCTATCCAAAATTGACATGTCAAACAATAAGACCGTAAAATTTCAATTTGTACAGTTATTCAAAATTTCTAAAGCTTTATGTAAGGAAGTATTTAAATAGGTCAAATAACAGGTTAATGTGGGTACATTAGTAGACTAGTTCTTAAATAGAACAAAAATACATTTAAAGCAAAATGTGATTTAGAATGTTCTAATGTCACCCCGGTTCTGCCGCATTCCATGGCATCAGCACTAGTTCCATACAGTTTGGATGGCTTAAAGCAGTGTCATAATGTTCAATTTCGAGGCAGTTTATACCCAGCTGTCCTCCTAGATCAGGGGTAGGCAACCTATGGCACGTGTGCCATGCACGGCACTCAAGGTATCTTTGCATGGCAATCAAGACTGCTAGAGCCAAACGGGCTCTGGCCTATCAGGAGTCCCAGTGAAACTTCAGGTATCTGCTAATACGAAAAGGTGGTGAAGGACAATCCTCAATTTATGCATTGCAGCACATTGGGGAAGTGATCTCAGATCACTTCTTTCCAGCACTTGTGAATGGGAATCCACACTGTAAGTAGAGCAGCCCACAGCTGCAGTTGCAGCTCCTGTTCTTGACCTGTACCTGGCCAGCCTGATCCACTGGAATCCAGGGAAGCCTCACACTGCTAGATCTACAGAGGAATGCAGAATAACCCTCCCCTCATACAAATAATATAAACAGCCCACACCAGGGGAGGGCTGGCAGCCTTAGGCCTGGGGGGCAAAACCAGTCAAGTGGCCCATTGCACCACCAAATCAGTGCAATGGTGCCCACCTTTTCCTGGTTTTATAACGGATATTGATGTTATGCTAATGAGTAGCTCTTTGCCATACCCACTTTCAATGTTGTCAGAGTGCAGGCTGAGAATCTCTGAGCCTGTGCTCTGACTCACTAACTGAGCGCCGGAACCATGAGGGAGAGGCTATAATCTGACTGCACCTACTGCTGGTGCGCACCAGTGGACCACCAGCGAATCGTTTAAATTGAATATGCTGGTGTCCCCAACTTGTGAGCTGTGTTGGCCGCCGGGCGCCTCTGTTGTCATGGCACCCTGCGTGACCGCACAGCGTGCACACCCCAACGGCTGGCCCTGCTGACACACACTGATGTTACTACTTAGAAATCCCTCAATATTAATACAGACATCAGAGTAAACACCAATAAACTGTGGAAACAGAGCTGATCCCCCCAAATTTATAAAGATTTGCTTACTGGATTTGTTGTAAGATTAAATCATGCCTCCTCCTCTCTCTCTCCCATGCACTGCTCTGTAGGCTGGGAGGAAGTGAAGAGTAATCACATTCTCCCAGCACAGCACCACCGGTGGCTGCATGGGGAACAGCTGTATTTGCCACCCCCATGTGACATCACATATATATATCCCCAACACGCTACGGGACATCACAATCCTATTTCTGCATAGTGCTGCTGAAAGGTTGCCTACCCCTGTCCTATATCATTGATATTTGTAAAACACACCTTGCCGGTGTTTTGTACATTGACTTACTGTAATTCTAAGTATTAGTCCCAGGATAACCCCATTTGTCCCTTTTTTATTTTATTTATTCTTCTCCCTGCCATTTTCCAATCATCTCACTTTATAACACTTTGTTCTCCAGTCTAACAAGCCATATACAAGCCATAAATTGTAGTCTAATTTACCCTGAAAGACTGTAGCAATTTGTATTTTTTTCTTTTATCATTTAGTACATGCAACTGGACTCCATGGTTTTGTTTTGCAGAGCTCTATATAGTACAGCTGTAAGTTTGCATAGCTCCTTTCATTTAAAAGAACACTCTGGGAACCAGTACAACCAACGTGGTTGATAGATTTTGGCCTCATTAATATGATGTATTTTTTGCATGCTAAAATCTTTATAGATTTTGCATACAAAAATTAAATAAAAATATAATTGTTTTGCAGCCCCAACAGTACAGAGTGCGCGTTTATTATTTTTTAATTCACAACCTGGCTGCAGACAGTCAGGATATCACTAGCTGTTTATAGGTTTTCTACCTGCATGCTTTCTTGGGTGTCCTCTCCTAATGCAGGTTGCTTTGTAGTTCAGATCACTCAGTACTGTCGGTGGCGGAGCTGCGTGCGTACATTTGAAAAGTTAGTCTTTTTCTGGAGTGAGGTATGTGTGTCTAAAGAGGCTGGCTTATGGTGCAACATTCTCCAAAACAATTATTTAATGCCAAAACTATAAAGGTTTGAGTATGCAAAAAAATACAGCATACTGGTGAGGCCAAAACCTACCAAATACATTAAAATAGTATTGGTGTCCGGAGTGTCTCTAAGAACTGTGAGATTGTTCACTGACACAAATTATGGTATTACAGCACCTTAACAGCCAGTTAGAAGAAGGAAATACCCACACCCCTTAGTTTGGAATTTACACAGTCCTAAACAGAAGCAGGTTTCCATACCTTATTAAGTAACAGAAGTAAAGACGCACAATTTGATTTGCTGTATTGCAACAACTTGTTTGAGAATTCACAGACCCATGTGTGAGCAGTACACAGCCTGAAGCACGTATGCAGCCCATTTGCAATTTTCAGCTTCCCAGAATATAATTATTTTGCTCCTTTCTTGTTACAAAATACAAAAAAATGATAATAGGTACTGATCTCATTTGCTGCATATCTGCAGTTTCTGCAAGAGCCAAGAAAGGGCCGTTTTAAAAGCCACTCCTGATTTTATCATTGATTGCTCTCAATGGAAACAATGCTTATCCCATAAACTGTAAGTTTAAAAGAATACATATTTCAATACGTCAAGAGGAACATACATGAATCAGGGTGCTTTGAGTCACAGCAATGTATGTTCTGCTGCCCATCACACAGTACAATGCACCAGTGTGCAGGCTTACTTTAACTGCACTTCCTTCACATAAGTAATGAGAACATCATTTACCATAGTGATAGATTATATATGGAACCCATTAAGAACCAATGACAACCAGCTTTAAGGTTCTAATTCCCTACCCACACAAAACCATGACTCACAGCACCCGGAGGAAGGAAAAGAATGTCAGAAAAATGAAAGATTAAAGCAGTAAAGCTAATGCTGGCTCTGCAGCAACTCTTTCTGGTGTCTAATACAGCGTAGTGATTTCCTTGCCCAGGACAAAGGCAAGGAATCCCTAAAGGCCAGTCCTGAATTGGGGAACTATTTTGTGCAACAACTAACCAGTTGACGAGAGTGGTCATGTACTGTCCAGTATGATCTTGGTGACTGGTAAATAAGAGAGGGTAGGAAGATTGGGTCAGAGAAGGATAAGGTAATGTTGGCACTTTTGCTTTAAATTAAGATGCAATAAGGGGTGTGTGTTCGAGAAACAGGACTAGTTTGAAAAGGTTATACAAACTGAAGAAAAGTTGCTCTGGGTGAGAAGAGAAGATGATTAATGAACTGAAACCACTTGATCTCAAGGGAGTTTAAAATCAGTACAAAAGGAGGATGAGAGTGTGTGGACATCCAAGGGATTTCTCTACCAAAGAGGCTGTCAAACTGTAACATTAACATGTGTAACTGATCCAAAGATTTTGTCTTCACAATGCATGAAGTCAACCAATTTGTTACCAAATGAAGAAAGTACACTCCATGCTGCCCAGCAATTTGGTGCTAATCCCAAAGTACAGTTAAATTACCATCACACTTTCATAATCTATACCCTGCAGAACAGTTGACTGCAAATAAAATTGGCATCACAAAGTAGCCCACGCTCAGATCACTTTACAAACAATCTGAGAATACGTAGTGCCGGGTATGGCCGGCTACGTAGGCTACAAATTCAAGCTGAAAAGCCTCGTTTTTGGAAGGTCCAACCCCCCGTCACTATCATGCCCCAACTTCCCAACTCCCAATTTTGCTTGAGGTATTCCTTATTAACCCATAATCTCTTGCCCAACAGGAGATTACAAGTTAAAATAAAACCCAAAACACCAGAAATAGATGCCCCTGATTTGATGTGTCTTCCTGTTGTGCAACTGCTAGCAGACCCACTAAATAGCGAATCAATGGGAAATTTTTAAAGCAGAGTTTTGTTTATATTTACTATTTTTGTGCAATGTTTATTGATTTATGTATGCAATGCATTACATTACAAAGTAGGTGGTCAATTGTATTCCCTTTAGTTTTTATCTTTCAGAGCTCACAAGCAAGCATATTTTTGTTAAATATAGTTAATAAGTAAATAGAATATTCAAAAACCCATGGGTTCCCATTTTATGTTAGAAAAGTTATACTTCTCATGGAAGAATAACAGGAGATGTAATAAATGTCAAAAATTAAACCCTGGGGCGTGTCCGGCAGCCGAAGAAGATGGCGGCTTAAACCCGGAGCTCCTCGTGGCGCCCGCAATAACCGCTACACACAAGCCGTCCCAGCACACCCACACACCGCAGATGGGCCGCACAAAGAGGCAGACAGACCCTGGCAGCACCCCTAGACCCCCGGGACACGGGGGAGATCAAACGATCCGGTCATACCTGCAGGCGACGCCCTGGGCGCGGACACCGCAACGGGAGATGGAGGCCGCAAGCCAGATCATAGAATCACTCCCATCCACACCAGCCAGGTTCTCCCCAACACTGTCAGAGTCACAGCAGCAGCAGCAAGATGGTGAGTGGAGGGATATCATACCCAACCTACTTACCAAGTCAGATTTTGAGGCACTCTCAGACCGCCCTGGGCGGGTGGTACGCGAGGAAGTGGCCCAGCTGCGCGCCGACATGGCGAATGTGGAGGCCCGCATGGCGGTGGCAGAAACCGAGACCAGGGCACTGAGAACAGACTTAGAGCAAACCAACACAGCAGTTATGACCCAAGAGGCAGATATAGCATACCTCACCACGTGGGTTGACGATTTGGATAACCGTGGCCGCAGACTGAACCTGCGGGTCCGCGGGGTGAGAGAAGGGGGCCCCTCAGAGAACGTGCCAGAAGTGCTTCGGCAAATTTTCACCCACATACTGGGGGGCCAACAAGTACCCAGAATTGGCCTGGTCCGCGCACATAGGGCACTAAGACCCCTACCTGCGCCAGAAGAACAGCCCAGGGACATCATATGCTGCCTCGACAACTATCACCTTAAGGAAGAAATACTACGCACAGCCCGCCGCATGGGGGCCGTCCGCATGGAAGGCCAGACTATCTCCGTCTACCAAGATTTATCCAGATACACCCTGCAAGCCAGGAGAGCCCTGCGCCCGGTGACATCAGCCCTACAACAGGCAGGCATCCAATACCGCTGGGGCTATCCGTTCTTGCTCTCTGCAAGGCACGGACAAGACCAACTCATAGTCAGAAAGCCGGGAGACGTCCCGGGATTCCTACGTAGTCTAGGCCTCCCACCACAACAGGTCCCAGATTGGTTGGCAAGATCGTTCCTCCAACAAGTACCAGGACCTCAATTTCCACGCAGACCCAACGCAGGCCCGCAAAGACCACAGCAACAGCGGCAACGGGACCGGAACCCGGGCCCAGCAAGGAGGGAGCAATAACCAAGCTTCACGCAGCGAAGCCGGGGGACGGGGAAGGGGACTCAGGCACCAACGAAAAGCATGAACGAACCGTGAGTAACAACCGAAGGGGCACACCCATACACATCACACAGGTCGGCAAGCATTGGGGAGGGGAACGGGGACCAAAGGAATACAGGGGAGGGGGGAAGTCTTTATTTACTGCCACCTCTACCATGCAACACGGGTAACTGTACCCCAAGAGGACAAGCCCCAGGAGGGCCTCATTCCACCAAACATACCATGCATGGGGGGGAGCCAAGACATTTTGGGGAGGGGGATAGGGGGATTTGCAAAAACCGACAACGAAAGAGGCACACGGGCACACCAGCCGCCACCTTCGCAGACCCGCACCAGGAGGTGCAAATAAGAAAGACGCTTAAGACATTGCAAAATATTTTAATATATAATCTATGGACCCAAGGGGGGGGGGAGATGGAGAGATAGGAAAGCGGGGAGGGTAACAGAGGGGTAGGGGGAGGGAGACGAGACAGGAGCTACCAATGAGACAGGACCAAGAAGAGGTTTGGAGGCTGAGGGGAGGGGAGGGAGGAAGCGCGAGGACTGACAGGATACACGCAAGGGAGACAGGACGGTATAGGGGATGGGGGAGAGGGGGAAGGGGAGGATAGGAGAGGGGAGGGAGGGGGGAAAACACAAAAAATAAAAAAATAAAAACCAAAACAAAGGGGCAAGACGGCCGACCGAAACTCAGACGCAGCGACACAGGATATGCAACGGGAGCAGACACCCCTATTGGCAAACAGAGACGTGGCCAGACATCCACCCATAGAACTTAGGCCACATAACATATATGACCAGGTGACGGGTAACTGGGAAGGGAATGGCGAGCTGGGGGCCACATCAGGTCTCGCACACGGACATCTTATGTATCATTGCAATCTGATGTAAAGTTTTCAAGTGTGTTAGCTCTAGACAAAAAATAAAAAATAAAAAATAAAAAATGTTTTATCCCTGTACAACTGAATCGCACCACGGTATACTGTGGAGCACGGTAAATCCGGCTCCCAGCCTAACGTACCAAAACTTTGTCACAAATGCGATGACCCACAATAGAGCTAACATAGGACACAACACGTGTAAAGAGAGACAGGCACGACAGCGTATTCAGCACAGAGGTGTAGACGTCACAGCGAGAAGCACCATAGCAACCAAGCGGCCCGCGTGCGGCGTTGGATGCAACGCTAAACCCCCCCCTACTGCCCTCGATTAAATAAATAATGCCCAACAGGCGAGCGCACAGCGAAAGGTCCCTGCGCAGCTGACCCAGCCTAGACCGACCTTACTCTAAACGGCTCACGAGACACCACCCCACCGGACACCACGCGCTCACGGCAATGCGAATCACACACGGAGTAGACGCAAGATAGCGACAACGGCGACATGTACACAGCCCAGCACACCACACGCCCATGGCCTCAAACCCCATACAGAACGAAACACAAAGCGGACTGAGCTTCAGCCACACAGCCACCTAAGAGACGAAGGACCAAAATCCACAAACAGTAAGACCTAGTTCTCAAGACACGAGACGAACCAGTCCATCACGGACAAGTTGCCCGACCCCCCCAAAGGTATAGGACACAGAAACCCCCGATATATAGGGGGCGTACAACTCCCGGAAACGACCAGTGCCCACCAGTCGGTTAGGCACACTGGTCAACTCACCGGGACACTTGTCCACTACTGGACAGACCACAGAAACCCAACAGATAAAGCGGACCCACGAAGGGCCCACCCACACCCCAGCCAAACCTAGAACACCATCACAAACATCACAAACCACATACGTGCATACCACAGACACACCTACACCCCCTCCTCCCCCTCCCTGCTGTCCGTCCGTCCCCTGCGGCCGCCCGGATGATGCCGGCCCCGGTCCCCAGCGTGTTCACCAGGGAGGACTTAAATATAATCTCCTACAATGTAAAGGGCCTCAATGTTAGAGAAAAACGCACAAGACTCCTGAGGGACCTGAAACAATACAGGACGTCGATAGCGTTCATCCAAGAAACGCACTTTCAGGAGAACAGGGCCCCGGCACTGAAGGACCGAAACTTTCGAACGGGGTACTTCAGTAACAACCCAGATAGACGAACGCAGGGAGTATGCATACTATTCTCCAGCAGAATCCCGTACATAGAACAAGCCACCCTTAGATGCAAACAAGGCAGATATATTTTCACTAAAGGCACTATCTCAGATCAAACCTACACATTCGCCAACATCTATGCCCCAAACACGAAACAATACCACTTCCTCCGGAGCACTGTGGCTTCCCTGATGAAGTTTACGGAAGGCACCCTGATCATCGGAGGAGACCTAAACCTGGCACTACACCCGGATCAGGACGCCACGTCCCCACAAGGAGCAACACCGCAAAACAGACATGCGAAAACACTCCGCCTCCTACACCAACACCAGCTGGCAGACTGCTGGCGAGCATTGCATCCAACCGCCAGGGACTTCACCTTCTACTCATCGGCACACTTAACATACACAAGACTGGATTATTTTCTAATGACACACCATAATCTGAACCTACTAAACGCCGCGGAGATCCTGCCAATGACCTGGTCGGACCACTGCCCGATTCGAATGCGGCTGAAATCGCCGCTATACAGGCCCCGGCAGATGTCATGGAGACTAAACGAATCGATCCTCTCGGACGTGGTAGTGACAGACAAGATTAGTAACTCCATACGAGAATACTTCCAAACCAATGAGACAGAAGACGTAACGCCACTAACATGCTGGGAAGCACACAAGACGGTACTACAAAGTTTTTACACAAGAGGTCGTGCCGCACCTACTGAAAGCCCTGAACTCCATACAAGAGGGAGCCACACCAACCGCGCAATTTACCTCGGCGAACATCACCCTACTCCCAAAGGAAGGAAAGGACCCAACACTATGCTCAAGCTACCGCCCAATATCAGTACTGAACACCGACATCAAGCTGCTGGCCAGCATACTGGCACTACGACTAGCACCATTGCTACCGGCCACAATACATCCGGATCAAACAGGATTCATCCCAGGCAGGGAGGTAAGGGACAACACTATCAGAGCCCTGAACATCATAGCGCACGTCAGAACCCAACAGAACCAAACCCTTCTCTTATCTACAGATGCGGAGAAGGCATTTGACCGGGTGGACTGGGACATGATGATGGAAACCCTCCACACCGTGGGAGTGGGACCGAGATACGGCATATGGGTGAGGGCGCTATACACAGACCCGACGGCACGAATCAGGATCAACGGTGCACTAACGGACCCATTGCAGATACACAACGGGACTAGACAAGGCTGTCCACTATCACCACTATTATTTGCACTGACGCTGGAGCCGTTCCTCAACAGGATCAGGCACAATGACGCCGTCCAGGGGCTTACCATCGGAAACACACATCACAAAACGCTAGCATACGCAGATGATATGCTGTTCGTGGTCACGAACCCAGAAATGTCCCTACCAGCGATACAGACAGAATTTGAGGAATACGGACGAATCTCAAACCTACAAATTAATTATTCAAAATCAGAGATACTGAATTTGACCGTCAAACACACGGACAGACACACACTGCAGAGACGCTACCCGTACCGTTGGTGCGACCAACGCATGCGATACCTGGGGGTTTGGCTTACACCCAATCCGGCGGACCTGTACACCCAAAACTACCTCCCCATTTTAAAAAAAGTGACGGAGGAACTGCATAGATGGAGCCCATACTACATCTCATGGCTAGGGAGGATAAATGCGGTCAAGATGACACTGCTACCCAAATTGCTCTTCGTGTTTCAAACAGTACCGATACAAGCCCCACAAACATTCTTCAAGACATTGAAGGCAGAGGTCCGCACGTTTATATGGAAGGGCAGACCCCCGCGCATAGCATACACCCAGCTCATTTTACCCAAACTCCGAGGAGGTCTAGCGCTTCCCGACTTCGAACGCTACTATCACGCAGCACATCTTACACGAGTCATAAGCTGGACGGTAGCCAGTGGCACAAAACCATGGACCCAACTGGAATCCGACACCACCAACTGCGACCTCCGGACACTGCCTTGGATATCCGCGGCGGCGTACAGGCGCAAACGCATCACAAACCCCTTTGTGGCGGCAACCATGCGGATCTGGCACAGGCAGGGCACAAAATACTACCTGACGACGGATCCAGGCCCGCTGCTGCCACTAAGGGGCAACCCGGACTTCCCAGCAGGAGACCTTGGCCCCACACCGGGCCCAGCAGGACACCCAACAATTCCTCGCATGACAGACGTCCTGGTACGCCCGTTCGACATACGGCCGTTAGCAGAACTCTTCCCGGACAGACCACACACTTTCTCACACACACTAGCGAGAGCGCAAATCTCCCAATATGCTCGATCCATCCCGCAAAAACCATCCCTACTTAGGGAAACTACCCAATTTGAGAACCTGTGCACACAGACCACGGAAACACCCAGAGCTATCTCACAGATATACACGATATTGATCACTTGTAGGTATTTATTGGCACCGCCCTGCATAAGAAACTGGGAAGACGACCTAGATGAGACCATGTCGGAAACAGACTGGGACAAATGCATCACTCTCATACAAAAAAAACCCAGCTCTGCACGCCTGCAAGAAAACTCCTACAAGATATTCACCAGATGGTATCTGACGCCGACAGCACTCCACGTCAGAAACCCAGATATACCAGACACATGCTGGAGATGCGGAGAGGAAACAGGCACGTTTATACATATCTGGTGGGCATGTGCACGAATCCGGCCCTTCTGGGACACAATTGGGGATATAATACACGAAGCAACGGACGAGACACTCCCGGGGTCCCCGGCCGCCTTTCTCCTCCACCACACCAACATGACCGCGCAGCCATACACCAGATCAGTGATACCGCGGTTGCTGAACGCAGCCAAAACAGTCATCCCCATCTACTGGAAGCAGGCGAACACCCCCCCGATAACACGATGGCTAGAGGAAGTGGAAACCACTAGGAAATTTGAAGACCTAAAGGCAAACACTCCGAAACTTCGAGACCGATATACCACACGCTGGTTCCACTGGATACGATTAACCGCATCAAACGACTTCCAACGCCGCCTGGCCACACGGTAACCAAGAATGATGAGACGGAGGGGGCTAAGGAAGGGGTCGGGGCGGGAGGCAGAGAAGGGGGGCGGACAACGGCGGCGGCAGGGGACGGACACACGCATCCCCCCCAACACCCTCTCCCCCCCCATGTCAATCACCAGTTACACCCAGAAACATACCTCGACAGACAGACACAGTAGCAAAATGAAACCTAAAGGCCTTACCAAGACACCTCCTCATAGCGAGACTGACCGACAACAACACCAGAATGAAGCGACCCTACCTAGAGCCACGAGACACTCAACCCTCAACAGACCCATGGACAGTCAAGACGCAGTGGGGGACAACACCGCAGACAACACAGAAAGGAAAAACACACATAGGAGACACGGAACCAAGAGTAGGCCACGCCACGGACACACACCCAACTGAAGCCCTTAAAACCAGACATAAAGGGGACGACCCATTAGAACACGAACGGAGACAAACGCAGGGCACACCTAGACACACACGACCAGGAAACACCAAACTGCATAAAGCAACAGATACCCAGACACACAGGGAGCAAACAAGCACAGACACCAGAACAGATAGAATAAGATTAGGCAGAAACACTCACAACAATGTACGCAGGCGCAGCGGTAATATAGCAACACTGCAAGCCATACAGATGTAAAATGCGAGTAACAAATTGTGAATATTTCTGCGGTATGGTACACGCAAGGACCATCCAGCCTCATTGTAAGGCGTCGGAATGCCATCAAATGTATGAAATGCAACCTGACGCCTCTGCGTGGGCATCCTCTGCCCCACCACCTACGAAGATGCTACCCACACGGGTGCTATGACAGCACTACAAATACTCAAAATAATCCCACAAACACATAGAAACTACACGAACCAGGCAACGCAAGATAATTACACGAACATACCCCACCACTTCCTTCAGCGTATCAACACACCAAGATGCATGTTAGCAAGCCATGAGCCACTAATCGACACTAACACAGCTATACACATATGCCAATAACACTAACACACGGCAACACCAAACCTGTTAAACGAAAATGAAAAATCTAATCCTGCAGAACATAAGTACCCCCACATTCTGTCAGGACATGGCTACTTTGAATTATTCATGCACCGAAACCAACGCCTCTGCGAAGGCGGTTAACCACTTAACCACATATACGTTTGCAATGGAATTTATGTTATGAACCAATCAACATATTCAAAACAAAGGCAATACCAAAACCGCCTCTGCGTAGGCGACACAATGCTTACATTATTACATGTTGACGCTTAAGCCCCTGCGCGGGCATATACCTGCTTTATCACAAATCAGTTTGACATATGCGATTATATTGTGAAAACAATAAAAATATTCAAAACAAAAATTAAACCCTGTATGTTTTGGACATTTGTATTCCAAGACAGCAGATTACTAATTTAGGACTTTAAAATTGTGTGAGTGAATCTGTGCAGAATGAGGAATTATGTAAAATATGCAATAGTTCGTCTATAACCCACAATCTGCTCCAACAAGAGTATACAATGTCATATGAACTGCTCAGTAATTCTCCAAGTCCCATAGGCTGTAAGCTTTTCCACACAAGCCTTTAAGAAGAAATATCTGAATTCAAACAATGGAATCTTACATTAAGCAGCATGAATGTGATTACCTAAAAAGGCCTGTTGTCTGGCACGCAGGCTCCAGTCAAATTGAGTTCTTACATTTAACCATTTATGTTCGAGAAACATGAACAAAAGTTTAAGCCGACAGTCTGAAATCCTCAGATGTTTATTGAGAGGACAAGGATTTAACAGTAATCATTCATTCATATGTAGCTAGTGTCATCTGGTAACAGGTTTCATAAGCTACTGCACGACAATAACTGACAGAAGACCTTTTTATGTCACAACTGAAAGTTTAGCATTAATCCCTTGCTTGCACATGAATGTGACTAGATTGTCCTGTTTGTTAAGGAGGTCAGATCAGTTGTGTGTTAACTGGATATCTTTAACATACTTACATTGTGTCAATGACTACAAGCAAACCAATTAAATCAATTTATGCCAAATAAAGAAAAAGAAATACTAAACTATTCATCATACATGTACTGTCAATATTCTGAAAACAAAAACAAACAAAAAAACAAACAGTAGCAAACATAGAAACATACTGACAGACAGGACAGGCAACTCAAGGGATGAGTGAGCATTAAAAGTGATCATGAAATTTCTTCCCTTGTACACTGCCCAACTATAAATTCTTAGCAATGATACGATTTTACATTCTACACTAAGCAGTAACAATTGTTTTTTGTGGTGCTCAGCTCCATCTCAGATCACAGTCCAGAAGACTCCCATGCTCAACTCTGCAAATATCCACAATTTTAAATTGTTAGATTTTATACAAACAAACCTGAAGTTCTGATACAATAACACCCCAAACACCTCATGAGCAATTTGTAGGTTAGGTACCAGTTTGTTATGCCGGGTGTTATTTTTAAAGAACACTATTTAATTTTACTTCCTAAGCCTAACCTTTCCATTCTTCCCACAAACCCTACAGTGCTCCTTTACACAACTGTACATGGTGTAATCACAACAGAGTTCTGGTTTGCCTTTAAGCTTTCCAAGGTAGAAAGCAGAAAAAGCAGATAATGAACATCATATCTCAGTGTCCTGTTAACAGACTTCTAAACTTAAGAGTTTGTGTGCTTAGATCATGCCCCACAGTCTCACTGCTCAATCCCCTGCCATTTAGGAGTTACATCACTTTTGTTTCTGTTTATTCAGCCCTAGCCACACCTTCAGTGACTGATTCACACAGCCTACATACAAACATTTTTTTCCATTTTTAGTCAGATGTGACAGCACAGTGTGTTCACTTTAGAGGGTTTTACTCTCCTGCACTGTTAAATGAACTTTGAAGATGCACAGGAGGCTATTAACAGACAAGGAGATAAATTCTAATTTAAAAAGGAAGTATAAACATTAGATTTCTCTGTATAGTTTACATGCAAGTGAACAGAGCTGCATAAACAAAGTGATTTAACTCCTAAATGGCAGAGAAATGTTTATATGGTGCTCATGGCATCCATTTAATGTTAAACAAACTAGATATCTAGCCTTTTTATTCAGAAAGACGATCCAAGCACAACTTAGTCACCATTTAGAAATGTGGTGCTTTATGTCATAGCATCTACATCAATAGGACTCTAGAATAACTTCTAAGTACACGTTCTATAAAGTGAACTCTCTTTCTTATAGAACTGGATCATTTCATACCTTTAAGTCAAAGTTACAGTCCAGTCTTCTGATAAGTACAATGTATAAGCTGGATGTATTGTCTTTTTGAATAGGAGGAGGAGATATTGGCTCACATGCATTCTCCGGTTTCGAGGTCACCAACAAACCCTACAAAGAATAAAAAATGGTAAGTGGTTATAAAAAAAAAAAGTAAATACGTTTTAACTTACTGAATACATTTCAAATACATGTTAATATATCAAGTAAAATATCCACATCAATGGTTACAAATAAAGAGAATGATTAAAGCAAAAATGCTCAGTTAAACTAGTAGAATAGGAACAGTGAATACAGAATGTAGAATCACACATCACTTGTTAGAACAATTCAATGATGCAAAGAATTGAGGATACGGTCTCACCCAGGGTGCACAGGCACACTGGCTACTCCCACAGCCAATAACAAATTCAAGAAAATCAAACTGTCCAGCACAACCCTGAGTTAAAAGGTAATCCTTTAATAGTTTCCAAACTAATGGATGACTACTTGGCACCACAAAAGGCCTATACCAAGCAGAAGCTTTAAACATAACTGTCCCAAACTGGGACACACGATCAATTTTACCATTTAAGGATGGGACACCAGAGGAGAAAACATTTGGAGCAAAATCACAACTACACATGAGCCTCAATCATCCAACACAATATGGACGTTAACTACTGCCCGGCACGCAGACTGAGCAGTTTCAGAGTGGCTGGCTGACACTCAATAAGGAACGGTTTCACATCTCGAATGGTGCCAGGTATGCTACATAACTAAGCAGCATGGCAATTATTTCAAAATACTGTTTTTACTGCTGTACTCTATATTAAAATAGAATTCCATTATTAAATTATAGGGCCTCGTCTCAGTAGCTCAGACTTTTGTCCACAGTAAACTGTGCACAAATATTTGTTTCCCAACTCATTCTTTTACACAATAGCAAGTGTTATATGACCTCAGCTGAACTCCATAGCAATTTCACAGTTCTACTTATCTCTATTAATTAGAGGTTTCACAGCCATTAAGGTTTTTAAGAATGGTTTTAGAAAAAAAAATCCCTTACTGTACGCAAGTTGCTATTTTCCAGGAATGCCTCTGTAGCTGGTACTTGAAATTCAAATCTAATCTTTGTGAAATTACACCCTGCATTTGAAGATGACTCAAGATTAATCAATTGAAAACCATATTCCCAGGAGATTTCCATTATGTTCAACTAGCCAAGCTGTATAAAATGTAGCTGTAATTATAGTTTCAAGATATGGCAGTTCTCCAGTCTTTAGATCACGTTCTGTAATGGAGGCTTGTCCAAATCTCTTCAATGGGAAAACTAAAGGAAACCAGGAACCTAATTTTGGCAGCAACCTTTCTCCAAGTTAGCAGTCTGAGAAGAATCTTTAGGAATATAGTCCTCAGCAAGAAGATAAAAGTTAGACTGCCACAATATGTTCATTTCCATAATCACTTTAATGATTACTGCAAGTACCACGATCACTTTACTGATTTGAAGTGGTCACGGTGCCTTTAGTCTATATGTGCAGCATTTCATTATGAAACTCTGCACATACAGAGTTAACCCCTCTGTTGCCGGAGGTGTAACACTACCTCTGGCCACATCATTGGCCAGGCAGAAACAAGAGAGTTCTGGGTCACTAATATAAATCCTTTGAAAATCTAAAATCTGACCCTGTGACGCAATGCATGCAGGCGACAGACGGCCAACAAGAACACACCTCCCCCCCTCCATGCAAACCATGTTCTACCCGATGACCACCCTCTCTGTCCTCCAGCAAGGTCTCAGCGCTGGAATGAGATGTGTTTTTTTGTTTTGTTTTGTTTATAAATAAATTGGGGCAGGGGCAACTCTGCAAGTGTTCCCCTAGAAGTCCCCAAAAGTACCAAAAGTAAATTTGCTGAACTGGACACAAGATAAAAATGCTAGCCATTATTTCTTACGGACCACCTTTCAACAGCACACAACTGAAACTAGACAAGTAAAATAAATAAACACTCTATATTAGACCCAAAGTACAGCCTATTCATTACTTCACCAAGACTGGTGTACTTGCATATTAAAGATTTCACAGCACCATCTAGTGGACACTGGGACACTTGCAAAACAATTTGTTGCAATGCAGTCGGTAAGTAAAATCAACCCATGTTGCAAATTTATTCATTAAATATTTTACCAGGAAAGATACATTGAGATTTCTCTCGTATTCAAGTATGTCCTGGGTCCACAAAATATTGCATTGATACAAAAGGGTACAATAAAATACAAAAATAATAATACACAATATATACAAAATGTAACATAGAACAGGTAGGAAATATATAATCAACCATGACACATGCATTCTGTTTTGAGGTATGTAGAGAGGGATCTCTTAAAGGACTTTAGATTGCAATTAATCTCCAAACTCAATTTCTTAACCCAGTGACTCCAGGTACAAAGTTTGTGAAGCCCAAGTGAAAAAAAATAAATCTAATACATATCAAAATTAAAGTTTTACCATCATTAAACAAAAATAATTAACTGGACCTGAAGAAAGTCAATTCAGGTTCCCTAGAAAGTTTTGGAAAATAAAATTGGGGTTTCCTTGTGGTAGTTCAAGAAAATAAAAACAAAACAATCTACCCAAATGAACAATATATACATATACACACATCTCCAACATACCAGAGTATTGCAGTATGCAATGATACCTTTTTACTGGACTAACACAATATTTCAAAGACAAGCTTTCGAGAGTTTTCCTCTCTTCCTCAGGTCTGAAGCAATACTGAGGAAGAGAGGAGACTCTTGAAAGCTTGTCTTTGAAATATTATGTTAGTCCAATAAAAGACTACTGCAATAATCTTATTTTGGTTGGCATCTTGTCTACTGGACTAATACGGCGACACACACACACACACAAAAAAAAAAAAAAAACAGGTTTTGTATATGAAAGATGAAAATTTTACTAAATTAAGAAAACCCTAACTACCATGTAATGAAGTTCATGAACATTTTAAATTTTAATTAAAAAACAGTTACATTTTCAAAAATCCAGCACAGTTGTGTCTTAATGTGAAAATGGGTAACTTTATGGGGTAACAGTGTAAGCTGTTAATGGTTTTCTGTTAAAGAGTTAGTTCCAGACTGTTTGATTATCTCGTGCAGTCTGTGATTGTCACAGGAAGCCATGTGCTTTTGGCATGACAAATCACAAATCCGGCATCCAGCTGACATCGCTGGAGTCTCACACATGCAATGATTATGGCCAAGTCACAATGCAAAAGTCAGAAGATAAAGAGGTTTCTTAGTATTTGTCACAGATACACTTTGTAAAACATTTGAAATCATGGCACACAAGGCTAACTTTTTATTAGATGATACATACACACACAGATTATATATATATATATATATATATAAATAAATAATCGCCATTCATTAGCTAATTTATGTTTACTTTGATTTGTGCAGCAACCATTTATTGATTTCTTATTTAGTGCACAAAGAATCATGCAATATTGGTCTATTAGAAAACTACCGTATATATTTACAATGGTTTGAAAACTGGACATTTTTTCCCAAAGCAACAGGAATTTAGAAGGGTAACAAACTAAATAAATAAAATACAACCGCTGCACTTCTACTTTAGGGTGACTGTATTGCTCACGATGCCCTAGATGTGCTTACGTGCACTCATTAGAAACATTCTGTATGCACACTTGCCATTTTCTCCAACAGTGCTGCACAAGCTATGTGTAAGGCACTGCAGGGACAAATAACAGATATTGCCTAACAAAGGCTCACAAACCGAGGATACATATCTTAGACATTCCAAATCTGTTCCTAGAGTTGGAATTCCGAGATGAAATATAGTTTGCACTAGGATGTCCAAGCCTGGAAACCCCACAAAGTTTTTCCATTACTACTAGACAGCCTGCATATGATCGGTGAGTGTGTACAGTCCAGTAAAGGGGGACTTTTACTAAAACATGAAGGAATGAATCAATCTAACGCGTTTTGTGCCTACACAGACTATAAACAGGTCGGGCTGATTCATTCCTTCACCCTGCAAACCTTAACAGAGATGTTGTTTCAATAATTTTTCCTAACTTTCTGTGGATTGAGACCTTATTTTTACATACATACACTGAATAATAGGGGCATATAGCTGAAGTAAGTTTGTAAACTGCTTGACTTATAATGAATAGTAATGAACTAGGGCAGTGATGGCTAACCTTGATAAATTGTTTCTGGACTACATTTCACATGATGCTCAGCTAGCTTTTAGACTCCGCTCAGCTAGCTTTTAGACTCTAAAAGCTAGCTGAGCACCATGGGAAATGTAATCCAGAAAATTTATGGTGTCAAGGTCAGGCATCACTGGATTACGGCAACTTGAAAAAAAAAATTCCTTACATCATTAAACAAAAAAACCAAAAACAAATACAAAATATGAAGAAATTACTTCTTGCACTGTTTTGTAACAAGGGTTTACAGTGAATGTCATATCTTACCTTGGCTCAACATGTATGCTAGATTTTCAATTACACCGATAGCTTAAAGAGAAACCTTCCAAAGTCCAGATCAAGAAATGTTTTTCCCCCTCAGTGACCCAAAATGATGCACATAACAGCTTGTTCAATTTATGGGGCTGATTGTTTATTTTATGTTGTAATAGATAAATAATCCGAATTATGCAAGACATCTTTACTCAACTCTGGGGCCATAATGAACATGTCGGACAGAAAAAAAAAAAGGGGGACTTGCGAGGGTACTATTTAAGTTGCTGACCCAGGAGTCTTGGACACTTATCTCAGTCAGAAGTTAAGTTTAATAGCTGACCCCGTTTATAACGAAGAATTGTAACAGTCACCCTAATTGCATTAGTAAGTTTAACAAGAGGTTTGTTTGGAATCATAAAGTTCAAGATCACTAGTATAATTGGAAAACATACTTCTGGTTTACCAGTCACAAACTGTACTGTGAACTCTTAACATACAACCTAAACAGCTGAAATCATGACGTTTGTAAGGACAAACCAGGATGGGCTTAGATTTCCTTACCGCACGTTTTACACATCTGGTAAACAAAAATGTTGCAACAAGGTTGTTTCAAAAAGCATGGACAAACCAACAGAGACTCAGTCCTTGAGTGACAGTAACCTGTAATAGTACCACACCACTTTGCAAAAGATATAAAGATCTTCCCCGAACGAATCTCATCAGGAAACTTTGCAAGCAAAGAGCTCTCTCTACTTTTTACAGTTGCAGAGGCAGTGGCAGATCTGGGGATGGGGTAAGCGCAAATAGGGCAATTGACCCCCTCCCCCAGCAACATAGAAACAATACAAAAGTAGGCAAATTATTAAATAATGCATAATCAGTGCAGCTATGGTGTTCCACTTTTTTGCCAACTGAGAGTCAGCTGTGAGTAGGAGATATACTACATTTTAGTACTGCTGGGTCTGTGCAAAAATAGAGTCACCAACCTTCAACTCAAGTGGTTTAGAACAAAAACAATTATGTCAGCATCCTAGTCATTGCTGACCTTCGTCCTTTACAGGCATGACTACTTGAAGCTACAACAAAGCTGAGCTGCTTCAGTTAGTCCACTGGGTCCTTGCCTTTCCTAAGGCAGTCTAGGTTCCCTAAGCAATATACTGGCACTATAATTTCCTTAAAGGGCACCTGCCATATCCCACACAACTTATGTTCATAAGGCCGAGCACAAGATTTTATCTATACACTGTGCTAGCAGTTTTGCTAGAAAATGTACGGATTAGGAGAAAAACCTATTTAAAAATAGGCATTACTCACAGATCATAGTTGAGGTAAAGGGGATAAGGCCAAACGTAAAAATTAATTAGGTAGAGCTGCAACAACTAAAAATAAGTTATCACTTTTAAAGATTTATTGACAATTATTTTCCTAATCGATTAGATGGTCTGGCATGGTTTATGCATAGCCAAGAAATAGGTACCAATAAAACACCAAAAGTGTCCAACATAAAATAGATAAATAGCAGAGGTCTTAAAACCAATAGTAGACCTACAAAAAAAAAAAAAAAAAAGAGTGGGCTTGGCCACAATAAGGTGGCCAAGCAGGCCAGCTCTAGGACCCCCCACGACAGGGAGAACACCGGGGTCCCTTGAGTGGGCGTTTAGGGACGGCCTTTTTTGCCACCCCCTGGGTATTGCCACCCAAGGCAAATGCCTAGTTTGCCATGGGCAAAATACACCACTGCCGCTGGCACTAACACACCTTAGTACAATCAGTCTCTTAGACGCGTTTCGTGTCTACCAAGTGCTTAGAGTTCTTTCCCTGGATCCATGGCTTTTATAGCCGATTAATGGTTTTTTCCTCCCGGGTATCAGCTACTGTCGAGCCTCTGATAAAGTCTGCATCCGGTTTCATACTGATGCCTTGACGTCACATCCGTCTATCATATGGCACGGCATCACTACTGCCGGTCTGCCATTAGTAGGTATCCGGAATCCATATTATTTATGGGCAAGTTCGATGGTTTGGGTCCCTTCATTCTCATAGACACAGCGGTGATTATAAAAGTATATTGTCCGAAAGTACATTAATAGAACTTTATATGTGCTCTGTTAATGAATGTTTCAAATCAAAATAAATAAATAAATAAAAGGGGGGAAGCTCTGTATTTATAAAAATATAAGTTATACATCATTTTTAAAGAAACACACATTACATAAATATCCCCATATAATTATTAATTCATATCAACCATAAAGGAAATGTTATCACTATATCTCCCTCAAGGGGAGCATGTGTCATATGGCAAGAATGCAAAGAAAGGGGACCCATTTTATAAAACAAAAATCTTCTCTTCTTTTAATTGTTATTCCTTTTATAAAAAGCAACACCTAAATATTTTTATTAAATAAAAAAAAATGAATAAACTCAAAGTCTAAATTTAAACTACTAGGTGCTAAAGTGTTCATTTCATAGATCCACTTGCTATCCACCTTTGCCAACTCTAAGAGAATCTTCCAGCCTCTAATTCTTTTGTCTTTTAAAAAATTATACAATAGCTTAAGAGTGGAATCACCAATGTGTACTTCAGAAAAATGTGCAGAAACACTGATTCATATATCTCCTCTGGATATTGCCCATGTGTACGGCTAGACGTACTTTAAAATTCCTCGTAGTCATACCGATATATTTGGTCTTTCAGCCTAATTTACTAACACTAAGTAAAGATTACATAGTATTTGTAAATTCTGCCCCTGTCTATTAAACAGCCTGTGACCGCTCACAAAAAAAAAATTAAAAAAAAAATTTTTTTATTACAATAACACTATGTCCCCCACCCTGAGCCCTCACTTGTGCCCCGCGAGTGGGGGCTATTAAAATAAACGGGGGACATAGGGACCCCTTGGCCCCCACCCATGAGCGGCAGGTGGGAGCGGGGGGCTAGAGACAATAAAACTAAATCCCTGTAAATAATAAATAACTTGCCATTTGATGTATTTTTTCAGACCCCAAAAATGCCAAATAAAAGTCCATAATACCCGACCAGCCAGAGGGCACTGACAGGTAAATGAAGAGACTGACAGGCAAACTACAAAACAACCAGAGAGTTACGAGTCAAATTACACAAACATTTTGCCTTTTTTGTGGCTGAAAAAAAAGATTTTAGAAAAAAGAAGACATCAAATGGCAAGTTATTTTTTATTTACAGGAATTTAGTTTCATTGTCCCCCACCCCTCACTATTTTTAGGGTGAGGGGGATGGGTAGGGGTTTAATTTTTTTGGGTGGGGGTTGACTAGGGGCTTGGGGACCCCTATTCACGTGGGGGGGTCTAATATTTTCATTTACTGCCCCCATCCATCGCTCCTACATTTTCATTTAGCTCCTCGAAATATAATATTAGGTTTCCCATGAATGAAACTTTTTAGATTAGGATCTGTATCTAAAATGTGCCTTTGTTTAATATAGGTCTAATTTCTTCGGCATTCTCGTCATAATTTAGGATAATTGGCACTTCATTATTATCGTGATATCGAGTGTTTTTTATTTTTGTATCACTTAACGGTCTATAAATCTCAGCAAAATATTTCTATTTTGTACAACGATACCCCTGCCTTTATCGGCTGTTTTTATTTTTTTTATTAGAATATTTTTATTTTGTTGTAGTTCCTTTAGAGCTTTTTGTTGATTCTAAGTAAAATTGTTAATTTTCTTATTTGTCTTTATATCTGTCATAACTAAGTTTTTAAAGACCTTTAGGGACCCATTATAATATGGTTTAGGGAAAAAATTAGATCTATTCTTCAGAGAGGTATGGATAATCCCAGTTTCTCCTACATCTTTTCTTATGGAGTTGAATTATCATCATCCTAATGATTTTGGAAAAATTGTTGGATACATAGCTTGTGTATAAACTTTTGAATATCATCAATATACGAGTCAAAAGGTGTATTAAAGCACGATGGAGCAAAGTTAAGGCCTTTGCGGAGTAATGTTTACAATAAGTAATGTACCCATGTTTACACCTATCACTAGCACCCCAGGTGGTATAGTTTTCAAATGTTTGCCATTATTGACTTCCGTAATTCTTCTTAAATATAGACCTTCAAGATCCAGTTTTATGATTAATGCACAGGCAAGTCATCTACCATGAAAATATTCAGAATGCCACAAAGCTAGTGAAACTACATACATTGATAACACAGGAGTAAATATCCCTCTTACAATAAACAAAAATGCAAGTAAACCTTACTGTAACTCCTGTGCAACCTACCAGTGCTGGCACTCCCTTCCTCCAGCTAATTGGGACCAAAACAAACAAGCAATCTACATCACATGGCCGTAGTTCTGACATCACTCCGCAACAAACAAATATTCTTGCACAAACAGGGAATTACATGGCATACTCTAAACAACTCAATTCGGCTTCAATAGTTCAAAATTTACTTTGCGTTTCAGACAAATATTCTAATTATCTACCACATTACACCTAGACATTGGTATGCTCCATTAGGTATGATTGAGGGAGCGTCACTACCGGTTACACAGCCATAACATCTTCTGTTCTTTGGTCTCCGGAGTTCTACAGGCAGTCCTAATATGGGCAAAACACAATCGTCCTTAAGTTTGTAAGAGGAGGTCATTCCGTTACGATTACTGTGCATACATAGATGTACTATTTTACAAGTTGTAATTAATATAACCGGCTGTACAACACTATTATACAGTAACACGCTGTATGCATGTTGAGCGCTCCTATTTCATTCTTGTACGCTGTAAATAATGAATAAAAGTATAATCTTTATACTGGTGCAATGAACACATGAAAACAGACATTTCGCTTAAAATGAGCAGTAACTTGCATTAATGGGACATCAATTACCAACAGAGTGGACACTTTTGTTTTGTGTTTTCCCCCCATATGATCTCTGAAACACGCAATCAGGGTTATGAACAAAAAAACTTAATTACCAGAATTTCAACAGGGAAATAATAGGACAAATTTTAGGGCAGGATTAGATGCAGCCATAGGCTGGTGGTTTATGGTAGCTTGCCTCTAAGTAAACCCTCTCTCTTCCTGCTTATTGCAAGATCAGTAAACATAATTAACTTGCAACATTTATTTTACACTGTTACACATTTTCAATACATTTGTTTTATGTGGTTCTGTTTTACAGGACACAATTCAGATGAGCATAAAATGATAACTTTCTTTATGGCATAGTTATACATCACAGACTAGTTGATGAAAGGATGAAAGGATTAATGAATGCCAAGAACATAAGCTGAACACTCCTTTATTGATCGTATTCAGTTTTGCCAGAATGGGTAATTAATTCAACATACCTTTAATCCATCACTTGGAAGTCTATATCCGAACCTTGCAGGAAGGTCATCAAAGGTTCTGGATACATTGTCAGAGGAGAACTGGAAGAAGTAGAAGAAAAAAAAAAAATATTGAAAATTAATATAGGTCCTAATATTCAAATATGAAAATAAATCAATGGTTATTGCTACCTTCTACAATTAATAGGCAATTCTTGGAGTCCACATGAGCAAGAAATATAAAACTAGAGCAGAAGGGCAGATGATATAATCTTTGCAGTAAAAATGAATGATGTTAGAGGATGGAAGCAAACTCAATGTGGCTTGGACTGAGAAAAAGATTCCAAACAAATTCAACCAGAAATCATCCAAAATATGGAAGGTTGATAGAATTATTACTTATCAAACTTTCAAGGTATTTTGAAGTGCAATAGAGTTAGAGATTGGTCTCTCCAAACCTAGAACCTTATTCGGTATACCTTGTATTTATACAATTATGTACTAGACCTAATTTTTCCAGTTTAGGTAACAATGTTCTGTGCTTCAGTTACAGAAAAATCTATAAAATATTAAATATAAAATGACTGCCTTTAAAAAAAAAAAAAAAAAAGTTTTACCTTAGCAGCACCACTTCCTTGAAAATACAGGAGACAATTCTAAATTTAAAGTTTTTGTATTCTATAGATCAAAACCAACCAAGTGCCAGTTCATGGGGTAGGACAGGAAAGGGGAACTCTGTCTTCTACACATTTGGTGGGAGACGTTTCATTTTCTTTTAAAATGTATATTAAAGATTGTTCGAGACATGGAAATCCAGTTCAGTACAGGAACAGCCAGAGAACACAAGGCAAATGACTAAAGAAACAAACTATATTCAATGCTCAAAAAAAATGACAACATTTAGAAAGTGACAGGAAGTCAAAATGTGTTCTTAATTCCATTATTTTATTTATTTTAAGATCTCTCAAAACAAATTTGCTAAATATAGGTGGTAATAAGAATAAATGTAAATCCAGACTTTCTGTAGTTGTCCAATCACGGACTTCCTAATGCAGCTCAATTAGAACTTTGTAAGGCAGGTGAGCTGAGCAATTGCTACCTCTTGAGTTTAGCTCCACTGAGCTAACCAAACCCCGAAGTAACATGACCTGTTTGCTCGCAAGTCAATGGGTGTAACCAAGTTACTTTATAAAACTGTAAATTTCTATTGGAATCTGCAGTTTTTGCCAACGTGATCAATAAAATTAAAAAAAACTTTTCAGCAAGTTAAGGTGCTTTAGGGGTCTGGAGTTTAAGTGTAATGTTATTTGCTACTTATGGAGATAAGCGGTAGAGCCAAGCACCAAGCTCAATGACGCCAACTAGTGAATGTTCCCCACATTGTACCTTTACTGGTTACTTTGTTGTTGTTATTGTTATTATTGTAACATACAGATGTAGTTCCAGTGACATGTTTAGACAAACTTCTTTAGATTCTCCAGAGTAGGACGGAGACATTTAGATCTAAAGACTTCATTTTTATGAATTAATTATTTTGGACCAATGAATGAGAATTATATAAAATCTATGATTATTACCAGATGGAAGAGAGGATATTATGACTAATTTCAGAAGTACAGTTACTTGGTGATTCACAGTGGAAACAGTATGTTTGAAATTATAGGGCAGGCATAGGCAACTTTTGGCACTCCCAATGTTTTGGACTACACCTCCCATGATGCTTTGCCAGCATTATGGGGGATGTACTCCACATCTGGGGTGCCGAAGGTTGCCTACCTCAGTTACAGGGCATTAAATCCATCTATCAGTCCAAGGCAGAGAGGAAAAAGTCCTAAACAAGATGCTATGTGCCACACGAACATGCAGGTAGAGGAAATTGCACATAAATTTAAGGGATATGGTTAATACCAAGCTTAATCAAAAAGACAGACTGACGATTTGGGCTACAAGCGGTCTACATAGGCAAGTAATATGGGTCCAGGCAGTATGATTCATGCTAGTATAAACAGTTTGTCAGATGTTCAGCCTGAATTCTCTTCAAGAACTGCAGTTGAATGTGTTGCAAATGTTAATATTCGACATTTTTTTTAAGGTAACACTCCTATAACTTCCGCTCATGCCGTATGTATTATACCTCTCAATGGGAAGCCAGTGGTAGAGTGAGCATCAGCTAATTTTACAGCAAAACCTTCTTCAGCAACAGTCGAGAAGAAGGAAATCAAGAAGCAGCATTGACAGGTGCTGGTGGAATAACTTTACGGTAAAACTAGAAAATGGTTTAATACAGCCACTCTTGTCCCCCACCATTTCCACGTCAACTTTAGTGAGCAGTTATAGAGAAGGTGTGTTCGTTTGAGCTCTGGATCACAATATAATTTAAAGGAACTCTATAGTGTCAGGAATACAAACATTTATGCCTAACACTGGAGTCGCTGTTTACATGATCAGCCCCGCTACAATCGCATTGGAAAGGTGAATTTACTCACCTTTTCTCCCACACCAGTCTTGCTATGCCTAGCGCCGCCTCAAAGTTCCTCCTTGATGGCTCCTTCTTATTGATTTCAGCCAATCCAATGCTTTCCCATAGGAAGCACTGTGAGGCTATTGCGCATGCACGGCAAAGCGCACCAATCAGCATGTCCTCATAGAGATGCACTGAATTAATGCATCTCTATGGGCAACGTTAAGAAAAGGTGTACTGTGTGTGCATACAGTTAGAAACAAACACATGCACTTTGAAACATCTTTTTTTTTTTTGTTTTTTTACGAACAGTCACATCACTCTGGCTTTCTGCAAGTGTAACTACAACCGAAAAAATAATTACATCCCAAAGAATATTTTCTAATCTTTACACTAACAACTATAAATAAGACACGCTGTGTGTCACTGGAGATTAGTCTAATCCCCAAATTGAATAGAATTTAAAAACATAGGTTGTACTATTTAATTAAAAACATCTGTAACAACGAAGTTAGACCTCTCCAAGGTGAGGAATGCACAGCAGGAAAGGCAGTGGATGATACAAATGTCAATGTACTTACTGCTTGAATGTCAGCTTCCACAGGCACAAGGTAAGTAAACACGAAGACATGGACCATCAGAAGGTTGCAGATGTTTTTCATGACTGTAACAAACATCTTAAGAGTCACCATTTTACACCTGGAATCTAATACCTAAAAACATGAAAATAAATTACATTACTGTAAGTAAAGTCAATACTTTAAGTCAATATTTTCAAGTTGGGTTATACCAGTTACAGATTTTATTTTGGTTGAACGTTAGAGATTGTTCCTAATAAATATTTTGTAATGGAAAGTCAAGAAGACAGGATACAAATGTAATTTTAAAACTTTGATCCCAATTAGCAGCCAAGAAAGTCTTTTAAAAAGGTAAACTTCAGTGCAGAAAATGTGCAAATGGAAATTTCAGCATTAACTAATTCAAAGCATAGAACAGAGATATGGAATGTTCTACCACAACATCCAAAACAGATGGAATAAAACAAAAGATAAATGATGGGGGGGGGGAAATGAACAACATTTTATTTATATGTATATAAATTATATACTGGAACACTTCAACACTGGGGTGGGAAAAAAAAAAAAGCAAAAAGGGAAAACGCACCGGATATGTCTCCAATAGAAACAAAGAAGAGCATTCCCAGCAAATGGCAGGTAAAATGTTAAATTAGAATTGTGTTCAGGGCCATATCAATATGGATAATGTAAGACTGGGTTGTGGCGTAACCTGCTAGAGTCGGTTGAGGTGTGCCGGAACAGACCATGCATTAGGCCTGTAAAGAAAGTGGGCCCACTCTAGTAGCATATAAATGAATAAAGGGTGTGGACGGGGGGGGAGGTTTATGCAGATCGCCAGACAATTAACGGTAGGTTAGAAAAGGGGGGAGTCCCTTTTCAGGGCCAAAGAAGCCCCTCCCACAATTCCAGGCAAAGCCTTTGTATTTGTGTTCAGGGCCATATCGATATGGATAATGTAAGACTGGGTTGTGGCGTAACCTGCTAGAGTACAAGTCGGTTTGTTGGTTGAGGTGTGCCGGAACCAAAGATGCGGCAGGCCTGCAAATAAAGTGGGCAAAAATAAAGATACCATGCTGTTGTATTTTATTTAACAATTCACGTAATTCGATGATGACATTTTAACAAAAGCCTGCTGCATTTTTTTCACAGGTTGAGGTATATATACATTGAATAAACTGCCGACTTCCACCAACCCACAGATTTAATGATATGTACTGGAATGTCCTAGCTGGAGGCTGAAGACGCTGCCCCTATCCTAAAAGAGTGCCATGAATATCTAATAGGATTTAAACCTAGTCTCACTAGTAACAATTGTACATATAACATCAACATTGGAGGTAGTCAGAACAGATCCATGTAACGACAGCAACGGTTGTGATGGACGTGTAGGCGCAGCTAGGAGATATGAATCCAGTACTTTTACTGGGCACCACTTATTGTGCGTGGGATAATAAGGAATATGGACTAGTTGTCAGAGTTGGCTAGTCTTTGTGATGGGTAGTGACAGTATGTAGTGATCTTGGTGTTTGACTAGGATGGAGCCTTTGAGGTAACAGAGGAGTTCCTATTGTTGGAAGTAAATTCCCCAGGCCTAAAAAAAAAAAAAAAAACATAAAAGGCCAGGTAAATAGCCGCTTTGATGACTATGTTAGTGAAGTTTTCGAAAGGGGTAGAGTCTAGTAAGTCGGTTTCAATAATTGCTTGTGGATTGGTAATCTTAGTTGCGTGGAAGGGCAGTCTGCTTTGATTATACCCTTAAGTATAGTCTTGATTGGATAAGATGACATGAAACTTGCACAGTTAGGGAAAGTACATGTGATGTTGGGGCCATTTATGGTTTTTGCATGTGCTCTGTAGCAGTGAGAACAAACATGTAACAAGCGGCACGCGCTGTAACCACACGTGCCGTCATTGAAATTCTTGCATATTTGCGATTTTCCCAAGTACACAACTGGACGTCCAAGCTTAACCTTGCTTGGTTTATCATACTTAAATTTTGTGCCAAGGATAGTCATGTTAGGAGAGACATCTGGTGATATGGGACAAAAAATAGGCAGAGTGCGAAGAAGATGCACAAATTGCACAAGCTGGTGTCCTCAGTCCAGCGAACTGTCTGCAGAAAAGATCCATGTCCAGTTGACTCCAATCTGTTCTCATATTGAACTGGGTCGGAGTTGCAGATGCCTTTGCCTAAATGGACCAATGATAGTCATAAAATGATGTACCACCGTATTTGTTACCCAGATCCACCAACTTATGCATATATAGATCCAACTCCTCTCTCCTGTGTGGGCAAACTGAACAAATCACGTCTCAGTAAATCCCAAAGGCCAAGCCAAAATTCCGAATGGACAGTTTTGTGTTTAGTCTAAAGTCCCTGGATTTTAGAACTACTGATACATCCCCATATGAGTACGTGCTATTCTCAACAATATCCTGGGAGGCAATCAAGAGCGAGACAAGATTAATATATTTGCCTTCCAGTATATCCTTTTTGAGATTTGCCAGTACCATATGGGCTGGATTAATCACTTGTGAGCCTGTACCCATTTCCACAATATTACCAGATGGTGTCAGAGACTGGCCGGGTAGTTCAGTAGCGGGGACCCTGCTGATAGTATGGCTAGACAACGTGTCTCCAGTCTATCGTTAATTTGCCCCATAGAGGACACAAGAGATGAAATCATTTAGTGGAGATTGGTGTAGCCTGAGCTACTCGTGCCTTCTCCAGCATCTGTATGGTCTGTAGTGGTGCGCATGAGCTTCAACAGCTCTGCATTCCTGGCCATTGCTGAGAAAGGAATATTGCATCTGCATAGCTCAGCTGTTATGCGAGGAATGGTCCGTGACCTGATGGAAGCAGGGCTATTGACATCACCTCTACATGTAAGTGTAGTTGACCTGACTGGAGTACTGGGGACTGACATGTCATCTTCAGGGATCTGAGACATACTGAAATATGGCAATAATTAGCTTGAAACATCATTGATTTACTGGCTGGCTAGCTAGGGCCAAGTGGCAAAATAATTCACTAGGTTGGTGACAAGTGAGGCCCTGCTAGTTGAGAAGCTCTAAGAGTTTGGCGCGAGGGGATTCATGGCCAACGAAAGTTGTGGCGGGGTGTTGGCCTCTCGGTGACTTAAAAGCATTTTTTTTATTAAAGGACCACTATAGTGCCAGGAAAACATACTCGTTTTCCTGGCACTATAGTGCCCTGAGGGTGCCCCCACCCTCAGGGTCCCCCTCCCGCCCGGCTCTGGAAGGGGGAAAGGGGTAAAAACTTACCTTTTCCAGCGCTGGGCGGGGAGCTCGCCCGTTAGCGCTTCCGGCGTTGAATGACGCTACGCGCAAGGGCGCTGCGATTAGCCAAATTCAGCAGGAAAGCATTTACAAAGTTTTATGGATGCAGCGTTCTCACTGTGAAAATCACAGTGAGAAGAATAGCCTCAGTGCTTTCAATGACAGCCACTAGAGGATTAGGGGGAAGGCTTAACCCATTCATAATTATAGCAGTTTCTCTGAAACTGCTATAATTATGAAAAAATGGGTTAACCCTAGAAGGACCTGGCACCCAGACCACTTCATTAAGCTGAAGTGGTCTGGGTGCCTAGAGGGGTCCTTTAAACCTACCTGACAATTCTGTGATATCCCCTTTATACAAGAAATTCATAGCGGAACATAACATAGATAAAATGTTCGATATTACATCTCTGGTGGCTTTTGCTACTTTTTGCCACCTTAAATGAAAGCTATCCCACAACACCATCAAGCTATACCTGACTGGCATTCAACATCACATGTACTTTCCCTAACTGTACCAGTTTCATGTCATCTTATCCAATCAAGACTATTCTTAAGAGTATAATCAAAGCAGACTGCCCTTCCACGCAACTAAGTTGTGAAGGAAATGAGAGCCCTATACCTAAATGACAAAATCACATAAACATATTACATGTATGTTATGCTATTGAACTCCTAAGCGTATCACACCTACATACCCACCTACTTACTGAAATTAGATTTGATGGCTGAAAAGCAAAAGCTGCTCTAAAATAACCCCATAACATGAATATATAAGACTTCCAAGGGACAGACAAGTTGCAGAGGTACCCATATGTAATTCTGAATCAGAAAATGACCCACCTATAGCACCAAATTGAATCTGCTCAGCTAACCGAGGCATTCCCATGAAGCCGCTCTGACAAATTAAACGAATGTCAAATATAACGAATGAACAAACGAATGCATGAAAGTAAGTGGTATCAAACCGTGATGACGCAGTAGGAGGGCGCCGGCGCAACTGCCTGTCCACTGGGTCGGAGATCAGCGGATGCTTCCAGGTTAGCTTGCGGCATGGAAGGCCGATGGAATAACAGACTGCCGCCACGGGGTGAAGCTTGAGACCGGAGTCAAGGCAGAGCAGGAGACCGCAGCGTTTAATTGCAGGTAAGTCTTAAGACGGCGGTCTGCATGCCCAGAATTAGCTGCATGCAGATCGCCAGACCATTAACGGTAGGGAAGGAAAGGAGGGAGTCCCTTTTATGGGACACACAAGACCCTCCCACAATTCCAGCCTTTGTATTCATCAATATATTAAAAAGGTACACAGAATAGCATGACAAGTGACTAAAGGAAGATTTATATTTCTGGTAGGAGTTTATTGGCCTACAACTTATTGTAGTGGTTTGAGGGCACAATCTCACCCTGCAACTTAAACATTGTCTTTTCTAAGAAAAGGCAGGGTTTACACTATTGCCTAAGGCTACTATTAGTGGCTGTTACTTTAACAGGAACTAGATGGATTTCTTGGGATTAGGATTGTAAAGCTTGCCCCACGCTCTGTATAGAGATGTTGAAGTTAAACCACGATGAGGAGATGCTGATCTATGAGGAGATACTGATTGGTGAAGCAACTTGCTGTGCATGCAACCCAGCCCCCCAATTATTCCCCACTCGATTGTCTGAGATTATCAGAGGCCAAAAGGAGACCAGCACAACGTAGGGAATAAAGACGAGTAAAACTTTTTTAATGCACATGGGGCAATAAGCTAGCTTGTTTGGACAATGTAAGAAATACAGGTTTGTGAAGAGATCTTCCAACTGCACAGGTGTAAATCTGTCAGGTATGCCCAATGCACGTTTCCAACATTCCTAGGGATAGGACACCAATTTATTAGATCTGTGACCCCTCTGATGTGACTGGGGAAAGTATACAATATAAAAAAAAAATAAAAAAATATATGAATAAGCAGGTATATAAGAAAAAGCTTTTAAATGGGCAGCGGTATAATTCTAGGAAGATATAGTTCCACTTTAACCCCTTAAGTACTGGTTCTGATCAAAACAAAACCTGGAATTTGTGTTATTTGTCTGTTCAACCATAATACACCTCTTTCATATTAACCATAATACACCTCTTTCATATTAAGTGCACCCACACACTGTTCAGGAGAAACCGGGCCTTCATTTCATAACAAATTTATATATGAAACATAATTCAGCATGAATAAAATGTAAAAAAAAAACAAAACAAAAAAAAAAGAGAAATTAAAGGGGCACTGTCATGGCAGAATCCCATTTTTTTTTTTAACCCCCCTCCACTCTCTAATTGACCCCCTAGTCACCCCCAAATGCCCCTAAGCCACCCATATTACCTATATTTTCTGTCCCGATCTATATTCAGGGCGCTGCCATCTTTGTGTGGGTAGATAAAGTCCCTGTGGGACACATCATCTGCCCACACTAGATAGACTGTGAGATTCCCGCACATGCCCAGTGAAACATTTGGACATGCAAACGGAAATTTCATCTATTCATTCATCAGAAAGACGAATGAATGAATAGAAATGTCAGACGAACAAACACTGAATATCAGTGTTCGTTTGTTCGTTCAGTTTATTACAAGGAGGGAGCTACCGGCGCACAGCTCCCTCCTTGTAATATGTAAAGATAGAAGCGGCAGGGAGCAGTGTTCCCTGCCACTTCATAAGCCCCTCAGGACCCCCTCACTATGGGGGTCAATATGACCCCCATAATAGCCTAAGAGAGATTAAAGTCTCCCCAATGCCCCTACTTGCTATACCGCAAGTAGGGGCATGTCCACTAAACAGTGAGCAGCCTGTGGCTCCTCACTGAGGGGGAGGCTACTGTCCCCCCCCTCTGGCCCCCATCCCTGAGCGGTGGGTGGGAGCCCTAGAAAACAATAAGGAGGGGGGGGGGACCTACTGTCCTTCCCACCTGGCCCCCACCCCTGAGCAGTGGGTGGGGGCCCTAAAAAACAATTAGGCTAAGAACACTCTGGTTGGTTTAAGCCAGAGTGCTCTTTGTCATTTTACACAGCGTGGGAAAGTTCTTTGGAACTCTGATTGGCTTAAACCAATCAGAGTGTTCTTAGCCTAATTGCAGGGCCCTGCAGAACTTTTTTTTGCGCTCTGGTTTTTTTTATTTTAAGTTCGACAGGTATGATGGCTTATTATTTGGCCTTTTTTGGGGCTGAAAAATGAAGATTTTAGAAAAAAGAAGACTTCAAATGGTAAGTTTAATTTTTGTTTACAAGTTAGTTATTTTATTCCTCCCTCACTATTTTTAGGGTGAGGGGGGTAGGTAGGGGATAGTTTTATTTGGGTGGTGGGGGTGGTGACTAGGGGCTTTGGCACCTTGATTGAGGGGGGGGGTAATTTTTATTTAGGGCCCCCACCCGCTGCTCAGGGGTGGGGGCTGAGGGGGATAGTGGTCCCCCCCTTTATTGTTTTTTTAAGGCCCCCACCCACCGCTCAGGGGTGGTGACCAGGGGGGAGGATATTCGGTCCCCCCCCCCCCCATTGTCATTTAGGGCCACCACCCGTCGCCCATGCTTGGGGGCCGGGGGGGAGGACAATAGGTGCCACCCCCTATTTATTATTTATTTATTATTGCTCACTGTTTAATAGACATGTCCCTACTTGCGGTATAGCGTGTAGGGGCAGAATTTACTAAAACTAAGTAATCTTTACTTAGTATTAGTAAAGTTGGCTGAAAGATCAATTTACGTCTTTCAGCCTTTTAGTAGATAACTCCCTGATACCGTGGGAATTAGGGAGTTATCTACTAAGCGGCTGCAAGATGCAGCCACAGCACGAATAGGATCGGAGTTTCATTCATTCGTATGAAATTGCAATCCGAACAAAGTCCCGAACTGCATCCTAACACAAATGGAGAAACTGTTCTCATTCTGTTAAGATGCAATTCGGCAGTTTTGTCGGCGTTCTGTCTAAGTGACAGGACGTTCAGCAATACTGACAGGAAGCATCGTGTGAACAGGGAGGAAAGTTAAGGATAAGGGGAAAATTGCTCTGACCAGAGGAAATGAAGCACACTTTGCTCCTCCGCTGGTCAAAGCGGAGGAATCCTCCATAAGGCAAAGAGTCCCTACTTTGTCTTCTGATTTTAAAGAAAACTAAAGAAGACAGGAAGAAAAAAAGAACAGATCCTGAGAGAGGGGGAGAAGAGGAATAGATTGAGGGAAGGTAAGTTCGGCATGACCGTGCCGCTTTAAGAAATTGTTCTGCGTGGCATATTAACTGTGAATGTCATAATAATGTTCACGTTTATTACAATAAAATACACATTTGTTATTATGAATAAAGCTCCAATAAGTTCCATAGCACTGTACAATGGGTGGACTAACAGACACGTAACCAGACGAGTTGGACACACAGGAACAGAGGGATTGATGGCCCTGTTCAATGAGCTTGCATGCTAGGGGGAGTGGGATAATGTGACACAAAAGGTAAGGGTAGAAAAGTAGGTTGCGGTAGTGTTTATTGAGGGCTTAGTGTTTTGATGACAGTTTCAGGAGAGGAATCAGGGTGCAGGGAGGGAATGCTTCTTTAGGAATGCATATTAAAGATTTTTGAAGGAGTGGAGATTGGGTGAGAGTCTAACAGAGAGGGCAAGGCCGTTCCATAGAAAAGGTGCAGCCCTAGAGAAGTCTTTAAGGTGAGCATTAAAGGTAGGAGTACGAACAGAGGCTAGACTTAGGTCTCTGGCAGAGCGTAGGGGCCTAAACGGGACATATTTGTGTATTATTGAGGATAAGTAGGTCAGAGCAGCATTGTGTTGAGATTTGTAAGCAAGTATCAGGGTCTTAAATGGAGTCCTATATCTTACGGGAAGCCAATTAAGGGACTGACAAATGGGGAGGCGTGGGAGGTGCGAGCGGAGAGGAAGATGATCCTCGCCACTGCATTCATTTTAGACTGTAACGGGGCAAGTTGGGAACACGCAAGACCACTGAGAAGTGGATTACAGTAGTCAGCAGTAGTAGCGGGTGAGTACTCAGAAGGTGTGGGGGGATGAAAGGTGATGCGGGGGGCCAACCCTGCGCATTGGTGGGTGTGTGTAAGGACCCTACGGGAGGAGGGCCTCTCTGAGCCGGGCTGGTGCTCTCTAAATTAGACAGTCTATTTTTAAAGGACCAATGCGTAGCCAGAATGGAGTTTAGGTCTCCTATAATGTCTCAGATCTGTCCTTGTGAACTAGTCCTTAACACAGAATTCTCATTGTCTGGCTCAGTGGTTGCGCTAGGGAGGGATGGTTCTTGCCCAATGTTGCCTTCTTGGGACATACTGAAAAAAAGAATATCACAACAACAATGAACTGATTAACAACAATACAGTTGAGAAATGTAGAACTGGCTAGCTAACTAGTGCCGAAGCGAAAAGCTCTCTACCCCGTGACAAGTGAGGCCCTGCTAGTTGCCAAGCGGCTGATGAGAGGCTCTACCTATGATTTGGGCGTGGGGCGAAATCTCCGTGTTGAGATTGGGGGGTTGGCCTTGCGGGACCAGCTATGAAGTAAAACGAAGGCCAGCTCCTAACCCTATATAGCCAGTTCTCTGACCCTAGACAGGGGCTTGATGGGGGGAGGGGGGGTAATGTAACGTATTGGCGTAACGAGTCGTGATAGTGAAAGGAACCTTGAGGCCCCTGTGTTAGGAAAAAAAAAAAAAAAAAAGAGAAAGGAAGTGAGAGAAAGGAAAAATATGGAAGAGGAAATGGGCTGTGGTGGAGGGAAGGGAGAGAGAAAAATTACATTTAGCACCGTGTAGTTCTTAGAGACATAGCTGATAGTATTTTATACTTAAGTCCTGAGGGTGTTGAAGATTCCCCTGGTAGCTACTATATAACCCTGTAAGGAGATTTAGGAAGGCGTTGTGCCGTGAAAGCATGATAGTACGTGGCGGAAAGTGGAAGGGGAAATGAGCAAGGTTTGTTAGAAACAGGATGATTGCTTACGGATAGTGAGTTTGAACAAATTTATGACGTGTTATCGAGTAGAACCGTGGCCTGTCGAGGCAAGGTGGGAATCAAGCCCCCGTACCCCAATACCCCATTATGTAAAATGTGTGGCCTTGTTGAGGCAGTTGATTGAAATGAAAAGTGTTTGTACCTGATAGCGACAGGAGACAATAAAGATCCAGTAACTGTCTACTTGTAGAATGCCGTGCGAAACCTGAAATTAAGGTGCTTGTTTTAGAGGGGAAATTATATCCTTTGGGTGAGCTCTAAATATACAACGGCCTCCTCTTGATTAGTGGTGTTATATTACGTTAAACATGTGAATTAATTAACTTGATCAGATGTTAACTCCTATTTTGGTGCTGCGTGGCCTTGTAGAGGCAGTTAAATAGTGACGTGAATTAAGCTCAATTAGTACCTGATAAGCAGAACTCAGTTGAGTAATAACCGGGTTGTAGTAACGCTCTTGTGAAACCTGAATTTGAGGTAGCATATAACAAGCAGGAAAAAAAAAAAGGTTCGAGTGATACATGAGATGTTTAAGTCCTACCTTATTAGTATACAGTTAAGGTAATGTGTGATCTGTTCGTGTATTTACCAGATATCCGTATGCCACTATGTAAGAAAAACAACTATTATTTGGCCGATGGGTGAAGTACCTCCGAGTATGAGGATAGGTGTTGGCGCAGGACCACTAGTATGAGGCTTAAATGTCTCTAGAATCTAATGTACTTCTAATCCCTGGTAGCCAGCAACCACACTAAAAAAGATGTAACGTATGATTGAGTAGCTGGTAACCATAAAATGTGACATACCTGAATTGATATTAGGTAAGTATTGAATCGGCATGGTTCTAGCATGCCAGACTTCTAGAAGCTAATGAGAATAGTTGAATAGCTTTGACCAGGATGTATAACAAATGTATATAATAGCGACCCCAGCAGGACTATTAGCAGTATAGCCTATTCTATAATCCACAGAATAACAGTATTCCCAGTACGAGAGACTTAGCACATGAAAACAAATGAGACGTGTAAGTATGGTAGGATATATTGCATTGTAAAGGTCAGATTGTAGACCCGGACAGGAGTATCACATCTTAATGAAATTGACCCACCTAACCTCTAAAGTACGAACTAGCAAGCAATTGATGCAATAAACAAGAAACCTGTAACATGAAAACGCAACATACATAACGAGTGATGGACATGGAAACATAAGTTAGACTACTACATTCAAGAACCTACCAGGACTGTTGTAGATCTACTAACCAATTGAAGCCAGAATTGGAAACAAGTGACTCAATGCCCCCCCCCCCTTTTTTTTTAATTGTATTTTATTATTATTACATGTCTGGTATCAGACAGGTTAAACTCAAAGCAAAATACAGCATATAGAGACCAGGCACCAGGAGTAACCCTTTAATAGCAACTCTGTATGTGCTGCCATATACTATAGATTGTCCAATTACAGGTTTTAAGGAGATAGCATACTTAAATAGCAGAGGCCTCTTGAGGTTTCCCTGGTTAACAGTCAGCGGAGGACTGGCAAACGGGGCGGTTGTAAATGGATATTGTAATGGCGTTCTTTTATTTTGATTCGTACGAGTTTTGTTTGTGTGAAAGAGATGAGGGAATGAAGGAGAAAAAAACCCCCCCAAAAAACGTACAATAAGATTAGAATAGTCGAACGGCAAAAGAGCCCGAATGCGGCTATATGGCGATTACCTTGGCGTTCGTATGTTTCGTGCGGGTGAATGGAGAGGACGCCAGGACCGGAAGCGCAATGAAACGAAGACCAGAAGTTCGGCTGTCACTTAGACGAGGTGAACAGCGTGCATTACGGCAAGGTAAGAGTAGCAATTATATAGGAACGCTAACTCCTTCCACAAATACAGGCCTTTGGCCTTAAAAAAACACATATATATTTAAGTATCTATGTTTATACTTATGTAATTATTTTAATATGTGTGTAATATCTTTTTTCCTTTTTATACCATTAGGAGGACTGCCTGACAGCCCAGGCAGTCCACTGTAGACAGATCCACAGGCAGCTATGCCTGCGATGTGATGGTTCTTTGAGAACGATTACATGGTTTGTGGTGTCTGATTTGCCGGGGAGGCTCCAGGGCTCAAAGCCATTACTGCGTTCTTTGCAGTCGCAATGGCTTTAAAGCCCATTATATGCAGGATGGCCTAGAACACCGTAACGGCGTTATAGGGTTAAAGGACACAACCACCCTTAAAGCAATCTAGCTTGCTGAAGTGCTTTAGAGGAGAATCCCATTTTAAAAGCACTTTAAAGTGACATTTTCTAGGAGAAATCAGCACTTTTATAATAAATTAAAGGAACACTAGAGAAATTTAAAACAACTTTAGCTTAATGAGGTACTTTGGGCGGGTCATGCCCCTGCAGTCTCACTGTTAAACTCTCACTTTTCAATCACTTTTGTTTCTGTCCATGAAGTCATAGCCACACCCCCTTGGCTGTAACACACACACACAAAAAAAAGTCTAATTTTCAGATGTTAACTTATACGTTTTTATCTCCTGCCCGGTTAACTGAATCTTACACACACTGGAGGTTCCTGTAGGCGTCAACCAGCTACTAACAGAGCAGGAGATAAAAATTCTAAGTGAAACCGAATGTGCAAAAAAAAAAAAAATAAATAAAGTTTGAACATTAGGTCTTTCTTTACAGAAAGTGTTTAGGAAGGCTGTGCAAGTCACATGCAGGGAGTTGTGACTAGGGCTCCATAAACAAAAGTGATTTAACTCCAACCACTAAAGCTTTTTCACAAAACTTGGGAACCCTGGGAGACGAGCCTTATAGGTACATAATAAGAACGGATAGACTAACAGACCCTTACATCATAAGGACCTACATATACTGCTTCTAAAATACCGAGCGGCCTTCCTCCATCCCCATATGGGACACCCGGCCCTCACACTGTACGGGCCCTGTCCTGGCACATAAGCTCTGCGGGCTCCTCCTCTCCCCTCCCTCTCCTCTTTCTTCTACTTTTTTCACCACTGTAAAATACTATGACTAACACCTGTTAATATGTATGATTGTATAAAAATGTTCAATTAGTGAGTTGTGAATACAGATGACAAGCAAGGATAACAATTGGTTCAGAGAGACCTTGCCATGTCCCGCAGTCCGTAAGTGATTAAAGGTCTGGATTTACATCACACTTCGGTATTGATAGTATCCTTGTAATGCTATGTTGAAAGACCGATAGAATAGGAAGAGATATCCTGGCTATCACCTGAAACTAAATGGCAATTCCTAGACAAAACCTGTTAATCACCTGTTCACCAATCAAAATGTTTTATAACAGGACTCATTTTTGTTATGACTTCACGAATAAATCTATGTGGCTGAATAACACAAAAGTGATTTAACTCCTAAATAGCAGAGAACTGAGCAGTGAGACTGCAGTGGTATATCTATACAACAAAACTGCTTCATTAAGCTAAAGTTGTTTGGGTGCCTATAATGCCCCTTCAATTAAACTTCCCCTGGCTGCCGTAAACTCCCCTGAATGAACGGAAGTGGCTGGCCTATCTCCCCTCTCCCATACCTCCTTCTTAGACCTCAGATTAGAAAAACGCATGCATGTATTCATTGATGTATATCTCAACAGTAATTTCTACTTTTTTGGGCAGTGGAGTGTCCTTTAAGTAAAAAAAGCAGAGAAACTGCTATGTTTATGAATGGGTTAAGCCTTCCCCCAAATCCTCTAGTGGCTGTCTCATTGACAGCCGCTAGAGGCGCTTGTGTGCTTCTCACTGTGATTTTCACAGTGAGAGCACGCCAGCGTCCATAGGAAAGCATTGATAATGCTTTCCTATGCGACCGGCTGAATGTGCGCGCAGCTCAGCCGACGGGGAGGAGAAGAGGAGGATCGGAGGAGGAGAGCTCCCCGCCCAGCGCTGGAAAAAGGTACGTTTTTACCCCCTTTCCCGGTTCCAGAGCCGGGCGGGAGGGGGTCCCTGAGGGTGGGGGCACTATAGTGCCAGGAAAACGAGTGTTTTCCTGGCACTATAGTGGTCCTTTAAGACACTTCCTCCCAGAGTCATGCAGAGAGAGCGCGCGGGAGAGAGGGGAGGCAGCTGTAGCATGAGGGGAGAGGAGCAGTCCAGAGCAGCTCCAGATCCCTCACACACAGCAGCCAGCAGGGCTCCACACCACCCTCCTGAACATACAAAGTAAGCTAACAACAGGGTGGCTGGAGATAAAAAAATAAAGTGTAAAATCTGTCAAGGGTATGCAGGTAACTAATACCATGTTCCTTTCTCCCTTTCGGCTTAGCTTTCTCCGGTGTGGGTTTGCTCTGTACTTCCGGATTCTGGCACGTGACTAGTTTCTCCCCTCCTCCTGGGGCTCTCAAACATTCAGTGTATCCGCTTCGATCCGTCATAAAGAACATTGTCAATTAACTCATTATGGTTCTCTAGTTAAAGTCTCAGGTGCAATCCGACAATCAGATCAATAATCAACAATTCAAAGTAAAAAGGAATTAAAGCACAAAGTCTTATGCAATCAAAGCAGGTAACCGTTGCAGAAACAATAGAAAAAAGTATTACATGTCTAATTCCAGCCTGTGTTTGGAATTTTTTTAATAAAATGTATAAAACAAGAATCCCAAAAAAAATAAATGTTAAATATAAAATCTTCTTACAAAAAAATATGACATTTCCTAAAGAAAATGTGCAGTAACCAGATTTGACATGGGGTGGATTACCTAAACTGTATATATAAAAAAAAAAAATTAAAACAAAAACAAGAAATACAAAAATATCTAAAACAATGTCTAAAACTAAAAACTAGAGGGGGGGGAGGGGAGGGATTACAAAAAGATTACACAATTCACAATTTATGATACAATTGTTGAGCCACAAAGAAAAATGAATAGGAAGCAATTTGAAAGCGGTGTGTATAATGATTGAGGAGCCGATAGGTCAATAATCATGCATTTTTTTATTTGAGAGTTTGCTAATGGCAATGCCAACAGGGTTTGTTTGCCAAGATGAAAAAGGGGGTGGGGTGGGGAGGAACATGGACAAAACATGAAACCTTTGTTGGACTTCTTTAGCAATCAGTGTCAACTGTTAGGGTATCATTGGACGTGGACAAGAGATTGGGGCAGGGGCATTCTAGCGTGCCTACAGGATGTGAAACAATACCAGTATGGAAACCAAGAGTAAAACCGCAAACCAGGAATTCCACCAAGTGAAGGGAGGGTAAATAGTATGAAAGATTGTTGAGGTTAACCTGGGTCAATCATTGTTTTGATTACAATTTTGAAAGGAACATTGACCTGGCACTGTGTTTAGACGTGTAATTATCTGCAGGCACTGAAACTGCATGTGCCTGCGTTAAAATTATTGCAATCCTGTGCTTTGTCCCAAAACACAATGGGCCGTACTAGCTTTTCTTATAAACCTCATTGTTTTGGTTTGATAGAGAAACTGGAATTAGCACAGGGGCACAAATTAGTGGAGTGGGAGGTGGATGAACAGGCAGCGCAAGACAGAGGTTTCAAGCCCGCAAAATGTCTGTAGAAGAGCTCTATATCCAACTGGCTCCAGTCGGTACGTATATTTAGTTGAGCCAGAGCTGCTGCTTTGGCTGACACAGACTTATGGTAGTCATAAAACGTGAAACCTCCATACCTGCATCCCAAGTCCACCAATTTGTGCATGTACAGGTCCAATTCTTCGCGTCGTAGTGGGAAAACAGAACAGATGACATCTCTATACAATCCAAATGCTAGGACAAATTCGGGAATGGTAAGTTTTTTGTTCAGTCTCGTGTCTGTAACCTTTAGTACTACAGAAGAGTCACCATAATTGTAGGTTTCATTTTCAATGAGGTCTTGGGAAGCGATTAACAAAAAAAACAGGTTGACATCCTTGCCATCTAGAATGTCTTTACGAAGAGCAGGGGAAACCAGGTGTGCAGGGGTAATTACGTGTGATGAGGAGGGAGTGGGAGGAAAAATGGGAGCACTACCCTGCGTGACAGAAAGTGCGGGACCCAGAGTTTGAGTGACCAGAGGATGATTAACGGGACCAGTGCCAGAACTTTCCAATTTCGAAAGTCTCTCATTGATAGATTCTAGTGAGGTCATAATTGTAGCAATCATTCCCTGAACTTCAGCCAGCCTGTCCAAGCAGCAACCATGTGAGCTGGTACCAGGCATAGGATGTGAAGAGAGCAGCCGATAGAGTTCCGCCTTCCTAGCCGTAGCAGGATAGGGTATACCTCTACGGCGAAGTTCAGCCGAGATCTTGGGTACTGTCCAAGACCTCAGGGACCCTGGTTCCTGGAATTCAGTTGGGGCACCAGGCTTGACAGAGGTGCATGGCCTAGTCTGTGTGCATAGGGGAGCTAGTTCTTCTCCTTGGTTGGATTCTTGAGACATACTAAAAAGACAAGTAAAAAATAAAAATAAAATTACCAAAAACAGTAATTTTATGTAATGTAAATTCCTTTTTCCTTAGTATAGTGGTAGTACCGCCTACTGTGCCCGTATAATCACTATACCTCCAAGGTTTCCCAGTCATTCATAGAACCAAATGGAGAACATATATTGCAAATATAATTTAATTCATACAAAAACAAGAGGGAAAAAGGCAGCACTGAAACTATAAGGAAAAAGGAATTCGGTAAGTAAAAATTACTTTCTTCCCCTCACGTATAGTGGCAGCACTGCTAACAAATGGGATATAGCAAGATCCCTTCAACAAAATATGGTTGGAAAATCAGAGGACCACTGCCAGAAGCACCTTTAGCCTAAAAGCAGCTTCAGAGGAAGAGAATATGACCAGCCTGTAATGCTTGGTGAAGGTATGGACTGATGATCAAGTAGCCACCTTACAGATGTCTTCTAGAGAAGCTGCAGATCTTTCTGCCCAGGAAGTAGCCATCGCCCTTGTGGAATGTGCTTTTACCGGAGGACTGAGAGCAACACAACGGGTTTCATAAGCCAGTTTAATAGCTTCTTTTAGCCACCTAGCGATTGGAGGCTTCTCTACCTTTACAGGAACCTTGAAATGTGATAAAGGTGATCTGAGATTCTGAAGATAAATTTCCAAAGCTCTTTTAACATCTAGAAGCCACTTTCGTTCTGCCTCCGAAGATTGAGCCTGGCAGAAAGAAGGTAAAACAATAGGCTGGCCCATAGTCAAACTGCAAATAACTTTAGGTAAAAATGAAGGCCTGGGATGCAAGACCACTTTGTCTTGGTGGAATATGGTAAACTGAGAAGTTAAAGAAAAGTCTACAGTTCTCCTATTCTCTTTGCAGAAGGGATAGCCACTAAGAAGATTGTCATGAGTGAAAGCATCTTCAATGAAACATCCTGTAATGTATCAAATGGAGGTTCACAAAGAGCCTGAAGGACGAACGACAAATCCCAGGTAGGAAAAGATGAAAGTTTAGGAGGTCGTTTCGGCAAGATTGACTTAAAATATCTGCCGATAAGAAGGTTGGATGCTAGGTCACGCGCAAGTAAGTGACTTAATGCTGAAGTCTGGGTTTTAAGTGTTGACAGACCTAGAAACCCATCCTGAAGGAAAGACAGAATGTCTAGAATAGATGGATCATCTGGGCAGTAGCTTTTTAGAACACACCAGTGCATGAACTTTATCCAAACCCTAATATAAATCTTAACCGTGGATGAACACAGGATGAACACAGGCCAGAACCAGTTGACTAGTGACAAAGTGGCTACTAAAAAAGACTGGACATATCCCGTTTGCAATACCTTGGGTTGTCTACTATTGCAAATGGTATGCCATCATAGGGGTAATTTTCATTCTTGGGCTACCATAGGGTCTCAAAGGCAATGTAACCAATCTGGCGAATTTTAATGTGAAAAAAATGAAACGCAAGCCTTATATTTGACGCTGTAACTTTTGAAAACACCCTAAAACCTGTACATGAGGGGTACTGTTGTACTCGGGAGACTTCGCTGAACACAAATATTTGTGTTTCAAAACAGTAAAAAGTATCACAGCAATAATATCGTCCGTGTAAGTGCTGTTTGTGCATGAAAAATGCAAAAAAATTCACTTTTACTGGCTATATCATCGTTGTAATACATTTTACTGTTTTGAAACACTAATATTTGTATTCAGCGAAGTCTCCCGAGTAGAACAGTACCCCCATGTACAGGTTTTATGGTGTCTTGGAAAGTTATAGGGTTAAATATAGTGCTAGCAAATTAAATTCCCTTTACTTTCGGCATGGGTTGTCAGGCACATCCCGCTAATTGTAATTAATTAAAGATAACCAATTATGTAAAATTATTACATAAATATGTAGAATTTATATATAATATAAAAAAATTAAATATGTAAATACGTTAAAAAATAAAATTAAAAAATATATAGATTGTTATTTCGTTCTAACTGTATTGTGATAATATATTTATATCAAAATAAACGTAGAACGAATATATATCTATATACATAAATATATACGTATATATCACTATATAAATAAAAATATTTTTAAAAAATTATATATATATTCACATACGTGTGTGTGTGTGTGTGTACACACGTATGTGAATATATAATTTTTTAAAAATATTTAATTTATACAGTGCTATATACGTATATATTTATGTATATATATATATTATTTTGTTCTACGTGTATTTTGATATAAATATATTAATATCACAATACAGTTAGAACGAAATAACACATCTATATATTTAACGCATTTACATATTTAATTTTTTTATAATATATATATATATTTAATCAGTATCAGTCTACGTGTAATTTGATATTTATATATATTAATAGTAAAATACACCTAGACAGTGTATGTGTGTGTGTGTGTGTGTGTGTGTGTGTGTGTATATATATATATATATATACACACACACATATATATATATACACACACACACACACACACACACACACACATACACACACACATACACATACACATATAAATTTATATTTATATTTTTTTTTTACACTTTTATTTAATTTTATTTTCAGCCAGCAGGGGGACCACCTGTCATTACAGGCAGCCCTCCTGCTGGCAATGCTGCAGCCAGCTATCCCGGCCATGTGACCTCACTCTCACATGGCCGGGGGGGCTTCCAGGGGGTCGGACGTGCCGCGGGGGGCTCCCTGGGAGTCCCCCCAACCGCGATCGCCGGCGACCGGGTAAGTAATGAAAGACCGGAGGGTGTACTATTACGCCCGGCGGCGTTTAGAGCCGCCTAAAATAGGGCGTAATAGTATGCCCTCCGGTCTTAAGGGGTTAAAGACAAATGAGAAGAAAATACAAATTTTCTCACCTCAAAACCCCACCATCGTGTAGGAGGGATGGTGACATGGAGTACCTGTTCTGGCAACCACCCTTGGGGTAAGACAGGTCCTGCACAGCTTTTTATTCGCCAAATTTTTGTAATTTTACCCAACATTTCTCAAAGCTCTGTCCTCCCGGGCGTGCATTCAACTGCTGTAGGCATGCATCCGTCCTGCATAGTGGAAGGTCTGCCTGGGACCTCCCAGGATATGGCCACATAAGCAGACTTTTGGACACTCACCTCGTCGGTCAGCAGCCTGTGCTGACCACACTGATCTATTAACATCCTGATCAGTAGGTGCCGGTCTATCCTATCTGCCAGGACAAGAAGAACTGGGGACCCTTGGAAGTACAGGGATTATAAGGGCACAATAGGCGGGATTTCTCAAAGATTTTAATTTTGGAGAGCTTCTTGTCCACAGAAGGCACAACCCACTTGTTTGCAGTACTGCCACTATATTTATACAGCTCGAGCCACTGAACTTTGTGGCAGGGTGATGGCCTCTCGTGACAATAAGATAATTAAAACGTGTGGCAGTGATAGGTGAGGCCATAACTGTAACCCTACAGGTGTGTGATGCAAGGCTACAATTATCACGCGGGCAGGTGGGTGAAACCTCCATGTTAAGGGGGGAGTTGGCCTCACAGGACTGAAAATACTTTAAACTAAGGACTGCACCAGACCCTCAACAGCCAGTTCTCTTACCCTAGATGAGGGCTTGATAAAAGAAACGTAATGATAGGAATATGGTTACGTACCTGGGATAATTACCAAATATGTGGAGCTTGAAAAGAGTTCGTGGAAGATACCTAAATATGTAAAATAAGTATCAATGCATAAGAGGAAGAAACAACAACAACAACAACAACTACTAACCTACTGTGTAGAAGATGCCGGTTTGCCCAAAATAGGGAGGATAAATGGACAGAACCTACATATAAAATATGAATTAGATTCTGACCAGTAACAACCTCTAGTAAGAAGTAAAAATGTGTACATACCTATGTCTGAAGCAGAGTGACTGGTAACATAATAGGATTTTGAAATCCCCAAATAACAAAAAGGTAACAAGGTAGACCTAGAACAAGATGAATATATGACTACCACAGGGAAACCGGAAGAGGACATAGCTTAAAGTTTATTACATAGAAGAAGAAGAAGAAGAAGAAAAAAAAAAAAAAAGTATACAAGAGTAATGCTATACGAATAACAGACGTCTGAAATAAAATGCGTATAGCCGTGGCCCAACTTGGCAATAGAAATCAAGCCCCCGTCCTCCAAGGTAAATTGTGGACATAAAACTAGGCCAATGAGAGGCCGGGTGTGTAAATATATGGAGGTAACAGGCCAAAAACAGCTGAAGCAAATATACATACATGCATGCATAAATGAGATTTCAAGAAATAGATGTATATACCATAACAATATAATGCAGAAAATCTGAAACAGGAAAATATGAAAGGTCTAATGAAGACCGACAAAATGCTTGTAATACCTATAATCGATGGGGTGAGAAAATAGGAGGGAAAAATGATTAGACATGCGATCAACCCATGTTATATAGAAAACAAAATGTGATCAGCATGGACCTTAATGTAGGCCATCCGCTATATCAAGTTAAAGAAGGGAAACGGGCCCAGTACAGTAATAAAATTAAAAATAATTCCTAATTTAAATATGAAAATTAATACTTGCAATGTTATTTAACGGTTTAACAAATTCACACTTGAATGAAAAAAAATTCAATACCAAACAAATCCACTGGGGGCTCAACATGAGAATTCCCAGCAAATAACCAAATGCACATAATAAGAACCAAAATTCAGCAGGACAATTGTATCAACAACAAAAAAAAACCACAAATTAAAACAGATGAACACAGGCGAACAGCTGTACCCCGTGCGATCAGAAACGAATGAAAGCCAACATGAAGAAACGGAGTACCGAACGGTTACAACCCTGAAGGCTTGTGGAAATGCCCAAATGTCAGAAAAGCAAAATTGTCTATTGACACTATAAGCACCCAAATCACTTCATGTCAATGAAACGGTCTGGGCACAAGTGCCCCTGTCATTTTAGTCCTGCAATGTAAAACCTTCACGTTCAGTATATACAGCAATGTTTCCAGTTCAGGGAGAGAGAAAAAAAAAAAAAAAACCCTACACATTTAGGGACTGTCTTCCAGGCGGCCACTAGAGGTGCTTCCGCTGTGAGAACTAAAATCAGAGTCTGGTCTCACAGGTAAACTCCTCAAATGATGCTCATAGAGCATTTAATTGGAAGAATGCGGTGCCGGAGAAACATTGGATTGGCCGAAAAAGGAGTCATCACGTTGTGGAAGACTGATCGCACAGCAGCAGGTACTGGATCATGGCACTGGAAAAAACAAGCAATACCCTTTTTTTCCCCTTTTCTTTGCCTGAATCTAAAAATAGTGTGGAGATAACATTCTAATGTTCCTTTAATATACTGTCAATAAATTATTATTTTTTTTAATTATAAAAACTAGCCTTCCCTGTGGAGCCTAAGTAAGGCAGAGGGGTATACTGTAGATCCCAGAGCTTGCACTATAGAACACATACAGCAGTCTTTACATTTACACATAAAAAAAATGCAATCAACCTAACATTGTAAATTTGATTATTCAAGTAACAAAAGCATGACAGACCTTTACAGACTAGTGAAACTTTATCACTACTTTGTTCATAACAACTGATATATAGCAGGGGTAGGCAACCTTTCCACAGCACTGTGCAGAAATAGGATTGTGATGTCCCGTAGCGTGTCGGTCCCTTTTTTTTTTTTATTGAGGTGTGCTTGTTGCCATATTCTGCTTGTGTTATTTATATTGCAGTTGTTTTGTATCATATTTGTGGGTATATGAGCCATTATATTGTATATGTTAATGAGTAGTTTGTGGTATCGTGTATGATACATATGAATGTGGGCTGCTTGTGCAATTGTGTGTGCTGATGGATTTGTCACATGGGGTGTTTGGAAGTGTGTGTGTGTATATGTGTGGGGTTGAGGACCCTGCTTAATGAGCTTACATGCTATAGAGAGTGGGATAAAGTGACAAAAGGTAAGGATAGTATTAGACTAATGACAGTTGCAAGAGAGGAATCAGTCGGGAGCGATTAACAGTAATTAAAAAACGCTTTTTCTGAAGAAGTGGGATTTTATGATTTTTTGAAGGAGTGGAGACTGGGTGAGCATCTAACGGAGGATGGAAGGGAGTTCCACAGGAACGGTGCAGCCCTCGAGAAGTCTTGAAGGCGAGCATCAGAGGTGGGAGTACAGACAGAAGATAGATGTAAGTATTCAGCAGAGCGTTAGGGCCTAGACGGGACATACTTGTGCATTAGGGAGGATAGATAGGTGGGGGCAGCATTATGTAGAGATTTGAAAGCAAGAACCAGAACTTTAAAATTGAGCCCTATATCTTACAGGACTGACAGAAGGGTGAGGCGTCGGAGGACAGGAAGATGAGCCTCGCCGCCGCATTCATTATGGATAACGGCGCAAGTTGGGAGCACGTAAGACCACTAAGAAGCGGATTACAGTAGTCAAGGTGAGAAAGGACAGTGGAATGGACCAGCACCTTAGTCGCATCTGGCGTTAAGTGGGGTTGTATGCGAAAACCAAGGCAGTGAGCCTGCATGGTGGAGCTTATGGTAGCCCTGTTGACTTGGAGGGAGACATAAGAGTAGCAACCCTTGAGGGAGGAAAGACCAGAATTTCAGGTTTTGGTCAAGCTGAGTTTAAGGAAGTGGGCAGCCATCCAGTTAGAAATAGAGAGGCAGTCAGAGACACTAGTCAAGAGCGACGGGGAGAGATCAGGAGAGGACAGATTTACGGGTCATCCGCATTGAAATGATATTGGAAGTCAAAGAAGCAAATAAGTTTACCAAGGGAGGCAGTATAGTTGGAAAACAATAAGGGACACCAACAGAGAGGAGTTGGGGAGAAGAAGCAGGTAGGAGGAGCACCAGGAGAGAGCAATATCTTGTAGACCGATATTGCAGAGGATGAAAAGAAGCTGTTGATGAGCAACAGTGTCAAAAGCAGCAGAAAGGTCACGGAATATTAGGATAGCGTTGTGACCACGACATTTTGCAGCGAGTAGATCATTGGATACTTTGGTCAGTGCAGTTTCCACAGAGTGCTTAGCACGGAAACCAGACTGAAGCGGGTCTAGCAGAGAGTTGGACTCTAGGAAGTCTCAATCTTGCGCATACAACTCTTTCAAGGATCTTGGATGTGAGAGGCTGCATGTGGGGTTGTGTGCATGTATGTAGACTGTTGGTGGTGTTGAGTTTGTGGGGAGTGTGTAGGTTGTTTAAATTATTTGTATGAGGGGAGGGTTATTCTGCATTCCTGAATATATCTAGCAGTCTGGGTGGCTTCCCTGGGTTCCAGTGGATCAGGCTGGCCAGGTACAGGTCAAGAACAGGAGCGGCAACTTGTGGGCTGCTCTACTATAGTTTGGATTCCCATTCACAAGGGCTGGAAGGGAAGTGATCTGAGATCACTTCAACATGCTGCAATGCATAAATTGAGGATTGTCCTTCACCACCTTTTTGTATTAGCAGATATCTGAAGTTTCACTGGGACTCCTGATATGCCAGAGCCCTTTTGGCTCTAGCAGCCTTGAGTGCCGTGCAAAGACATCTCAAGTGCCGAGCATGACACACGTGCCATAGGTTGCCTACCCCTGATAAATAACCTTAATTATATTCTCCTTTTCCAAAGATCCAGAACATCCTTATAAAAAGTGAATTTCTATATGTTTGGAATTGGTCTCACATCGACGGCGCAATTAAAACAAAACCAATTTAAAGGCTTGATAAAGGCTCAGGATGTGAGCTGAAATGCTTGAAATAAACTCTCTTTTGAATATTACTACGTTTACCAAAGTTGTAGGCGTCTAATTCAAAAGGTGAAAACAGTCAACTGCTACGGCATGGCATGAGCAGATACACACAGGCAAGGCTACAAATCACTGGATAGCCATTTAGTTTCCATTATCAATAGCAGATCAAACATCATTAGCTTAAGACCATGAAAAGTGATTATCTTCTCATAATCCAGTCAACTATGCTATGACCTTACTTCATAGTCATGCTTCTATTTGCACACAAAATATGAAAAAACAGACCAATGCAATAAACATGTTTGTGATCCACAGTGACATAACAGTCTCATGATGGTACAAAAGCCTATTGAAATGGACAAAAGTTAATGGTGTAAAATAAACATTTCTACAGAAACCAAAATAATTGATATGTTTATAAGATCACTTAAATATATGAAACATAAGGAGAAATAAATAAACATCACATGCTAGCAATTTACAGCTCAAAGTAGAATTGTTCTCAAGTCAATAAAATAATACAGAAGTTTAACGTGATACAACACATTTTCTGTTCTAACTGAACGGTCTTATTAAATGTATATCACCATGCAACAGACTTGTTCCTGATTGACAAAAAAAACCAAAGCGATCACCTGGACACACATAAATGTGAAAGATACTGCTGCAAAGACCCACTGATAAAATATACAAAACTCCATGCAAATCACACAGGGTAGACTAAACCATATAACAATTCTTAACAGAGGAAAAAAAAAAAAAAAAAAATATATATATATATTTTAGATGGGGGTCACAGGGAAGCTCAGCTCCTGCAAACAATGACCTTATACAGCCTCTAAAACACAGTTTTAATCACCTACCCCACCCATAACTGCAACCACCGATGGATAAGGGCCACCGGAACTGGGGAGAGGCTTGCTCACTGAGTTTTAGTCCCCCAGAGGGGAGATCTCTGCAGCAACAGGCAGGACCTTTTCTGGCGGAGAGTGGAGTGAACAGCCACCGCTCCACTATCCCGCCTAACGGAGCCTGACAAACTACAGCTGTGCGGCCCCAGTCCCGGACCCCCCCTCTGGGACGAGGGGTGTCATCCCGGTCCTCACCCCACGGCCGCACCCAGAGGCCATAGCGAAGGCCCCAAGCCTAAAGCCAAGATGGCCCACTTACAGAGCCCGGAACAGACCGGTCAGGAACCCAGCAGCAAGTAAGCATTGTGGAGCCCCTAAGAGACACTTATCCTCAAAGGCAGATGGGGAAGGCGGCGCCATGCAACGAACCACCTACCTTCTTATAGAGCCGAAGCCCAAGTCATAATGCTGCGTCCCCCTCCAACTTACCAAACAGCCCCTCCTGCCCAGCAACAGCTTAAAAAGTGACATCACGTTCGCGGATATGCAGCAAGACAAGGAAAACCCCACATAACGAGCCGCAGCTCAAGGGGACAATGAGCGGACAAACCTCACCTACATATGCTAATACCACCGCAAAACGGAACAAGCGAGGACCACACACTACCTGCGTACCAACCTCACGGAACATACATATGTTGGAGAAGCACATCGGCCCACTTATCAGGATTCCCCCATGCCCAGCCGAGGCCGCAAAGCTGTATACACCGACATACCAACTGTCTTGGGCCGGTTCAGAGACACTCAGAGATGCTAACCACACTTTACTTACCACAGTGTTTATATCTCCCCTATCATGTCGAGGTCACTGAGCGCTTGAGATCCGGAATTGCCCTCTCTCAATTTTTTCTTGCCACTGACGATCTCTACCATACCCCTGAGCAGCAGACATAGCTTCTCACTTGCACACAGCCTGGGGGAAATCAGCTAGCACTAAACGCTTACACGAGGCCCTGCACAGGCGCACAGCACAATACTCGATCACCTAATGCTATGCACATGCAGGGGCTCCTGTTTTTGATGGCGCTGACTTACTATACCTGACAGCACCATGTTCATACAAGCGACACCTACTCGACTAACCTTCATGTAATTATAAAAAAAAAAGTGCACACAGTTTCCTCATGCTATGCCTCCCAACTTAACGATTTTTGTCAAACAATGAGTATATGCCGTTGGGGCGATGCAAATGTATCTGTAACTACATGTTTATTGCACGCAAAAATAAAGAATTAAATTTTTAGATGACCTAATGGAAATTTAAGACTATACAATGCTTCAATTTTTGGCAGGTCCTAACCTAATAATTGCTCTCAATACATTAAGTACAATAACCACTAAAGCTCATTGTAACTGCTATGCTCAAAGACACTTTGTGTCATACCTATCCCGTTTTAGTCTAAGAATTGGAGTGGTGGTGGGGGGAAATGGATTTCTTATATACGTAAACAAACACGACAGGTCTTAGAAACACCATTTAGGTGGCTTGCCACTCCTTAAAAAGGTTAGGAGAAAAAAAAAACCAAAAAAACCCCTTACCTTCTTTCCAGCGCCATGCTGGTCTATCTATGCTGGCCCCACCCCCGATGTTTTTTCCTATGGGAAAGCATTGGATTGATTAAGAATTTTCCATAGGAAAGCATTGGGAGGCTATCGAGCATGCATGGCAAAACAATGTGCTGAGCCAATTAGCATCTCCTCAAAGAGATGCATCGACTTAATGAAGATCACTCAGCGTCTCCATGCAGAGTGTGCAGATATTGTGCAACACACACACACACACACACACAACCTCTAGTGGCCACCTGAGTGACTGCCTAGGCACCAATGTCAACACTGCCTTTTCTGTAAAAAGGCAGTGCTTACATTAACCCCTTAGGGACACAACTTCTGGAATAAAAGGGAATCATGACGGAATATTTCCGTCATGTATCCTTAAGGGGTTAAAATGCCTGCAGTGGCAGGGAGTAGACACCCACAACTACATTAAGCTTTAGTAGTTCAGGTGACTATAGTGTACCTTTATCTAGCATAGCTCCGCAACATGCAGCGTTAATATATAATGGAACTTTCATCATCTAGGAGAAGTGAAAATTAAATTTAAAAAAAATAAAAAAAAAATTAGTCGAGGGGTTGACTAACATTTAACTGAAAAAAATAAATAAATAAAAAAATCAGTAGCTGGTATACAAAAGTTTCTCATTAAGTAGACTATTTATAAAAGGTAATGTGATTTAACATGAAATTCAAGTATATTTAATATGTTTATCTATCAAAAAGATAAAATATTCTGCCAGTGTTAAAGGGTTATATAAGCACCAAATTTTTAGCTTAATGGAGTTAATTTGGTATCTAGATCTTGCCGCCGCAGGCTCACTGCTCAATTCTCTACCATTTAGGAGTTGAATCGCTATTTTATGCAGCCCCAGCCACACCTCTCTGCATGTGACCTACACAATATCCTTAACATTAGAGATATAATGTTTATATTTCCTTTATTGCACAGTCTGTTTAATTTAGAATTTAATATCTCCTGCTCTGCTGGTAGCCCACTAACGCCTGCAGGAGCCACCTGTGTGATCAAAGTATAATTAACAGAGTGGGAAATAAAAACTTCTAAAGTAATCACACTGTGCTGATTTAAAAAGAAACCATTTTCCATGTTTGCTGTGTATGTCCCAACCAGGGGAGACTGTGGCTGTATAAACAGAAACAAATGTTATTTACTTCCTTAGAGAACGGAACAGTGAGCTTGGTGCTTATCTATACACCAGAAGGTATTCATTAAGTTAAAATTGTTTTGGAGCTTAGAGTTTGGCTGCTTCCTCATTTTCAACAATTATGGTACTAGACAGAAGGTAGGCATGTAAATGCAGGAGATTTGACATAAAAAAGAACTTAAATTAAACTTAAATTGCAGTCATAGAGGCACCCCTGTGTGAAGTGTGCATGTAGGCAGATGCCTCCTCTGCCCAATGAGAACATTAGAAATCCAGACTTGTGGCTGGCAAGAGGGGTGGGGTGGGGAAGCTAATAATTATGGAAAAAGCTAACAATTTTGTTAGCTACGCAGGGCAAAAATAAAGTTCATGAACAGGTATGTGGACACACAGGTCCTATAAACAAAACATAAATTGACTTATCTGGTAAACTCTAGGCTGGGAGGGATGTTTTAACATTGATCTGTTATTAGGACTGTGTGCGTGGTAGCTGCTCACACACAGTCCTACAGTCTTTGCCTTTATCTTCCAAATAAACAGATTCATTCTGGTGTGGATTACAAAAGGAAGCTCTGAGGATTCTGAAGGTTTATGAATTAACCACATTTTTGCACATATTCATGTTTGTATGACAGTTCAAAAAGCACTGAATGTCTTAGGAAGGGCAACGATGGTCAATAATACTGTTAAAGGACCACTATAGGCACCCAGACCACTTCAGCTTAATGAAGTGGTCTGGGTGCCAGGTCCAGCTAGGGATAGATAGAGATACACACACACACACGTTTATGTTAGGGTTTATCCAGCCTCCAGTGGCTGTCTCTTGACAGCCGCTAGAGGCGCTTGCGTGCTTCACACTGTGAAAAATCACAGTGAGAAAAGACGCCAGCGTCCATAGGAAAGCATTGAGAATGCTTTCCTATGGACTGGCTGAATGCGCGCGCAGCTCCTGCCGCGCATGCGCATTTAGCCGAAGAGGGAGGAGAGGAGGAGGAGGAGAGCTCCCCACCCGGCGCTGGAAAACGAGGTAAGTTTAACCCCTTCCTCTCCATCCAGCCCAACGAGAGGGGGACCCTGAGGGTGAGGGCACCCTCAGGGCACTATAGTGCCAGGAAAACGAGTATGTTTTCCTGGCACTATAGTGGTCCTTTAAGGAATTTCCATTCCTTGCCACACCTCAAAACTATTTTTGTATATAAAATAAAAAAAAAACATTCATACACACAAAATGGAATAATGAGGCAAAAATTTGATTCTTTGTTAAACCCAGTATGTATATACCCACCCAGAATCCTTTGAGATTTCTGTTAATATAAAAAAATAAAAATAAAAAAAAAAGTTACATATATCCCAGCACCACCCTATATTATAAGCATGTTCAAGCGAGTGCAGTCCTAGCCATATCTGGATAGCTATATATTTTCAGAGTCTAAGCCAATGCCTTGGTTTTGCACCCCTCCCAGTCACAGGTGCCTCTTCAAGTCCCCCGTTTAGCCTTGACCTGCAGAGAGAGTCTCAGTAAGGAAGAATTTCCCCAAGTAAGTGGATTAATCTCATAGGAGCAGGCATTAGGATGCTAGGATAGGACCTGCAAAATGGAGTACAGCTTGATAAAGACCCGGTAGGGTAGAAACATTGCAGTTTTTGCCTCAATAAAGCGGCTATTTTTTGTTATCCCGGAGTGCCTAAACCGTTATTTATTCTGCATATCTTGGAAGAGAGGCCTGGTCAGCCCTAGTTTCGAGCACCTGAGTTACTTGGGTGCGGTATCAAATAAGTCTCTAAGAATGGAGTACATTGATGTTGTGAGAGAAAATAATAATAATAATTATTATTATTATTATTATTAAATATATTATACATACACACACACTAACAGTTGGCGAATGAACCTGCATTATTTACGATCAATAGGTATGAATGAAACAGATAATGCAAGGTACTTTTATGAACAATGTCATGCCAAAAGCATGAGTTGGTGTTTGATGTGTGTTTATATATTTGTTGTTTTTTTTGTAAACCTTGGGATGACATTTATGGTGGTCTTTGATCTTGCACCAGGCCTAGACCATAAGACATCTAAATAGCCATCACCAGATCTGGACACAAGGAATTGCATAGAGTGGGCAATAGACTGCCAGACCAACCCCCTCTGATTCCCCCCCCCCAGGGGTCTGCCCACTGAGAAACAACTAGTTTAAATATATGAGGGTGTTGGACTATCCAGAGAAGGCAGTTATTCATTTTTCTTTTGTCAGTAACTTCTAGGAGACCTATACCATCTAAGACTCCCACAAGAATTCTATATGGGGTAAATATATGTAAGGAATTTCTTGTGTTTTCTCCTATTTTATTTTATGTACTGTTTTGCAATTTGTTATCTGTATGTCATTTATTTCTGTATTTTGTACTCAGCACTGTGAATCCTTTTTGTCAGATTAAATGTTTACTTAATCAGCTTGTATCTCTGTTCTCTATGAGCTTTACTCTCCAGAGGAAAGCTCAGGTAAACACGTTACCAAAAAGGGTTAACTATATATGTTTTATCAGTAAAAGTAGAACTGCGATACTATAATTCTACTGTGTGTGGGGTAACCTAAGACGCCCGGGTTTAAAAGTCTTAGTGGTGGCAGTAAAGTGTGTACTAAGGGGGTTAGTATAGAAGGGATTGCAGGGGTTAATTGAGTGGTTGCTGGGACTAGCAACAGGTAACCAGGGGTCTGGTGTCATTAACCCTGTCACTTCCACACTCTCCCCACTATCTCGGCTGGGCCTATAGCCCACGCACATGACAAACAAGCTTTCACAAAATTTGATTACCTTTAAAATGGCATTAATGTAACAGCATCTATTTTAAAACATAAAAGCTATGATTTAAATAGACACACAACATCGGAAAAGAAAAGCTTAGCATAGAACCTACTTTACCAGCACTTAATATCACATTAAACAAAATAATATGTAAATGAGGAGAAGGAAACTATAAAGTTTCAAATATAAAATTTCTACAGTGTCACATTTTTAGCCGTCTGTTAAAAGACGGACGTCCTCACGCTTTGCATGAGAACGTTCATCTTCTATGTTTCCCATAGGATAGAGTTGATTCAAGGATTTTCTATGGGAAAGAATTAGCGTGAACAGATACACATTAGGTCCCATCATCGCAGTGATGTCTCGGGGCGAGGAGACCTAGTCAGTAAGGCAAGTAAACAAGGATTTTCAACCCTTTAATCAGACAGTGAGGGGGGCTATATTATAGATAGATCATATATTTATATAATAGAAGAAGTGGCAAAAAATAGCAGGTCCTACATTCATTAAACCAATGCAAGTTCGTGTTCTGCCACTAAATTACAGTACACTGCAGTGACCAGCTTTCCTGCTTTGGCCACCAGGCTATGCAGAATCCTAGTGTGATTAATAACCTCACAGGCCATGCTTGCTCGGTCACTGGATACTGCTCCACAAGGTCAGTTTAGCTAAAACAAAAGGATTTCTGATTTATGTCAGAGGCTTCCTGGCATTAGTTAGAGGTTATGTAATTGCTCAATCAGCATTCTTCTTACCGCAGTGCACTAAAAGGGCTTCATTAGTAAGCTCTGATGTTTTAGAGAGCCACAAGCTGCTTTGCAAATGAGGATGGAAATGCTGTCCTGAGCAAATCGTTTAATAAAAAAAAAAAAAAAAAAATAATTCAAAGTTTGATACTGTGAATAATTTACATGTGGAGATCGGTCATGTAAACATTCTGCATCGTTTTTGTTTCCTCCTTGTCTTTGCTGCAGTTAGCCTGCACAAAAAGATATGTCAATGAGACAGCACAAACGCTGCTGTTTGACCATTTGCAGTGCAAAAAAAATTTTTTTTATATATATACACACATACATATACACACACACACACACACACATCAAAACAAATCTGGCATTAACTGAACATGCTGGAATCACGTTTTCCACTACTATCAGTTTCAGACAGCCAGTACATGCTGGAGTCACGGATCCCACTCCTATTCGTTTCAGTCAGTCTAGTACATTACAGTAGATTATTCACAGTCTCACCTACCTACCTTCAGTTGAGCTTCGCATGCAGGGACTCACAGTAATGGGTGAAATGAGGTAACGACGTGGCGTTTCATTGGCTGACGGATAGTTTCTGATGCAGAAGACAGTGTGTGGCGACTGTGAGAGATGAGAAAGTTATCTGTAATATCGATAAATTACAAGGTCGATACCAAAGATCAGCTCTAATAAATCGACAATTGAAAATAGGTCTATCCCTAGTTTCGTTGCTGAATTATCTGCCATTTAGGAGTTAAATCACTTTCAGGGTAATGCATTCAAGTTAGAATCTCCAGTGAACAGATTTAAAGACTAAGAAAGCCAAACTGAAAACAAATGATTTGGAGTATTTTTCTAATTCGGCTACTTTGATCTACATTTGGAAATTAACTTTAAATTCTAACTTTAGTGAAAAATCTTGCATGTTTGTCAATGCCTTGCCACACCTCCCGTGGCTGTGACTTCATGAAAAAAAAAAAAAAAAAAAAGTGGTTTAATTTTTACAGCAAGGTGTTTGTTCAGATTTTATCTCCCACTGTGTTAATTGACCTTTCATGCAGGAGACCGATTTAGGCTAGAGAAGGCAATTAACAGTGCAACAAAATAAATCCTAAATTAAACACACTGCTGCAATAAAGGAAAATGGGGAGGTGAGGCTAGGACTGCATAAATGTGACTACAGTCCTAAATAGCTGAGAATTAAATTGTCAGATTGCAGTGACATTACCTCTACACGGCCACTTCTGAAAATAAATTGAATAAGTTATTTTGGTGGTGAGAATATTCCTTTAAGGTACAAATATACTCACTAGTGAGGAGTCTGTTCTGCAGTTAACCCTTTAAGGACAGAGCTTCAGAAGCTTGTCTTACGCTTAAGGATAAAGGCCATTTCTGCTGTTTGTATTCAAACACAATTTGCATCTGTCATTTATTGCACCAACACATATTATACATTGTTTTTTATAGGGCAAACAGGGCTTTAATTTAATGTCACATATACATAGATACATTCTTATTAATTATATAAAAAAAAATTTCCACAGTTTTGGCAATAATAGCGTGTGCATAATACGTCCAGCTTAGAAAAAGTAATTCAAAATAAATTCATTTATGTGTCTTGATTTATAGAGTACATCATATGTCTAGGATTTCAGCTTATTTTGAAAGCTACAGGTCACAATATACAAGGACTAAAATAAAATTTAAATTTGCGACAATTTTAGAATTTGGAATTTCTAGGTTTAGTAGCCATCACAGAAAACAAAATTGCCACACAAAAGTATATATTTATATAAAGTAGACATCACAGGCTATTTACCAAAGGTTAGTTTGACACTTTTTACGTAGCCATTTCATCGCCAATCTCTGCTAAATATTGGAGTAAAATTGTGTTCTCTCTTTATTTTGGCATATACACATATAACAAGGTTTTTTTTTTTATGTGTATTTCGTAAAAAGCTGGTGCGTGCTATTCTTGCACAGAGCCCCATATTGTGTTCAGCTACATCTGCGGAGTATAACGATACCCCCATTGTATGCCTTTGGCACTTTTCTGTAAAGCTACAGTGCCATATAAAAAAAGACAATGCTATTTTAGTTTCTATAGTTAGAATTTTCGTAGATGGATTTGATGGGCCTATGTCTCATTTTAGGGTATTCTAGCAGTATGACTGTTCAAATAACCCCACAAAGGGCTTTCATTTGATAAAGCAGACACCCCATGGTATCTTATATGGTGTATATTGTGCCTTAGCCTGTCACTATTTTTTCCACCAATTTATGTCAATGTTTGTGGTGAGGGGGGGGAATGGCATTTTTACATATATGTTGCATTTGTGCTAAGTATTTCTTACACTTAATATGTACCACTGTCATAAAAATCCCCAAATTATACTCAGTAACACCTTCTGAGTAAAACAATATGCCCAATGTATAACCTAGACACTATTTTGTGAAGTTACAGTGCTGTAAAAGAGATGTGACAAGTTAAGGTTAAGTGTGAATTTTCATGGAGGCTTTTGATGCGTCCGTGTCCCACTTTGGAGCACTTGAGCAGGCTACATATTACAACTACACCATAAAGGCATACCATTTCTTAAAGAAGACATCCCAGGGTATTTCAAATGGCATATTCTGCCTTTTTGAAACCCAAAGTGAGTTTGCACAGTATATTTTGCAAACCTTATGCGTCCTACGACTGTATGATACTACATATGTTGCTCAGCTATGTCGTCTGAGTACAGCAATACCCTCATAAGTACATTTGCCAGGTATATGTAGACATGGAAGGGGCACATCTGAGACAGTCACTCCAGTGGTTTTTTTTTTTTTAAACTTTGAATTTTAACACTGTGCCCATGCCCCATTTTAGAGTATTTTACCAGGATACATAATCCAAATACCCCATAAAGCCATACCATTTCTTAAATAAGACATCCCAGGGTATTTCAAAAGCCATATTTTGAACCTTTGTGTGGGATCATTTTTTCCGCTAGCTTATACCAAGTGTAGTGGTAATAAAGCGTTTTTTTCTGCCTTTTTGACACCCAAAGTGAGTTTGCACAGTATATATTTTTTAAACCTTAAGTGTGCTACGACTGTATAATACTACATATGTTGCTCAGCTATGTCATCTGAGTACAGCAATACCCCAGTATGTACCTTTGCCAGGTATATGTGGATGTTGAAGCGGCACATTTAAGACGCAGCCATTCAGTTTTTTTCTAACTTTGAAGTTTTATGCTGTATCCATGTTTCATTTTGGAGTAGTTTAGATGGTTGGTTAGTGAAACTTTCCCACAAACACATACTATTTATTAAAGAATACACCATGAGGTAATTCAAAAAGCGTATTTTGAACCTTGGTGTGGGATAATTTTTTCTCTAGTTTGTTACAGGTGTAGTGTTAATGAGCGTTTTTAAATGTATCTTTTTACTTTTTTAAACTTTTTTTACTTTCTAAAAAAAAAATTCATTTTTAAACTTTTTTGTTGCTTATTAATTTTTTTTAAACTTTCCTAAACTTTCTTAAAATAGTTTTTTTTTTTTTTTTTACAGATTTTACAATTTTATAAGCTTTTTTTTTTTTTTTACCGTTAACCCCTGACTAGCAGTAAGCAGCACCAACAGTAAATTCCCCACCAACCCCAGCTAGCAAAATATATAATTATAAAATATTTAAAATAATTAAATAAATTGAACCCTGAGGGTTAAAAAAAAATAAAAAAAAAAAAGTTACTCCTCAGGGGTAAAAAAAAATAAAAAAAAAAAATAAAAAATTAGATCACAGTATAATTAATTAGAGATGTCGCGAACCGTCCGCGGCGAACTCCGGTCAGCTGACACATCCCACCCAATCTCCGGCAGACCCTCCCTCCCAGACCCTTCTACTTCCTGGACAGCATCCATGTTGAAGGCAGCTTCAACATGGATGCTGTCCAGGAGGTGGTAGGGTCTGGGAGGGAGGGTCTGCCGGAGATTGGGTGGGATGTGTCAGCTGACCGGAGTTCGCCACGAACAGTTCGCGAGAAGTTCGGACGGTTCGCGACATCTCTAAGTATAATACTGTGATCTGTATTTTGATCACTGTAGGCAGTGATCGACTGGCAAGGAAGGGGTTAATTTTTATTGGACGGGGTAAAAGGGTTTTTTGTTTTGTTTTTTTACTTAAACGTTATTAAAACACTTAAAAACAAAAAAAACTTTAACGTTAACCCCTAGATAGCCTTATACCAAATCCCCAAATTCCCCACTAACTTCCACCCACCCCAGCTAGCTAAATATATATAAATTTTAAAATATTTAAGTTAATAAAATAAATTTAGGGTGAGAGTGAAAAAAAAAAAAAAATTAACCCTCAGGGGTTAAAAAAAATTCAGATGACAGTTAAATATAATCCTGCCAATTGATCACTGTAGTCAGTGATCAATTGGCAAATAATTACAATTTAAAATGGGGGGGGGAGAATTTTAATTAAACTTTATTTTGTTTTTACACAGGGAAGCAGATCATCACTGATCCGTCTCCCAGCACGTCACACTGAACCCGGAAGCACAGGGAGGTGGACGGTAAATCCCTGCAGCACATGTCTGTTGCAGGGGCAGCGCGATTTGGTGCTCCCGGTCTGCCTCTAATACATAGGCAGCCCAGAGCACCATTAACCCCGCAATCGAGCGTTAATTTTAACCCATGACGGACCTGGTCCGTCACCTGTCGTTAAGGGTCTCCCCTGGGTGACTGACCAGGTCCGTCATTCAGGGGTTAAAAGACCACTTTAAAATATAAAGATGTATTCCTAACACTAACATGCTGCAGTATGTTTTCAAGAACTGTATTCAAGTTGGCTTCTGTGTAAGCCCAAAAGTGGATGTACACTTGCTATGTCTATTGATTGAAAAATAATAATAATATAACATATACATACACACAAACACACACACACTAATTAAGACTGACATTCCAACACAATCCAAAGTTATAACAAAGTAGAGACTAATTTGTAAAGCCTGAGGTTATATACATACACACATTATTATTATAAAAAAAAAATATATATATATATATATATATATATATATATATATATATATATATTATACACACACACTAATTAAGACTGACATTCCAACACAATCCAAAGTTATAACAAAGTAGAGACTAATTTGTATCTAATTTGTAAAGCCTGAGGTTGACAAAAGGAGGATCTCCTCTGTCAACGTTTATCCAATCCCAGCAGCCATGTGGGATTTAGGCTGTCTATGGATCCCACGGTCATGCGCGAGAGTACAGCACGGATATGGCTCCTGGCAGCTGAAGCTCCAGGTGGCAAAGATCTCTGCAGCGTTAACATAGAGACTACTGCGAGGAGGTAAGCAATAGTCACCACCTGAGCATGCTGCAGCCCCCGGGTTTATCAGTTTCAGGGGTCTTTGCAAATTATTCAAAGACCATGAAATTGACATCTGCATAAAAACACTGACATTTTAGCTCAGAGAAGCTAAAGGAAACACTTAGCAGACCCCTGGTAGGTTTTCTAACCTTTCCTTGAACTGTTTGATTGCTTACACTAGGTGGATGCCCTCCATGGATTTTTCCCTATCAGCTATTCTGCTTTAAACATTGAAATTCACTTTGAATTCCTGACAACTCACACTTAAGTGAATAACCGTGCGCATGTCATAATTGAAGGGTGAAGCAAGATATTGCACTTTTCTATACTAGATGTGGTGAAAGCACAGATTCCAAAATGTTGAAAAAGCTAACAATCATATGTTGCACTAATAATAAGACTGGGAAAGAAGTTCTACAACATCAAGGAAAACCCTATTTTGTAATATAAGATGTCACAAAAAGAAATTGCATCAGCCTGCATTTAAAAGGGCAGTACAGATTAACTTTTGTATATCTAAATGTGATTTTAGGAAGTGGACACCCATTACAACGGGCAGTCACTAAAATTTAAAACCTGTTGCAAACTGGTGTATGGTTTTTATATGAAGGTGGGAGGATGGAAAATGTAAAAAAAAAAAAAAAAAATTAAGGAGAAATAAACTACAAAAACTAAGTAGCCGTCAATCAGCGAACAATGAACAAAGAATATGCTGGATTAATTTGGGACATCAGAATCCATACTACACAAACTAGAATAATCAAGAACCACAAATTCTAGTTTCCTATAACGAATATATGATAAATTGCATCTATGAGTACCTTGATTTCTACCCAGCCTTTGAAATTGGTGTGTTGCTTCCCTATTAGAAGGGAAGTAGGGAAGAGATGTAGGTATGCATGGAGTGAATGGCAGGAATAAAATAAAAAGATAATATACTGACAGCCCCCCAAACCAAATACTATGATGCCTTCCTACTGTTAAGTTCTCAAAAGTACGTTTCCGTTAACTAGACACAAAAGACAGCTTGAACTTCTTGCACAATGATTATTGATGGTCGGGTATTCATGGAGTTATAAAGAGGAAGAAAACATGAGCTAGACTGCAGGAAGTACTGAGAAACTGGCAAAGGAGAACCTGAAAAAGACACACACACACCAACATCTGTCCCAAAACATCAGAATGCTGTATATATCCCTTACACTACAATTTAAAGCAATAATCAATCACAGCTAACCCTAGGTATCTCAACACATGAGAGCTGCGATTGATAACATCGTTTTAATTAGAGTGTAAATCTGCATATAAAGATGCTGCACTTTAGGAATTTTATGTATACGAATGGGCTAATTTCACTAAACAGAATTCAAATATGCAATTTTTCGGTCACGTATCTACAATATTTGGTTGCAAGAGTAAAGTCACATGTTCTGTTAGTGGAGGCTGCCCAGTGCATTTACCACTAGCAAAATAAATAAAAAAATATATAAAAGCAGGTTGGCGCAAAAACTATTGTCCTACACAGACAAGTCTTACTGAAAACATGCAAGAATTTAATTATGCATTTTCCCCATTGAGGGTATTCCCAAAACCAGCTTTCAAAAGTTGCAATTCTCATGTGTGTGGCTGTCCAATCACAGACTTCCCAATGCAATTCAATGAGAAGTCTTTGCAAGGCAAGGGAAATTGCTAACTCTCCAGTTAGCTAACCAAACCAGAAAGTAACAGGACCTGCTGTCTATTTGAAAGCCAAGGGGGTGTAACCAGGTTAATTTATAAAATTGCCAATTTCTACTGAAATGTGTGCTTTAAAAAAACCAAAAAAAAAAACCAAAAAAAAAAAAACACACAAACACAAGGAGGAGGATACCCTCTTCACACATAAAGCACTTCAACAAGCTAAATAGACACTCCAGACCCCCAAAGCACATTAAACAGTAAATTTGGATGAGTTTGCAAGTTATATCCAACAAGTGAATACAGAAAGCCAAGATACAACTTTACACTTATGTCGTGTGTAATTACATAGGGATTAATTCACCAAATTATAGCGTATTGAAAACCAAAACTTCATAATTTGAGCAAAAAGTGCAAATCAGCTATAGCCACAGAGTGTTTGCCTCACTACTGCACTGTCTTTTAATTCACTACAATTGGTTGGTTAGTAACCCCTCATAATAAACCCTGATATCAGAGGCCCACTTTCATTCAGACCACTGGTGCTCTCTGGTCCTAGACCCTCAGGAACTAGAAAGTGCTCATTCTAGGCCACATTCCCAAAAGGACAATTGGCGAATGGGTAATTTAATCTCCACCATACCTGGAAACATCTAACAGGTAAATGCATCCCTTGTGGTCAAATTCTTTGACATTTTTAATACAGCGACTGCCATGCATCAGCCTACTGGCAGAAGTGAAAATACCCATTGAAAAGAAGCACTGTGCTTAAAACAACATCAATATTTTGTACACAAGTTTCTAATAAATGATAGATAATAAATATACCCAAGACCAGTTTGAAGTTAAATCCTGTTTTGAGTCTAGTCATTGCATGTGCTATATAGGGTTTTCTGTATCAATACAACTGCTCTTATTGAGCCAACATATGTATTAGTCCATTTAAAGCGCATTACATTACAAACATGTGCTTCTGTCCCAAACTAGCTTATTTTAAAGCACCAAAGAAAAGTAGCTCATCTTTTTTAATATCCCAAGGCCATCAATGGACACTCTCCAAAAAATACAAAATGCAATTAGTTAAAGTCTTGCATTCCAAGAAAAATAGGTTAAAAGAAATATGACCGCTTTTCTCTGGGCCATGCCATTAAACAGAATCATCACACAGGCCAGTGTTAACAAACACAGACCAAAAAAAAACAAAAACTAAAATAAAAATAGTTAGTGGGATTACCAGGCCTCTAGTTTAGCAAGTAATATACAGTCTGATGATATCTCCTCAATGGGACTACATAGCCTTGTGACTACTGCAAGTGTTTTAGGTAAAGATTATACACAGCAATGCAAACTTGACTTTGATTGCAAGCTCTTGGGGCCAGTCCCTGCTACTTTTGCCTATTGCCTGCGACCAAGGCTGATTATTCAGACACTGTGTCCAGGAGGGAGTAGAGGGTGTGGGGGGTAATTAGTCAGTGATTGAGGGAGGCCCATGTCAGGACCATTATCCCCAAACACCCACATCATGTGAGTATCATCCCTGCCTGTCACAGTGAGGGCAATCACAATGTCAGCCTCTGGAAACAGAAACCACCAGCAGCCATTGCCGACTTTACCTGCTGGAGTCAGGGCACAAGCTTCCGGTGTGACATGCAGCTAGCATGCAGACATGGACACCCCGACCTTTCATTACCCGAAACAGCGATGGGCCAGGGAGACAGCCAGCAGCGACTAGGACTACTAGTCGCCCGGCCTTCTGATTGGCTGCTGCGATGCTGTGGGAAGTTGTGATTGGCTGCGCGGGCTGTCAGTCAGCGTTCTCTCCCCATGTAGTGAGGGAGGTGTGTGTAATGCCTGCTGTGCATGTGACTGTGTATAGAGCATCAGAGGGGAGGGCTGGGCCCACACTGGGGGTGTCTCCCTAAATGCAGGGAATAGGGAAGGGCACATAGCGGTGCTGACACTTTATTAACAAACTGTTACACACAACTAATGACAACAAAGCCAGCTTAAAGATATAGTTTGACTTTTTTTTTTTTTTTTAAACTAAAATTAATAATTGCTACAGTTTCTTGCAAAAAAAATATAAAATATTTAAACAGAGTTAGTACTATCCAGTCAGGTAATAAGATAGCATGATGTACTAAAAGTTAATGTAGCATTACTCTTTGATATTGATATTCATTTACATCCTCCTTTAAATATTAATGTTGTACCATTTGAGTGAGGTATGTCCCAGAGAGAGCTGTGACCAAGCAGAACTGTGAACTTTTCATTCTTTTCTTTTTTTTTTAGTTTTTTTTTGTTTCACATTTTAAAAATGTGGGAATCATTTCCTATTGTGTCCTTTTAAAGGGACACCATAGTCACCAAAACATATTTAGCTTAAAGGGACACTCCAGGCACCACTGAATTTTCCTCATAGAGATGCATTGATTCAATGCATTTCTATGAAGAAGTGCTGATTGGCCAAAACTGCGTTTGGCCCGCTCTCACCCCGCTTCCTTGTCGATTTTAGCCAGTCCAATGCTTTCCCTATTGGAAAGCATTGGATTGGCTAAAAATCTGCAATTCTGGTTATGTCATCTTGGAGGCGGTGCCAGCGCCAGCAGACCCGCTCAGCAATGGAAATAAGGTGAGTTTTCACCTTTTCTAAAGGGGCTGAGGGGGGACAAGTCACCTAAACGGTGGGTTTAACACTATAGGGCCAGGAAAACATGTTTGTGTTCCTGACCCTATAGTGTTCCTTTAAGCTACAGTAGCTCTTCTATGTGATCCTTCGCTCCCCACGTGCATCAATGAGCCTTGAATGTCCATGACACGGGTGTCAGTTCACTGCTTGTCCTTCTTTGCACCACTGCATATTGGAAACACCCTACAAGACTTGCCAAACACACCCTTTTACACACATATACAATATATATAGTTACTACATGGCATTTTGTGTAGTATTTTATGTATGTAGCAGTAATACGTGTGGTAATGTAGCTAGGTGTGTGCGTTCAACAATGTATACATGTGTAATATAGAGTGTGGGTGTGTGTAGCAGTTTGTTTATATTTATCAGTGGTATTGTGTGTATGTTTAGCAAGACGTTTTGTTTGTGTGTGTGTGTGTCTGGTACCATGTATTGGTGTGTGTATGTCAAGCAGTGTTCATCTGTAGCTGTGTGTACCTGTGTTTGTTTCTGTGTGTAACCCGTGAGATTGTGTGCAAAATATGTGTCTGTGTTTTTGTGTATATGAATGTGCATCTCTCTCTAGAGCAGTGGTTCCTGCAGACCGTGTGATAGAAGTCTCGCGAGCACCCAGAGCGTTACCATGGCAACACTCTGGGAGCTTCCGAGACTTTTTTTACACGGTCTGCAGCTCTGCACCTGGCGGAGCTCAGACCAGAGCGTTAACCCACCAGACCACCAGGTACACACTGGACCACCAGGGAATTCAGTGAAGGAAGAACACAGCCCCCAGACATCCGCCTCCCCCCCCATGTAACCCCTTCACCCCCTGCCCTCCCCATATGCCCTCCCCATGTAACCCTTCACCCCCACCCTCCCCAATGTAACCCCTTCACTCTCTGCCCTTCCCACTGCCAACCCCTTCACTCCTGCCCTCCCACCGTGTAACCCCTTCACTCCTGCCCCTCCCCACCTGTAACCCTTTCACCCCTGCCCATCCCCATGTAACCCCTTCACTCCCTGCCCTCCCCATGTAACCCCTTCACTCACTGCCCCCTCTTACATGTAGCCATTCACTCCCTGCCCCCTCTCTCACACACTGGCAACCCCTTCACTCCTGCCCCCTCTCTCCACACTGTAACCCTTCACTCCCTGCCCTCCCCCAATGTAACCCCTTCACTCCCTGTCCTCCCCATGCCAACCCCCTTCACTCCCTGCCCTTCCCATGCCAGCCCTTCCTCCCTGCCCCATGAAAACCCCTTCCTCCTGCCCCTCCCCTGCTGTAACCCCTTCTCCTGCCCACATCCCCCAATGTAACCCCCTCCTCCTGCCCCTCCCACACTGTAAGCCCTTCCTCCCTTCCCTCCCCAATCGCCAACCCCTTCCTCCTGCCCTCCCCATATGGCTTGCTCCTCCTGCCCCCCTCCCACAATGTAACCCCTTCACTCGGCCCCCTCCCACTGTAACCCATTCACTTCCGCCCCGTTGCCTTTTATCCCCTGCCCCCATGTAGCCTTTTTGCTACACACACACTGTAACCCTTTCCCCCGCCTGCCCACCCCTTCTCCCCCTGCCCGCCCACTGTAACCCTTTCTCACTTTGCCCTCACACTGCCCCCCACACTGTTACCAGCACACACACTCCCTCCCACACTGTCACCCTCACCTATCCCACACACTGTCACCCTCACCTCCTGTCTCTGCGTGTATGTCTATCTGTGTGTCCTTTTGTGTCAGTTTGTGTGTATTTGTGTGTCTGTGTGTATTGTGTGTCAGTGTGTATCTGTGTACATGAGTGTCTGTTTATCTATGTGTGGGAAACTAGGTGTCATTGTGTGTTTTGCTGTGTCAGAGTATGTATTTTGTGTCTCTGTGTGTCTCTGTATGTGTGTGTATATGTGTATACACTTCACACATACTCCATACAAAAAAACATGCTTACACATTGTGTATATGTATATTTTATAAACACAATACACACACTGCATCCACTACACACACACACATACTGCATCCACTACACACGTACTGCAAACGCAAACATTACATACAAACACACCCCGGCATTAAAACACTTAAATTATCTACAAACACCCCTTCATTCAAACGCCAACACTCAAAAAGCACACCTGCATTTCAAGTCCGACACTACATACAAACACCCATGCATTCAGACGCAAACATTACAAACAAGTAAACCATTACATTCCAATGGCAACAGTACATACAAATACACCCATACATGCACACATATACTTAATATAAAAACATGCTTACATTCAAACGCTCTAACACTGCTCACAAATATAACCCTGCAATGATAAGAAAATGGTAGATCCCCATCTGGTATAGCATTATTGAAGTTCTCTGACAGATGGAGATCTACCTTTTGGCCACACTTGCACTAGAGGGGGTCCCAGAAAACATGTTTGCACCAGGGCACTCTCTACATTAGTTTCACAACTGGGATAATCAATGTGAGGTGCCTGGATGAAAGAGCAGGACACAGCACTTCTGATTCTGAGTCTGTGAGTAAGCAGTTGTATGTCTCTAAAACTGATTGTCATGATGTGCAAAGTTTCTGCCTCTAAAACTGCCATGTTATCCCAGAATTATGCCTCTAAAACTGCCATGTTATGCCAATTTTATGCATCTAAAACTGATTGCCATGGTGTGCCAATTTTATTCTTTTAAAACTGATTGCCATGGTGTGCCAATTTTATGCATCTGACTGTTTGCCATGGTATGCCAATTGTATGCCTCTGAAGCTGATTGCCATGATGTGCCAAGTTTATGCATCTAAAATTGATTACCATGATATGCCAAGTTTATGCATCTAAAGCTTATTGCCATGTTGTGCCAAGTTTATGCATCTAAAGCTGACATAATGTTCCAATTGTATGCCTGTAAAGCTGATTGCTATGGTGTGCCAATTGCATGCCTGTAAAGCTGATTGCCGCAGTGTGCCAATTGTATGCATCTAAAGCGGATAGTGTGCCAATTGTATGCCTCTAAAGCGGTTTGCCATGGTGTGCCAGTTTTATGTCTCTAAAAGTAATTGTCATGGTGTGCCAATTGTGTGCATCTAAAGCGGATTGCTATGGTGTGCCAATTGTATGCCTCTAAAGCTGATTGCCATGGTGTTCACTTTTTAAAATATGCATTAAAAGCAAGTGCGTCTCGAAAAATTACCGTTTTGAAAAGTGGGTCTCGGACCATAAAAGTTTGGGAAGCCCTGCTCTAGAGTATCTCTGTATGGTAGCCTGTGTTTTGTGGGGTTATGCTTCTGGGCTTGTAAGGACCTTCAAGAATTTTAATGGCTGCCCCTATCTTCCCCTTTAGAAAATTATTTACTTATGGGCAATATGAGCAGTATCAACGGGTAAGATTAGTGATGTTTGTGGCTGAAACATTGTTCATCTCTTTGTACTTGGTTTAGCGGCAATAAGACCTTCTCTTCACAAAGTAAGAAACTGCCGAGGTGTGGTATTTTTTGTTATCTGCTCTTATTAATTTAGTCTCTGTTCTGCTACTAATATGATTTGCGAGGAACATTGGACTCAATTAAAAACAATTATTTGTCCTGAGCTCCTCTCATTATCCATAATATTTCTAGCCCTTACCCGCCAAACTTGGCTGAAGGGACCCCCTTGGACGACCCGAACACCATAGGGTGCAGATCCAAAAAACTGATGCCAGAAAAGCCCACCCTGGGGCTGATTATCGGAGACCTGTGGAAGCAAGCACATGGCAACACGGGGCCAAAGATGGCCGCTCTCTCGGGTGGCTGCTCAGCTTCTGGTAACGTTGAGGAATATTTCTTACCCTCTCCAGCTCCAGCGCAGATGGCAAGACAGCGCAAAACAGGATCGGACTCCTCTCTAGTAACCACCTCGGTCCTGAGAGCACTGTTAGCAGACCTGTAAAAGAACATCTTGGCAGATGTAACTGCGATCCGAGGTGACCTGCAGGGCCTGACAGGCCGCATTGGAGCACTGGAAGGAGCTTCTCAATCAAGCACCCAGCATACTGCTACACTCCAACAGGCTGTGAAGGATCTGCAGCAACAGAACTTGATACACGAATGCCGCGTTGCGGCTCAAAAACAATCTCAAGGTCAGAGGGATCTTGGAGGATATCCTCAAGGCCAATCTGCCTTTATGAGATGCCTGCTGACAGCCTTGCTACCATCTCAGCAGGTCAAAGCTATCACGCTTGATGGACTCTTTTGAACAAAAAAGCTGCGGTACTCACAGCCTTGAGGGGAAAATTGCCTTTCCAATTTGAAAACACAGCGTTATCATTTTATGCCAACTTATTAAGTGGCACTCTAGCCTGGCAAAGGTCGCTTCGACCATTCACCTCCTTGCTCCAACAACAAGGCATCCATTACCGCTGGCTTCAATCCTGAATGCTTCTTGTGCAGCATGGGAGCAACACGCATTTTATCCAAGACCTCCAGCGCTCAGCAGCACTACTGCGGAATTTGGGCTTAACCCAAGACTCACTTAAACAAACGGGGACTCACACTACCACTCTCTCGTCCCACACCTGGGATCCGGCAAGAATCACCCCATTTATCACACAAGGGGCAACACCTGACTCTTACGTGGCTGTCTCCATCTGAGTGTAGACTCATACAGCCTCCGTGGCAATACTTATTTTTTACTAACTATTATTTCTAGTTGATTTGTTTAATTTACTCAGTTTTTTGCCCTCAAAATGTCCCACTTTAGGTTTACATGTTGCCCTAGCCGACTTTGTGCAGACTACTCGGTCTAAATGTCCAAATATCCCCTTTAGGGTGGGATTTGATTTGGAAAAAGGTTGGATGAGTGCAGAACAAAGAAGGACCAGAGTTAAAGGTAACTCCGAGGCAGTGAGCAGTAATAAGTGATGCATTAACCTGTAGGGAGGTAGAGGTGGAATATTTAAAGGGGAAAAGATGAGGAGTGTCACGATTCACTTCTTAGTTGATGTGCTTTCGTGCAGTACCCATACTCACCACTATCACTGTTTGGCACTGTTCCTGATTTCTTTTCATTAGCACTCCACCTGGTCCTTGTTTAACACCTTCATAGTTTGGCTTCACCCCTCACTCCTTGTCAGATCATTGTTTCCTGATTCCTGTGATTCTGACTCTCACACCAGTTTTCTGCATTTCCTGGTCCTGTATTCTCGTGTCTTCTTGGTCTTGTGTTCCCGTGTCCTCCTGGTCCTGCGTTCCCGTGTCCTCCTGGTCCTGCGTTCCCGTGTCCTCCTGGTCCTGCGTTCCCGTGTCCCCCTGGTCCTGCGTTCCCGTGTCCCCCTGGTCCTGCGTTCCTGTGCCCTCCGATCCTGTGTTCTGGTTCAGTGTTCCTGTCCTCTGACTTATTACCAGTGATCCTGACCCTGCAGCCTTGTCCGTTTTTCTTGCTTCTAGCCTTGCTTCCTGGTGTCAGTATATTTTGTCTCGTGTCTCTGGATCTGTGTCCTACCGATTTTTCGTGGTGGCTGCACAATCCTGCCCAAGTATATACCTTATACCAAAAGGACTGTTTAGTGTATTCTGCCTGAACTAGTCGTGCTAATTCTAAGTTATTGTAAATATTATTGTTCTGTGGCATTGCATTTATTAATATATATATATATATATATATATATATATATATATTGTTTTTGTTATCCTTTTGTCTTTTGGTTCTCTTTAATATATATCTTGATTTACTCTATTTATTGTGTCCTGGCATTTATTCCTTGCAAATTGGGTTCCCACATTTAAAGGGATAGTGCTGTCTCAGGGCAGCACCCCTTCATGTCATGACAAGGAGAAGGTATCCAGTTAGAAACTGAAGAAATGGAGGGCTGGGGAGAGGTCAGAGGAAATCAGGTAAATCTAGGTATCATCAGTATACAGATGGCATTGAAATCCATGGCATTGAAAGAGCTAATAAGGCGAGCCGGTATAAATGGAGACTAAAAGGGGACAAGAACTTAGCCTCGCAGAATATCAACTGAGCCGGTTAGTAGGGAGGAGGTTGGCAACAAGATGAATCAAACTCCAACTAAATAATAAAGGGTGGAATTACAATTGTATTCCAAGGAAATGTCATTTGTAACAGTCTGTTATGCACAAAGTGTGTGTAATGATATGAGGTGTGTATGAGTGGAAGAGAATACAATAAACTTTCAGTGAATAATAGATTGCAGCTGTGTTTGTAACTCACTGTTTCCTAGCTATGGAGATAAGCACTCTACTTCTGAGATAAAGAAACAAATATATGACTGATGCATTTATCAAGTTCCTTAAAGGACCACTATAGTGCCAGGAAAATATACTCGTTGTCCCCCTCCCGCCGGGCTGGATGGAGAGGAAGGGGTTAAACTTATCTCTTTCTCCAGCGCCGGGCAGGGAGCTCTCCTCCTCCTCTCCTCCCTCTTCTCCTCCTCTTCGGCTGAATGCGCATGCGCGGCAGGAGCTGCACGCGCATTCAGCCAGTCCATAGGAAAGCATTCACAATCCTTTCCTATGGACGCTAGCGTCTTCTCACTGTGATTTTCACAGTGAGAAGCACGCAAGCGCCTCTAGCGGCTGTCAAGAGACAGCCACTGGAGGCTGGATTAACCCTAACATAAACATAGCAGTTTCTCTGAAACTGCTATGTTTATTTAAAAAAGGGTTAACCCTAGCTGGACCTGGCACCCAGACCACTTCATTAAGGTGCCTATAGTGGTCCTTTAAGGAAATGCCTTCCAAAAAGTAGCAGTGCTTGACATGTCTTTGGAAAACAGTGACCATCCCATTTACTAAATAAATTTCAAACCATAGAAGAAAGAAAGATCATTCTGTCCTGTTTCTGTTATTCGACAGGAGGACTTAAAGATAGATAGACAGAGAGACAGACAGACAGAATATTCAAACATTTTTAAATATAACCATAGCAGCATTGTAAAGGTGATTTAAAATTGCTGCACCAAATCTTGAATTGCTAGATTAAGACACTTTAGGCAATCACGCCAATGTAATGAAATCTTATCTATTTGTTAAAAGACCACAACATCACATTCAAGGAAGTGAACATTTAGTACCTTATGGGGCAGTTTGCTGCTGCTATAACTACTTTCTGATTTTATCTTGAAAATTAATTTTTAAAAAAGGATGATGGGCTTGATTTATTAGAAGTTATGTTAAAAATGTATAGTGCATGTTGAATGTAATGCGAAAATATCACTTGCTAGTGTCTGTATTTAATCAGTTATGCCATTGTAGAAAACTCTGAGGGCGGAGAGATGCATAAACCTTGCAACGTTGTTTTCTATTTTCTAGATAGACTGAGTAAATTATGTGGGTAAATAATCCAAAAATCCTATGCTTGCCCTAGGCAGGTGTAGGACTGGCGTAAAACAGGCTAGTTAGCAAAATCACTGGCATAGCAGCTGTCAGACTGAAAAGAAAGGGAGATTTTTTAAATGTTAATGTACATGTCAAAAAAATTAGATCCTAGGCGCTGAAACCTTTCCAAAAATCAGCATACCTTACACTGGGTGAATTATCAGACGAGAATGGGGAACAGCAGACTAAATCACTGCATAACCTCATAGAATCACCAACTGCGATACAAAAATTCCAATATAACCAAATAATACACTTCATATACTCAGGACCACTAGCACAGGGAAACAACCGAACACAAACAGCATTCGAACAACACTGCTCCAACCAAGACCTAAAAAAGAAACACATCTCACTAATGTACACTATTATTCAAGCAGCACATACCAACCAATTACCAACGTTTACCACAACATGGGAGAGGGAACTAAATCTGGAGATATCAATAGATAAATGGAAACAAATCTTCAGACAAATACACAAGACCTCCAGAAATACTATAACACAGGAAAGCAATTATAAAAGGATAGCAAGATGGCACTACACACCATTGAGGCGACATCATCTTTTCCCCACAACAGTAGACCAATGCTAGAGATACCAGCAATCCAAGAGCACAACTACGCATATATGGTGGACATGCCCGGAGATCCGCAAATACTGGACACGAATTTTGGATATGTTATACAAGATTCTCCAGATAAACATTCTTTTACACTCAGACACATACCTATTCCTCCTCCCACTCCCGGGAATGTCAAAACAAGAAAAAACACTACTAATACACCTAATCACGGCAGCAAACCAACTTATCCCGGCCCTCTGGAAACAACCCCACACACCTTCCTCACGAGAATGGATACAAAAGGTAGAAACTATTAGAAGCCTAGAAGAGACATGCTACTCCCTAACACATCAATACCACATATACACATCCATATGGGACCCCTGGCTCCAATACCTACGAAACAATCCTAATTGAAATTACAAAAAAGGAAGCCAGGTATCTGAACAATTATTATCTGAACAACTATTCGTATCTGAACAATTATAAAAACACTACCTGACGACCATACCGTGAAGTAAAAAATGTTCACAGAATATTCAACATATAGGTTTGACCTAATCATCTCAACAGTGCTAAAATATTTAATGCACAGATGAAAATGTTTGTAACTTTGTTGTTTTGGTCGGATAGACCATCTTACATATGAAACATAAATGTACCAGCTGTAATGTCTTAATAAAAGTTGTAAAAAAAATTATATATATATATATATATATATATATAATTTTAATAATAATAAAAAAAATAGATCCTGAAACACCAATATAAACCAAGTTAAAACATTTCTTACAAGCCTTATAAAAAGGAGAAAACAGAAAGAGAAAACATAGAAGTAAAATAATTTACAAACATCAAGTATATATATTAACAAAAATATCTATACTACCATTTACCAGGCAGTAAAAAACATGCAACATTCACCAACCTATATATGCACTACTACATTTTTGTTTTATATATGATATCATATGGGTCATACCCTTATGAAAAGCCTCCATACAAAAACATATTTTTTCACCTATCATTTTGTTCCAGTTGCAGGCCAATTTCCCTGTTGAATGCAATCCATAAACTCTTGCAAAGGTCTTGGCACTCCATATCCAACCCACCTTCCTGTACCTGATGCACCCAGAAAAGGTTGGCATGAGGCAACACCAAGAAGCTGACTAACTTAATCCATGCAACCTGGTCACAAAAAAAGCTGGTCTTCCTGGTTTCGACGGATGCGGAGAAGGCGTTGACAGGGTAGATTGTTCCTTTTTATTCACAACACTTCACAACTCCAAATCACGAAACTGTTTGCCCTTTGCCTTTTTCGTTTGTTTAGGGATTCATCTATATAGCGTTTTTTGTAGAGTTAAGGATTTGGGAAGAACTACCAATCGGTCAAAATGTGGACCAATCTCAATTCGAATGGCCACCACTTTGTTTTTTAGAGTGATTGCTGATAATCATTGCAAATTAAATTCCACTGCAGAGGATAGAAACTGCTTTTTAACCCAGATCAATTATCTATTCACGTATTTGCATTTTTTGTTTTCTCATAAATTCCTTTTTTCGTAGAGTTTCATACGCATAAAGAACACAAATAACTGCACAATGAGAGTAGATACAGTGTAAATAAACATTGTTAAGTGCAATCATAATAAAGATTAAATAATAAAGGAAGTAAGAAAGAAAACATAAATAAGTAGATGAGAGTTGGAGAAAGAGAATGGGGTTGGAATAGTGAAAAGGATTAAGAGGGACTAGAAGGGGAGATAAACCATGGGCCGGTAGCAGCATAATGCCTGATAATTGGGATTGTTGTGTAAGCTGTGAACTGTATTTTAAACAATATTAGAATGATCGATTCACTCTAATACACAAGCATCATGGGAATTGCAGTCCTAAAACAACTCTCGGAGTATATATATATCTATAAAAATATATACACACACACACACACACACACAGACAATATACTGTGTGTCTGATATGAGACATAGACTTGGAGCACAGCCTTGCCTCACGTCACACCTACACTATTCTCAAGAGTTGATTAACAGTTCAGGAGTCACGCTGACCACAATCATTTTGCCGGGTTTGGATATTTGCATTGCTCATTTTTCTTAAATCCACAGGCCTGCCTGTCACACATTGCCAAATATCTTACTAACAAAGGCTTAGTTTTCATAACGTAATATGCAGGTAATTAAATGCAGACGATTTTGGAATGAAATAGAATTCTGATATCTTGTGATGACACTTCCTCTGTCCCAGTCGGACACACAGGATTAGATCATGTACATTATTTTCTTTCCTTTAGCCTCTTGCTATTTTCCTGAATGGAAAACGATCATGTTGTTATAACAACACAAGTCTTAAACTTATAAATGTGTATCTAGAATTTAAGAGCAAATGTTAGTTAAGTTATGTAAACAGCTTAGGCACTTTAAGCACTCTGGGTATTGTATACAAGATTAAGTATTGCTGTTTTTCACTAGCAGCTAAGTGATAAACATGGTATGAAGTGTGTACTAACCGCACGGAGTCTGTGGTCAACCATGATATAGTATCTACTAGACATAAAACTTGTAGACACTTGCTTTGTTTGCAGTCTCTCTAAAGGTTGGGTGGAGATATTTTTTTCCCTCATCTTGGCAAGGAAAACAGCCTCATTCAGTTACTTCAAGTCACCGGGGAGGAAAGATCTCTTATTCTCTCTGCCGTATTTCTATCAGGGTGTATAAAGCCGTAAGATTCAGGACTCGTGCCCAGCTGCACAAGGCCTCTCTGGTTGAAATTCACTTTTTTTTTAAAAATGAGAGTGTTCATAGCTTTTGACGGCCTCTGTGAATCTTTTGATATACTTCCTGGCCAGACCGTTCGTGATGTGAAACAGATGATAAAGGTAATTCTATTTCTTATGTTTCTGATGACAACAATATATCTTTGTTCATGATGTGAACTCAGCATGCATTTTATACAAATCCTTTGGTGACAAAGGGGGGGGGGAGTGGAATGCTGAACTCTGTCTAACACAAAAAAATATGCAAATTGACTGCAAGTTAAATCAATAACTTAGGGATATATTTATTTTATAACAAAATATACCCTCACATGCCGCATGGAACACAGAATGCTCTTGTGCAACTTTTTACTTATCCCTTTAGTTATAAAATGGTGAAAATAGCCTACCTGTTGAGGTATATATTGGCTAGATTTGATATATTTAGTCAGGCAATAATGTTTTGCAAGCAAAAACACAGTAGGTCATGTTGTTGAAGAATGAACATAGCCCCAGATGTATGGTGATTTTTAACGGAGGTGGATTTGACGTTTAATAGATAGCAGGATGTGATAGCAGAACATGTTGCTATTGAGATATGTCTCCATTTGTGACACATGTTCTTGTTAAGGAAATATTGTTGTGAAGAAAACATGTCTTTTTTGTCTGTGAAATTTACATTTCTCCTTGTATTTCTGTATTGGTGTTTTTGCGATATGGTAAGATTATTTGGAGATACTCTAAAAATCAGTAAAAAGAAAATTCGAAACAGTAACATTTATGAAAACACACCAATTCTGGTGACAAAATTTTGAGGAAATGCACAGTAAATTATTGCGGACCATGGTCAAATTATTGCCAGTTTTCTTAGAAATGTCCATTTAAGGAAACTACCGCATTTGTAGTGGCAAGAAAAGTACAAGTAGTTTTCTGAAAATTGGAGTAAAATTCATAAATCCATTGCGTCACCGAAAAAATTGTAAATTTAAAAATGATGGATAGGGCACAACAAAATCTGGCAAACTTCATAAATTGCACCAAACATTTTCTGAAAATTTGAAATGACATGTTTGCTGAATTTCAGGTGCAAAGGATTGACAGGGAGCATAAATGGAGGCACCCAGTGTCAGGAAAAGAGTTGTGGAAGTTCCTAATTGAACAATATTTTTCACACCACGCAAATACATATTTGTTAAATATAGACATTAATAAACATAATATTAAAATCCACAACTCCCCTTGTAAAATAGGACTTTAAATAGATTCATTGTGTGCAGAAATGATAAGCCACCCTCCTTGTCTCTTGTTATTTAATAGCTCATTTGGTTTATGTAACTATTGATATCATGGTCTGATCTTAAACATCAGACCATTTGTCTGTTTACTCCTTATTGTTAGTGGGCAGGTTGTTGAAGTCATGACCTGTGTGTATGTGTGATCCTTCATTTGCATTGACTTGATAACACTTGAACTTCCCAATTTGAGGCTTTCATTTAGATGTAGGTCCTTGGCTAATAACATAATTACATGTGACTAGATAAGGTTTATCTTTAAGAACTAACAAGAACAAGATAGGGTTTCCATGAAAACTGATATCAGATCCATTCTCTTACACCAATTAGTGAGTCTTTGCATGCAATTTTCATAATAGTTTGTTAAGAGGTTAAGGAGGGATGGTGCCAGGGGACTCCAGACACTATAACTACTTCAATAACATTCACTTCCATTGGTCCCGGGATCTCTTGCTAATTCAATTATTTTATTTTTGGTAGGAATTTCTGTAATTGCCTGTAATTGTCTGCAGCCTTTGTTACAGTCACTTAATCTAATAACACTTGTTTAGGTCACGTTTCTTCTGACCAAACTAGCATTCAGTTAGGCTGTCATACCAGACCTTTAAATTGGACCAGTATTTCGAATCCAGATAGGAGTACTAAAAGCAGTAAAAATGTATGTGATAATATGGGAGTCTTCGTGCACAAAACTAGTAAGCTTAACATTACGTTTTGGTTTTTGTTTGTTTTATTTAATGTGAAATAAAGTAAAAAATACTTGTATACATACTTATATATTTTTGCATTATGAAGACCATTTTGAAACAATCTGTCGCTTTTATATAAAAAAAATTAACTTGAATATTATCATCACTTATGTGATATTTATATTATTTGATCGATTTTAAACATTCATATTTTCGAATAGTCCTTAAAAATGATGGGAACGCTATGATGACATATTCAGACACATATCTGTTTTACAGGACTCTTTTCACCTTCAGCTGTCAGATGATAAACAAGGAAGGAGGTTTCTAGAACTCCAGTATGCCGGAGGGGTTCTCCGTGATGAGTGGATTCTTACTGATGTTGGAATAACCCTTTGTTCAACCATTAAATGTTTTCTAAAGGTATGGGGGGGGAGGGAGGGAAGGAGTTAATAGTATGTACTACAATCACATTCAGAATGGCTCATACTATCTTCCAGGGCCTAAGCACCTAAATAAATAATTTCAATTTGTAACAATTGTAGAGGCTCAAAACTGGGTGAGGTATTTATGGAAGTTCTTGGGGATAAAATGTACCCATACCTATATGATTTTTACAGTGTCTGTGAAAGAAATAGTTATATATTAATAACATTTTGTTTTCCTTCAACCCTAGGAATATGGTTTGAAAGAATAAAAGTAATTAATTTCGGAGTTCAGATGGTATATGCTCTGAATTGATCTAGACCAATCATCTATATAATTATATTTGGCATTATTAGAGTTATGAAAACTTTGTTAGGTACCCGAACACCTGTACATATTTATTAAATATCTAATCAGCCTATCATGTGGCAGCAACTCATGATATAGAAGCATACAGGCATTTTCAGGAGGTTCATCTGTTACTTAAACAACTTGTTTTGTCAAAAATGGCTGGTCTCCTGGTATTTTCCGTTACAGAAATTGGCCTGAGCACAAAAACCATGATATGAGTGCTAGTTCTGTGAGTGAAAACGCATTGTTAATGAGGGAACACCCAGGAGAATAGTCAGACTGTCAGGAAGGTGCCAGTAACCAAAATAACGGCATGTTTGTTCTAAGCATGATAATGAAATCAATTGAAGTTAAACAATTCTGTGCCACTAAGACCCTTACCCCCATAAAAATAATTGTAAAAAAATAATCAAGAATTCCTATACAGTGCTGCACTGGGGTCCAGGGCATGACAAGACAATCAGAAATAATAACAATGTAACTCAACTCAGTGAATATTAACCTTTTTTAAAAGTTGTAGTGAGGATAAAAGCTCTTTTCAATTCTTTATTTTTGCGGTCGGCGTTGACCTCTGAGCACATCCCAACTGTAAGGCGAAAACATCAATGCTTACATGTATGGTATAACAATCACGCCATCAGTATAATAACGACCTATGTTTTATATTTGTAGTTGCTGCAAGACCCTGCATGTCAAGTGTGTTTGCTATAACAGTGAGTTAGGGGAGCTTGTACAAGGCTTTGTGTGCCTGCGTCTTGGCATAGTGAGGTGCTGACTGTGTGTTGCGCATATGCACCAGTTTGTTGTCAATTATCATAACAAAAGCGTCATGAAACTTGTAACTCCGCCCGACTCCGGCCAGGAGGGTATGTAAAAAGGCTCTGGGCTTAGGCTGAATGTGGTATTAAACTTGTATGTCAATAGGGGGGCAACTTGACATGCACATTCTAGCTTGTGGGGGGTTTAACTAGTAGGTTACTATGCAAGGCAAATGCTTATGGAGCAAGGCGCATGGGAGACTTAAAGTTAACATATACCTATAAAGAAATAAACAATATTGCGTTTGGCAGTAGCATCATCACTCCCTAGGCCTCAGGTAGGCGAGTCAGTAGTATTAACCAGAACAAAGAAGATTCAGGATATGGCTATGTGAATCTACAGAGAAAACATAAAACAAAACATAGTGTGATATTGTTATAAAACACAATATTTCATGTGCAGCAATCTTGTGCACCCACAGGATGTAGACAATAGAAGCGCTCTTAGGGTGCCTCCCTCAATGTAATGGGGGGCTAGCTGGTATTCCTTATCACCTCTGGATCCTTGTTTCACCAAAAGACATCCACAGGTCAGGGTTCAGTAATAAAAAAATTATTTAAATAAAAAGTGTAGTCACCATTTCAGCATAGGATATAGATAACAAAAAAGTTGTCCCCGGGCGAGTCAGTAGACCCCGGTGCAGCCCTTCTGGGCACAAAGGGAGTAATTCTCTCCACTGTCCAGGATGGCTGTGCGTTCTTCTGGACGGTCTCCGTTGGTATACCCAGGGATTGGAGGAACGTTGTTGCCTCCGAGATATGCAGCAGGAGGTGTGTCTTGTCATTCCTTTCCGCTATCAAACGGTGCAGGCCCCACTTGTATGGAATGGAATGTTCTTGCAGGAGTTGTGTAACCGGTCTGAACATCCTCCGCCATGTGAGGGTACTTCTGGAAAAGTCTCCATAGAAGACCAGGTGTGCTCCCTCAAAGGGTACTGTGGGAGAACCTTTAACAGCGCTCATGAGGACCCCTCTGTCTGAGTCTTTTGCAGACTTGAGCAATACATCCGTAGTTGCCTCTTGGGGTGCCTTGGCCGCCTTTGGCAGACGGAAGCATGTATCCACCAATAGCTGTTTGGCCTGTTTTGGCGGCAGGAGTGTGGCGATGAGCCTCCTGCAGTAATGGGGCAGTTCAGCATTTAAAATTGTGTCAGGAATGCCACGTATTCTCACATTACTTGTTTTAACCCTGTCCTCCATGTTTGCCATTTGTGCTGTTAGATCGTCACATTTTCTTTGTAATGAGCTTAAAGCGGCATCTGTGGCAGATTGTGACAATTTGGTGCTTTCTATGTGTCCCTCCACTGATTCCACTCTGTTAGTAAGTGAGGTGACTTCTTCCCGGATTAGGGCCATGTCTGCCTGAAACATAGCTGGGGTGAGGCAGGAAGCTGATCCTGGAGGCTGTCGACGTCCGACGATGCAGAGGAGTAGGCCCCCACCAGCGCCATTTTGGAAGGTGCTGGCCGTGCAGTCGGGTGCATATACGCTCCAATATCTCTGGAGCCTGAGTCTGGATCCGCCCGGTACTTCTTATTCTTTTTCCCCATGTGTACAGGAGTCCAGGGATCCCCACTGGACCCTCGCAGGTGAGTTATTAGCTGCAAAAAGCAGCGGTGTTCGGGACCGGTTCTCAGAGCTGCACGGAGGCACGTCCGGCTCAATCAGGAGCTGGCTCCGCCCCCAAAAGCTCTTTATTTAAACTTGATTTCCTCGAAAATGTTGAGCAAACGGGCTAGCTAGCATTACACAGACACAGCTAGTATTAACTGAACCCTTTCAGTGTTGTTCATAGTTTAGTGACAAAATGGACAACCTCCAGTGCCAGATTACCTACAAGGCAGCCAATGCAACTGCTTTTCTATGTCTGGAGTTCTGGCCTTGAGTGGTCCCTCCTTAAGTTGACAGGAAGATTAAAATAGCTATCTGCATTGTCCTGTGATCATGAAAATGATTCCCTGGTGGTCAGTGGTCTACCATATTAATTGCAGTTCCTCATGGTTCCAGTGCTCTGTGGATGAATCAAAACACAGCTGCAGGAATTCCTTGCCTCCATTCTAACTCCCTCACAGAGGGCAAATAATATGGTTAGCTCCATGGGCTCCACTGCAGACCTGCACCAAGACCCTACTGGACCACCAGAAAATTTATTTTTCCCCCCATTCTACCCAGGAGATAAGCAAGGGGGGCAAATATTATATAAATAAAATGCATTTAAGTGTGGTGAGACTATGTTTAACACAACCTCCCCACATTCTGTCATTCTAATACATTGTCACCCCTCACTTATACTGGCACAGTCAGCCCCCTCATCAGGGCCGTCTATAATATGAATAGGACCCCGGGCAAAGCCTTTTCTTGGGCCCCCTGGGCCCTGTCACTGCACCCTCCCTCCCCATTACGCCCAACCCGCAATCACACTGACAGACATACTGACACATACACACACAGACAGACACATTAAAACATTCGCAGATACATACTGACACACACATACACTGACACAAAAATATATACTGGCAAACATTGACACACATTCAGACATACTGATACACACACAGACACATACATACTCACAGACACATACACTGACAGATATATTGACACAGACACACACAGACACATACACTGACAGGCGTATTGACATACACAGACATACTGACATACACACACACACACTGGAACACAGTGAGACATACTGACATACACACACAGACATACTGACATACAAACACACAGACATACACACAGTATGTCTGTGTGTGTTAGTATGTCTGTGTGGTGTGTTAGTATGTCTGTGTGTGTATGTCAGTATGTCTGTGTATGTCAGTGTATGTCAGTATGTTGTGTGTGTATATGTCTGTGTGTGTGTGTGTGTGTGTATGTCAGTATGTGTGTGTGTATGTGTGTGTGTATGTCTGTGTGTGTGTATGTGTCAGTATGTCTGTGTGTGTGTGTGTATGTCAGTGTGTCTGTGTGTGTATGTCAGTATGTCTGTCATAGACACACACAGACATACTGACATACATACACAAACAGACATACTGACACAGACATACTAACACACACACATACTAACACACAAACACATACTAACACACTAACACACACACACAGACACAGACATACTAACACACACACATACTAAAAACACACACAGACATACTAACACACACACACACACACATACTAACACACACACATACAGACATACTAACACACACACACAGACATACTAACACACACAGGCATACTAACACACACACACAGACATACTAACAAACACACACACACAGACATACTAACACACAAACACAGACATACTAACACACACAGGCATACTAACACACACAAGCATACTAACACACACACATACTAACACACACACACAGACATACTACACACACACAGACATACTAACACACAAACACAGACATACTACACACACACAGACATACTAACACACACAGACATACTAACACACACACATACTGACATACATTTAGCCACCCTCCAGGTTCTTACCTTTTTATGGAGGGTGGTTTCCCTGGGGTCCAGTGGCAGGCTGAGGCAGATGGGAGTTCTTCTCTGGAACTCCCCTCCTCCCTGCCTTCCTCCTCCCGCGCGGCTATCTCCGGTGGGAGGAAGTGACACGCGGTACTCACTTCCTCCCAGCCGGTACAGGAAGGGGCCCGGTCGCGCTGTTTAAGCGTCACAGCGCCCGACCGGGCCCCTTCTGCCACATGCCCACAGGGTGGCCCTTAGTGCATGGGCCACCCGGGGGCCTCCTTAGTTGGCGGGCCGGTGCGGCTGCACCGCCGGCCGCCGGGTACATGGGGGCTGCTGAAATTGCGGGGCCCACGGGGCAGCTGCTCTGGGGCCCCCCCCAGGAGCAACTGGGCCCGGGGTAGCTGCCCCGTTTGCCCCGCGCTAAAGACGGCCCTGCCCCTCATCTTGTCACACTCACTCCCCCTCACTCTGTCACACTCATCTCCCTAACCCTGTAACACTCACCCTCAACTCTGTCACACTCACCACCACCACTCACTCTGTCACACTCATCCCCCTAAACCTGTAACAATCACCCTCAACTCTGTCACACTCACCACCACTCACTCTGACATATACCCTGCCCCACTCACCCCCTCACCCAGCCAAACTCACGTCACGCCCCCTTACCCTGTCACACTCACCAAGCAAATCCTGTCACCCCCACACCGCTAAAGTCACCCTCTTAACATAGTCATCATACAGAGTCAACTACCACACATGAAACACAGCCTGGCTATAAACACAACACACAAAGGCCACAAGTAGACCCCCTTACACACATCACAAAACAAGCAACTCCCCCCCGCATATATATATATATATATATATATATATATACTCCCAGCCACAGACATACACTTACTCAGGACACACATTCACACACAAGCATACACAGGTATATGGACATATTGCCAAAGACACACACTGTCACCCACATATACAGATATACAAAGTCAAAGACACAGACACAGCCAGCACCCCTCCTTCCCCCCATAGCTCTTAGCCCCCTCCACACCTACAACACTAAGCCACTCTCATACACTCAACAAACACCACTCACAGAAACAGAGCCCAGGGCCCCAATTCTGGCAACCTGCATATTGCCCTGGGCAATCTTAACCTGGCTCTGGCAACCTCAAGCCCCAAAGCTGCTTTGTACATGACTTGCATGGTGCAAGAGGTCTAGGTATTACATAGATTGCAGCCATCAGAAGTTGGAGTGCTGAATACAAATGATATATTGTAGGGTGTTTTTTTTTCTCTTGCTATTGATGCTCAGTAATTTATGCTTTTATGTCTTTAGGAAGAAGACAAACCAGCATTGTACATATACAATCCTGTAACCAAGGAGAAAGTCACAATAATGGGGGACATCTCTCTACTGAGTGCAACCGTTTCCAGACTAACGACTTTAATATCACTAAAATGTGGATTTCCCGTTAGTGTTTTTTGTCTGAGAACTCTACAAGGTCAGGACCTGTACAACTGCAACAGTCTAAGTGATTACAAGCTAGATCTTGGTACGTAACAAATCTGCTCTGTTGCAGAGCATTATATTTTTGTACATTGGAGGAGTGTTGAATATTCCATACATTCTAATTAATCAGTCAGTAACAGCAGATGGTGTTGTCTTATTTGTATGTTAATATTTATGTGTGAGTCTAACAGTGTAAATAGTGGGGTGGTAGGATACATGGCGAGGCTGAGTTTAGAAATATACTGTGTACATATTTAACACTTTTTACCATCTCTATTCCATATAGCAATCTAAACCCCAATGACAGCTCAAACGGCATTTAACTTCTATCCTCCATAGTTCCTTCACCGATAGTCTCAACTTATCTAACAGGCTTGTCTAATAACAATCATTTCCTGAATCCCAAAAATATCAGTCTCCAAATACTAATAGCCCAAACCACGACTCCAAATAAACTTTAAAGGAACACTATAGCATTGGGAATATAAATGTGTATTCCCAATGTTATATTTCTCTGGTGGACATCGAGCTGACCAGCTGCGACATGCATGGAGCAAAATAAAATTACTCTTAATCACCTTTTGTCCCTTGCAGCGCTGGTCTCTGCAGCTGGTCCCACCTCCTTGGCTGAGATCATGAAGATCGATGATCTTGGCCAATCCAATCCTTCTCCATAGGGAACAAAACACCACACTGCGCTAATCAGATGGTCCACTATAGACAAGTTTACCCTGGGTACCCTGCAATAAAAACATTAAAACAGGGGTAACATGATGTACATATCACTTAATTGAGATGAATTGGACTGGGTGCCTGTAGTATCTCTTTAATATATAAAAGATCCCTGCTTCCTGCTTCTTGTTTGGTCATGGGTTCTGTGCTGCAATGATATATGGGTTTCTCCGTGCTGTAATGGTGTCAGGTTTGGTATAAAGAGGGTCTTTATGCTGTGGTTGGTAAGTGAGGGTTGCAGCCCATGTAGGTTTGTATAGTGCGTGATATTGTTAGAGTTGTTCATTAAAGTATGAATTGTTAGTAATACAAAGGAAATTAAAATTTTTGACCAAAGTAGCTGAACTGAAATCATTACAATTTGACAATGTGGCCTAATATTCCCTTAGAATAGTATTTCTCATTGTATAGGTTTATTGTGTGCGATCCTGGGTATAGAGAAACAGTGAGTTTTTGTGCCACACATTGTGCATGTGATATGCAGTGCGCAGGTGAATGGCATGGTGTATAAAGTGTAAAGCTTTGTGTGTAGTGTATTTATATAGTAATCTGTACAATTGAGTAACAGTGTCTGAGTAACATAGTTTGAGTACAGTTAAACAGTTAAAGGAACACTAAAAGGTCAGGAACACAAACATGTATTCCTGACCCTATAGTGTTAAAACCACCATCTAGCCCACCCTAAATATCGTAAATTCTTACTTGTATTCAAGTCTGCAGCTGCTGGCTCTGCCCCTGTCTGCCTCTGACCTGTCTGCTGACTGCTGTCATCATCAGTAGTGGTGGTCTGAGCCAATCACAATGCTTCCCCAAAGGATTGGCTGAGACTGTCAAGCAGATCAGGCAGATAGAGATGAATTGAATCAATGAATCTCTATGAGGAAAGTTCAGTGTCTGCATGCAGAGGGTGGAGACACTGAATGGCAGTGCTGATCACTGTGCAGCACTGCCCTAGGAATCACCTCTTGCAGCCATCTGTGGAGTGGCCAGTGAAGTTATCACTAGGCTGTAATGTAGACCCTATAGTGTTAAAACCACCATCTAGCCCACCCTAAATATCGTAAATTCTTACTTGTATTCAAGTCTGCAGCTGCTGGCTCTGCCCCTGTCTGCCTCTGACCTGTCTGCTGACTGCTGTCATCATCAATAGTGGTGGTCTGAGCCAATCACAATGCTTCCCCAAAGGATTGGCTGAGACTGTCAAGCAGATCAGGCAGATAGAGATGAATTGAATCAATGAATCTCTATGAGGAAAGTTCAGTGTCTGCATGCAGAGGGTGGAGACACTGAATGGCAGTGCTGATCACTGTGCAGCACTGCCCTAGGAATCACCTCTTGCAGCCATCTGTGGAGTGGCCAGTGAAGTTATCACTAGGCTGTAATGTAAACACCAGAACAAATTCAATAAGCTGTAGTTGTTCTGGTGACTATAGTGTCCCTTTAAGTAACATTGGGTGTATAGTGTGGGTGTATAGTGTGTCAGTATTAATGTACCTGTGACTCCAGTGAGTGCATGTACATTATGATATCAGCATGATGAGCAGTTCATATATAGTTTTGTGTATATGAAAAATAATAAAACAGCCCCTAATTTAACATTGCTATGAAGAGAAAAAAATATGGCGTCAGTATTATCAAGTGGTTTGCCCTTCAATAATAGCTGCAAACATACAACTGATTAAAGTTACCGCTAACCTCTAGATTTTATATCTATTTTTACAAATACATGCATTAGCTGTACGGAAAGTTTTTGGGGTACCAAACGGCACATATGACCTGCCCTCTTATAAGGGGTAATTTTTACTCTATTGCTTCCCTTTAAGAAGTTCCTATTTTACTATTGCAAAGAGGAAGAGGAAGCATAAATAAATATCTATAATGCATCCTAAAACCCAAACAAACAAGTTATTCAATATTGTAGCAACCTAGATAGCTAAAAATAAAGTGCAGAAATCGTGTGATATAAGAATTATACATATTACACGCAGTAATGAATTTCCACTTAAATGCATTCAAGGTTCCACCTTAAGAATCAACGTGTGGGATGGTTGGAAGGAGTTTCTTCTGGGATGTGTTCTCGGTCACAAACAAAACATTCAGCGCTATCTATCAAAAGAAGAAGCGGTTTTGAGGTACGGTAACTAACTAGCAAGTTGGCCATAGACAGTTGGTGATAGATTTTAGTGATATAAGTTTTCCAAAGATCAGCTAAGGGATTTACAATCACTAAAACTGACCCTAGAAATTGCCACATACCTACAAGATGCAAAAAAAACTATATCAAACACAGGTTATTTGTGGGTAGTATAATATGGTTGTCACCAAAGCAATACTGTTAAAGCTGTCATGGTTAGCTCTCCTATATTCGATTATAGATATTTGATTGATTTTATTTTGAACATGCTCACTATAAGAACAATTTACTCATGCTAGTGGTAATGGAATGTGGTCCACATTGGGGTGGGAAAGCTTATGAGAAAATCCTTACACACGGAATATGGGTTATATTTGAAACCTAGATGATTGCTTCCAAGTGTACTGGATGCAATGGAACAATCCAGATTTGGAACTTCTGTCCTATCTTCCTGTATTATTACACCAGAGGAACACCTCTGAAACTAGCATAACACGAGCGCAGCTTCAAATAGGCTCATGCATCATCCAAGAACGTTTTTGCAGAGCTCTGCACATGCTTGAATTCCTAGCTTGCCCACTCGCCATCTTGAGGCTTACTCATCTAATATGAGAGCAATGCTTCCATTTGATACTACGTGTCTCAATTTATTTTATACATACTAATAATCTGTATAAACACTTTAGTATATTTTACATATTTTACAATTTAGTTTTTGTTTTTTTGTTGTGTTATTTTATTTTATTTTTAATATTGACACAGATACCAACAGAAGACAGCCCTCTATGTGGCTGCACATTATGGACACCTGGAACTAGCAGAATGGCTTCAGGAAAAAGGGGTCAGGGTTGATGAAGCTGTGGGTGTTCATCCCTACAGGGAATGGTGCAGTGAAACTGACCATCCAGATGTTGTCAAATGTCCAGTCCATGCAGCTGCTGAAGCTGGCCAACTTCTTCTGCTAAAGGCATTTGTCTCGCGAAATGTTTTGTGTCTTCAATGCCAAAATCCATTGGGTCAGACACCACTCAGAATATGTCTTCGACATAGTCATAAAGACTGTGTTTTATATTTGATTATGAAAATGTGGTCGGTAGTCTCCTTTAAAAAAATCTCTCTTCCTATGCGAATTTACATAAAAGTGAAAAAGTGGCTATTTTTGGCTCAGAAAAAAGTCTCTGCAGCAAAGAATATGAAGTGGGCAGTGGTATTCAAGACACGAGTAGGAGACAAACTTGTAATCGATGGTTTCACAGAATCCAAAATGAGCACTCGAGACCTACGTGGACTTTGTCAGGATAGGTGGAATAAATTGGCACGAAATAACATTGCAAATATCCAAAACAACCAGACATTTGCTAACACAGTATTAAAACTTCACACTATTCATCAGAGAGAGAAATCAACTCAGCCTATCTTGCTGCCAACAGTTAAAATATCAGCAAATGCTACTGTAAAAAGAAATGAATTAGGCCAGCTCTCTGTGGACGACAATATATTACAAAATAACTGGTCAGCTCAAGTTCCACTTCCTCCAATTGCCAACCAGAACAGCAACCTCCCACGTAACATAATTGCTACTGCTCAAGCTGCATTTCTTCTGAAATCGTCTCTTGAATCTTTTTCGAAACACACAGGGAAGACTCCAAGAGAGAATGCAATATATTGCTTGGGACTTGCCAGGTAAAAACGTGGAGTATTTGAGTTTTGTATTTGGACCTTTGCTTGACTACCAGGTTTTATCCATCAACCATATATTGTGTGTATATATAATTAGACTTTATTACATTCACAGGATTATTCAAGTGTGAATTGTTGTAAATTTTAAAAGAAATTTAAGTTTTTGGCCACAAAATTAGAAAAGTTCTTTAAGTCAACTATGTTTTTAGTTTAGGCTATTCTGGCCTAAAATGTTTAATTTTCTTTGAATTCACGTTGAGTTCCTGGCAATTTACATTTAAAAACAAACAAAACAAAAAAAACACCTGGCACTTAACTTTCTGCATATTATGGCACAATAAGTGATCAGTAGGCAGCACTCAGTGGGGCCTTTTGGATAATCCAGCTATGAGTAAGATACTAATAAAACATTCAAGGTTATTTACGTAAATGTGAATTATTGTTTATTCAAAGTGAATTTCAAATCATAAGGACAAAATATTCGATTTATAAAACTTTTCATCTCCAGTTTCATCTATATTTTGGCTAAAAAAGTAAAATTCTGTTTGAATTCACTTTGCCATTCACACTTTACTAAAAACCACTGATTATGTGACCTTTTTCGCGTCCAAGCCAAGCAACAGCCAATCCACTGAAAGGCTGAAATCAATTCGTGCCAATCAGCTCTCAGAGAGAAGAGGGGTTTCGCCGCCCAATCAGAAGAAAGGGCGCGAAACCCAATTGCACTAATCTGCTGAAAGGCGCAAAACCAACTCGCGCCAATCAGCGCTTTTTAATAGTGTCTGCAGGTATGTCCCTGTTACTACTTGAGAAATTTGAAAACATTAAACAAGCCTTAATTTAATAAATAAGCCGGCTAGTGAATAAACCCTTGTATGTCCTGGAACTTTTTTTTAATGTAAAACAATACAGCAATATGGCAGATTGCATTTAATTACAATTTCTCTTTCAAAGAAAGATTACTCTTGGTTATTGCTAAAAATACTTTCAATATCTTAGAATTCCCAGCAATTCCCACTATAGTAAATAACTCTGTTTGCTCAAATTTGTTATATAATTATGTGTTATTTTGCTTTTATTTAGCAAAAATACTAATATAGTATTGATATGTTTTTTTCAGTGAATTCAAAGAGAAGCCCTGGCTCCAACAGCTTGAGATTGCTCGAATGCTTGCTAAGAAAACAATCTACAACTTGTAAACTGTGACAAGGACATACAGGATGCTTGCTATATTTATACATGGAAAAAAGAAAACATTTTAATGTTATTTTCTACAATTATTATTATTATTATTATTAATAAGTATTATACCTTGATTATTTTATACTATATATTTGGCAACTTGTATTTCGTTATCTGTTGTAACAATACCGGTTTTATGTATTTAAAAAAAACAAAATTTTTTTTATTAAATAAAGCAATAAAAGTTTTGCATCTAAAAGTAATTTTTAAAAAAATAAAATACAATAAAGCTTACATATTTTTTTAAAAACATATGTTCAATCAAAGAGACCCTGCCATGAACAACAGAACAGAGCCCAATTTTAATTGGAATATGATTTCATTTGTATTTTCTGTTAGCAAATTTATAGATTTACAGACACAAAAAATATAGCATTTACCTGATATCTATTTGAGGGACTGAGGGACCGGAGAGATGCATGAAAGTAATATAAAAGGAAATGCCTGACCTAGCATCATCTCGGATCTGTGCAAATGCAAAACATTCTAAGACAGACTGAATAGTAAAATCGATCGATATTAGGGTACTTTAACGCAGTGGTGGGTTTAAAGGGGTATTGCAAGCACCATAACCACTATAGCATGTTGTACTGGTTATTATGCCAGCAGTACCCTGGCCCAGTTCTCTTGTAATGGGTCAAACCATTTAGCAATAGTTTGCTTGTTTACCTAGGTCCCTGCTAAAATCCAAGGTTCGGATCAAGCATTTCCGTCTTCTGCTAAGCTGCAGAAGCTGTAAGCTGATCCAGTCTCCATTGGTTGCCTGAATGCATCAGCTGACTGCTCTCAACCAATGATTGGCACATTGCACAAAAACATTTGCACAGAATTGACTAATGATGCTAGATGTGAAGTTACACCTCAAGTAGAGGCCTTAATTCCCACAGACACAATCTAAAATCTTGTAGAAAGCATTCCCAGAGAAGTGGTGGCTGTCAAATTGACAAAGCACGGGCCAGTTCCATATGAATGTCCATTGTTTTGGAATGTAATCTTCAACAATCCCATATAGATGAGATGGACATGTATCCACTTACGTTTGGCCATCGTGTGTATGAAATATTAAAATTGGGTGCTAAGCTTCCACACATCTCAATGACTGAGTCTATTTCTGTGAATAAATATAATTGCAAATATTACATGCAAAGCCAACTTCACTAAAAACTATTCTATTCTTTAAAAATACTATTCTTTGATTTAGAAAAGCTAGGTATCCATTACAAACCCGATGGAATCGATGTCGGCACTGCAGGACGTGATTAAAAAATATGGGAAGGTGTCCGGATACAAAGCAAATATCCAGAAGTCCAGCGCTCCGTCCATCGGCTTAATGGAGGCTTATGCAGCTCGGATACGGGAGACCTACCAAGTTCGGATGGAAACAGACTCCTTGAAATACTTAGGTATTCACCTAACAGGTAACCCGGGATGTCTATATTCCACCAGCTATGGTCCCATGCTTAGGGCTTTGATAGGAGATCTAGAAAAGTGGACAGATAAACCTATCTCTTGGATAGGCCGTATTAATTCTGTAAAAATGAACATCCTTCCATGCATCCTATTTTTATTTCAAGCATTAACTGTCCGCGTCACAAAAAACGCAACTGATACTGTTACAAAGATCGATAGGAGATTTAATTTGTCAGAACAAGAGGCACAGAATCTCTATACAAGTTCTGTATAGACGTAAAGACAGAGGGGGATTGAGCCTACTGAGTTTATATTTTTACAACCTTGCGTTGCGTCCCAACTGACGCAGGTGGCCATGTGGCACTCCCCGCCGGAAGAAAGAAGGTGGGTGTAAATAGAGTCCATGCTAGTGGGGTCGGACATCCCCCAGTTCACAAAATGGGTCCCTAAGGAACATAGACCTATGATAAGTGTGACTTGTCCGGCCATACTTAGCTCACTCCAAATATGGGATACGAACAACACCAAGTATGGATTGGCATCGTCCCCCTCCCCTCTAACTCCAATACTTACAAACCCTGAGTTTCAACCCAGAACGGCCCCCAGAGAATTTCGAAATATAGAAAGAACCGGGCTACAGCGGATTCACCAGTTATATCGCACTGGAGAAGTCGTCCAATTTGAAGAACTCCAACAAAGCCATCACTTAACCCCAGCAGATTTTTTTAGATACATTCAGATACAAGATTTTGCTAGAAGACCACATATCAGAGTAGCAGCCCAGGGAAGGGTGACTTTTTATGAGAGAATATGCCTCGCAGGAACGGCTCCCAAGGGTATGATCACGCTTCTATATGCTCACTTCAGTGCTGAAAATAAAGAATGTGGAAGACTGACATACACTGACCAATGGGAGGCGGACCTAGGGGAAGTATTGGAAGGAACTGAGTGGCAAGAGATATGGGAAGCAAACAAAAATGCTTCTATATGCGTCACACTCCAGGAGCAGACGTGGAAAACCATGCTCAGATGCTATACTACCCCTGTAAAACTATATAAAATGCACAAAATAGATTTAGATGACTGCTGCAGGGGTTGCGGAGCCCGAGGAACATACATCCACATGTGGTGGGAATGCCTGAAGATACGCAGTTTTTGGAAGTCAGTAGAGGATTTGCTGAAACAGACATTCGACAGGCCCCTAGATATGGATATATATATACCCGTGGATATATTTGTTAAATAGATCATTAAACGGGTGGACTAAGAGAGAGCAGAAACTAGTACATAAGATAACTCTAAGTGCGCGCCGAGCAATAGCAACCGCATGGCTCTCACCAGAGTGCCCGGAGTTTCCAGGATGTAGTATTATGGACGACCTGACAGCAAGGATAAGGGGGACGACAGCGGCATTCCAGAGACTCTGGGAACCATGGGACAATAGCGTAGTTAGAGCGGAGATTGACAGGGACCGGATGGGAGTGTAGACCCGGACCAGCCATAGAAGACCCCTCCGCATGGAGGACATAGCCATCACACTGTAAATAAGAGGGCCCTCTGCCCTACCCCCCCTTCCCTTCTCCATCTCCTTCTGAAGCTATAGCCTCTTCTTCTTCTTTTCTCCTAGAATTTCATATATTTTCTTTCTTTCTTGTTTTTACTTTCTTTTTTCTCTTCCCTTAGTTTCCAAGGGATTTTTTTTTTTTTTTTACCAGGCATGATCAAACAGTCGGAGGAACAGGGAATCCCATGGGCAAATGTAGTCTGTGATAAGAGAAGGCTCCTTATGATGCCTAAATGCCTGATTCTAAACCATGAAAACCCTTGGTGGGAGGCAAGTCTCAAAGGGTTAAGGTATTGGCTTGTGTTTGTTTACTTAAACTGCATCATATTGTCAAGAATAATATTCATGTTAAGGCTTTTGCGCAAGCCTAAAAGTTAATGTATACTTGCTATGCCTATCGAGTGAAAAATAAAGAATACAAAAAAAAAAGCTAGGTACTGTGTAGGGGAGCATAGGGGAATAGTAAGGTATTGCAAATCTAATTCTAATTTTCTATGCAAAACATGTAATGTGTATATTTTACTTGTTATTGATCCTTTCCAATTCCTCACTAAAATAAATATAGAAAAAAACTGCAGATACAAAATATTACACAATTTAATCTTGAAAAATAAGAAAGCAGGTAGGTGTTCTAAAAATATTAACTAAAATGTTGTGTGAGTCTCTGGGATTGGTGCACAGCAGCAAGGCATTGTATCGCATGAATTAAAGAAATTAAATTAATTATATTTTTCCTTGGTGTTCAGAAACCTGAACACATAAGGGAAATCCATTCTACAAATATCCAGTAACTTTTACTAACTGATACTTTGAAATGTTGTTTTACTCAATTTTGTTTCATGGTAAACATTCTTAGTGGTTGACCACAATCTATTGTTAGATAATCAACGACATGTTAATGGCTACTGATAAACCGTCAGCTCATTCACAATCTAAATGTTCGGATACTTTTTGACACGTAAAGCAGCTAAGTTTTAGCTTAAGAAATCACCATCAATCCAGAAAAGATTGATCAACACATCAGCAAAACCACCACCATTGGAATGAAATTGTTATGGTGCCAGAAGGTCCCTGATACTCCTTCAGGAGTTAAATTGTTAATGAACGGTTAATGAACGGTTAATGAACGATTTAACCCAAAAGTCCAGGACCAGTCAGCTCGGACCCATTTTTCCTGATTGAAGCCTTGGACAGGAGTCCCACTGATAGACTAAGAGTGTCAGCTGGCACTCTCAGCCTATCATACTTCTCTATTCATAAAACATGAATGAAACATACATATTTTTTTCACTCCATTTAAAAAAAATAAAAATCTTTATTTGTATTCAGTTCACCGGCGAGAGCAACAGCATAGGTGAGAATACACTTACTCCTTTTTATAAATGGGGAATTACTGATATTGAGAAAGAGTCCAGCTTCGACTCTCTCAGCCTATCAGCGACATCCCTGTTCGAGGCCTCCTGACGGAAGCTTCACACTAAAACGGAACTTTGTAGGCAGACCTGACTGGTGCTGGACTGAATACTTTGCAATTAAACCATTCCATAATGGTTTAACCCACAAAGGTAATCCATAGAAACATAGAATGTGACGACAGATACGATCCATTCAGCCCATCTAGTCTGCCAAATTTTCTAAATACTTTCATTAGTCCCTAGCCTTATCTTATAGCTAGGATAGCATTAGGCCTATCCCACGCATGCTTGAACTCCTTTACTGTGTTAACCTCTAACACTTCAGTCGGAAGGCTATTTCATGCATCCACTACCCTCTCAGTAAAGTAATACTTCCTGATATTATTTTTAAACATTTGCCCCTCTAATTTAAGACTATCCAATCCAGTGCCAGGGACCTCCGAGCACCATAACAACATCATTCCAATAAAAGTGTTATCCTGCCAGAAGTGTTCCTTTAACTCCCTAATATTAGGAGCTATATTGATACTGGAATTAGTCAGTCTGCTCTTCATATCTATATTTACAATGTAACCTTTTGTTTAACATATTGTTCATTGTTTATCATTTTATTCCTAATGATATGCACCCTGACAGCCTTAAAAACTCTTAGAAAGTTGTGTGCATGTTTGTTCCCAGAACCTTTAGTTTGTTAGTCTTAAAACTTTCTCTAGACTTTTCACAGGAGGCTATTAGAAAGGCTTGATTCTTGATTTGGTTTTGAGTTGGAAATACCTGCTGTGCCCTATATATTTGGTTTTCGGAGTCATCCCCTGCCCTGTTTATTATCCCATCCAGCCAACACAATGCTGCTATTTTGTATGATCTAGTCTGCTACACTCCTGTTTACCCAGTGTTTCACCTGTTCTATGTCTCTTTACAGTGCAAGAATTCATTGGTGCTATACAAAGGAATTCTAACAATACAGTTATGTCATATGTACAGACTCCTGCTCCCTTTAGGGAAGTAAGAATGATTTTATCTGTAGCTATTTCTACAATTTCTGAATTGACCGCTACTTCTGCAAATCCATCGACACGATGGTAGCAGATCTGCAATCTATACCTCAAGTCAGATGAGTAACACATTGAATGTTATTTTGTGAAAACAATTGTGTTATAACCATTTACTCAAATGAGGAGAAAAAGATATCTTGTGTGAGACAGCTCTTAGAAATACTGTGAACACTATAATTATGTGTTGTGAATACCCAAGTGTACATGAAAAGTATACAATAACCAGCCACTTCAATACTTTGTGTGTATGTTCCCAATTCTACACAAAACATTAACCAGCAAAGACAGAAGAAGGGTACCTTTTTGAAGAAACACTCCAAATGAATTACATGCAATTACATGCAAGAAAATATTCTATACTAATATAATAGTGCTGCTGTGTTTTTTTTTTTTATTATTCTTTATTTTTGCAGTGCAAGAAAAACCATAACAGAAGGCGTGTGGTGCCCCAATAGCATTCATCACGCTGAGTATCAACACTTTAACAATGGGGATTACATAAATCCGTGCACCTTTTTAAATTATTTATGTAGAGATTGTCCACGTTTAAACTGTATGCTGAGTATACAATTGAATATTCATATTTTAAGCTAGGTAAAGCATCAACATTAATAGGGAGTTCACTGTGTGCGCATACCTAGACAGTTATGTCGTTAGGACTCCATCATGCTTAGTTAGGTAAACAAATGTGTTAGTAACATGCTGAATATATGTGATCAGGGCTATGGGTTAGACATTAAGGCTAGGCTGCAATTAAGACAAAAATCTGCTTCATAAACTAACCCTGATTTTTGTAGGCTTATTCACCGTTAAACATTAGATGAGTGTTAAGCTATGGGTAAGACGCATTGTGAACCTGGGTTACTGAATTATAGACACTACTGTGACTTGCTATGAACTGTGACTAGCTCAGAGAATGATAGTGTAAGAGTATCTTAAAGTCATGCAGTAATAATAGGTCAGAGACAGTCACAGATAGAGCGATAGAGACAGTGGGACGTGTGGGGAGCTTGTCTCATCTGTGTCATCTGTCAGCCAACTCCCGCCAGAGGTATTTTGCATGCCCGTTTGGGAGCCCCTGTGTTGCTTGGTCTCATCCGCTGTTTGTGCTCGGGAGGCGCCCCTTTTGTTGTTTGTGTGCCGTTGTTGGTCCGGCTCGGTGTTGCCGCCATTGTGGGCTTCGTTACTCACTGTCCCCGCTTCCGGTCGGGTGTCACGTTGTACTTGCGATGTCTGTTGCTGTCTGCAGCTTGTCGGTAAAGGGGGCTTGAGTACACCGTTCTGTTCGCTCTCTCTGTCCTCTGGGTCTGTTTTAGGCTGCCGCTGTTATTATAGGGGAGGGTTTTCCTCAAGATAGGTCCCCTTAGGCACCGGCCCATTGGGTGCATGGAGCCTGTGGGGTTGTTAGCTTGCCGTTGTGCGGCCAACTGGACCGGGCATTGTAGCTTGCCTTCTGTCTGGGTGTCCGGGAGGGGAGGTCGCATACGTGCCTCCAGCTTCTCCCAAAAGGAGTTGAAGATCGCGGCTAGTTGGAGCTCCGTGTCCGCCATGATGCTGGAGGCTTCTCTGTCCGCCACCATCTTGGATGCGTCTTCTACTGGGCTGCCCCGCTGTGTTGCTTGCTTGATCTTGTGGTGAGACCTTGCTAAGCCGTCCCTGTTGTCCAGGGAGGACCGGGATATCCCCCGCAGGTCCATGGGGGGGGGGGGTAGGAGGTCCGTGTGTCGAGGGTATCGCGTGTGACATTGCTGTCGAGGAGAGCGGCCGCCTCTCCCCTTTGCGGTCTCGAGTAGGCCCCAGTAGTTTGTGAGGGTTCCTGGGGAGTGTGCTTCCTGTTTTTGGGGTCGTTGGATGCCCCTGGGTTTCCCCCGCCTGCAGCATGCCTTTTTTGCCGATTTTAGTTCAGTTTTTCGGGGTATTTGTCCCCCAATGAGTTGCTATAACCAGGAGCTAGTTCACTGAATGTCTTTCCTGCTCGGCAGTTAGGCCCCGCCCCCCTGTTTTTTCTTTTTCACACCTACATAATTCAAACAATATAAAAGAGGAAGGAAACTAATATTTGCTTTCACCAGTGAGCCATTGTCAAGGCTCATGGATGAGTGAGTGTAGAATTTCTGTGCAGTCTTGTAGAATACCCTGATTTATATCATTTATGATATAACTGGTCCCACTTATATTATGGTTTTGACATTTAAACTATCTGTGGAGTAGGAGGATATTGGTCATCTTTATAGTGATGTGGTATATCTAGAGCTATTTAAAAGTTGCTAAACACTGAGTGTTTAGTTGCACTTAAAGGGACACTCCAAGCACCAAAACCCCTGCAGCACACTTTTTGCCCTTGTGTCACCCATTGTAATTAGTGAAAACAAATTGGTGCTCTCTGCCAATGAGCTAGCCCTGCACTGCAGGTCTTAGTTCAGGAGATCTAGCAAAAGCTCATTGTTGTTATGGTGCTTCAAATGTTCCTTTGAGTTCAGTAATACTCAATGGGGGGCATTTATGAAAGTGTTCTGTGGGGAAAGCAGAAACTGGTGGAACCAGGAGGCACAATCCATTGGTGAGTTCTCCTCTTTTACACTTTGCACCACTTGTTAGAACAGAGCACTAAATCACCCACCCCCACCCCAGTATATTTAGATGTAGGGTTATGGAACTTGGTAGCTACATTTAGATAACTGTTTTACTAAAGGGAGACTACATTGCCCAAATAATATAATTTAAAAACATTATTTAGTAGATATGCCCCTAATGAACCCATGCATGCATTTAATTTTGCTTTTTGCCATTGGGGTATATCTTAGCTGTATCATTGTATGCAGCTTTTGCAGATCCCACTCTTCCTCCCTAGCAAAGACTTTCTGTGACTTATTCATGAATCCATCATAATATCTGGGGAATTAAAAGCTTTTTAGACAATATACTTGCTATAGTTCACACAGGGTATAAAATGTTATGGTAAAAGCAAAAATGCATTTATTCCTACAAAAATTGGCAAATACCTTGCTTATATGTATTTGCAAGGACTCAATACATTTGCAGCAGTGCAGCTTACTATAAATGGCAACAGAAAGTCAAAAATAATGTCTGCATTTGAGCATAATGGTCACATACAATAAAGTTAATACATTTCTAAAATAAAGATACATAGAACCGCGGTAGAAATTTTTATCAATCTCTGGAAAACTAATGTAATGCTGACAGTGAAATGGTAGGGTCCATTCTCTCAACCCCCCTCCCTGACTATAGGAATAATATTATCCATTGAAATTTCCTGTACTGTTTGAAAGCAGAGGGTGAGCTTATAATTTCAACAAATTTACATGCAATACAGCAATAATTTGTGGCTTCTCGCTTAGAAATTCATTCCTCTACAGGCTGATAATCATAACTAGTGTGTAAATGAGCAATGCTTTATGCACTATGTTTCATACTGCAAAATATATAAAAATAGAAATGTTTATGCTTCATTTGGGTGCTGAAGGGGTTGAGAAGTCTTTGCAAGGCAGGTACTCTGGGGAACTGAAAAACAAAAAACAGGTTCACCTCATGGTGATATTAACAACATGATGCAGCATGATAGCAAAACAATTTGTGGGTAATACCAGTGCCGGACTGGGGATACAAAGCAGCCCCCAGAAAAAAAATCTATGCAAGCCTCATAAGTCATTGTGCCATGTATTGTCACATGTAATATGTTTGTATATGTATATATAATATAACAGAGATATATATATATATATATATATCCTTACATATTATATATATTATATGTTTTACTCTGAAAGGACCAATATTATATATTTCTTTATCTAATGTAAAATATTGGTCCTTTCAGACTAAAACATTTAATTAAACAGTAAGCATTTTCACATGCAGACACAGACAATCTCACTGACACACACAAGCTCACTGATACTCAGCCTGATAGACTAACAATCTCAGAGATATACATAAGCTCATTGACATAAAAACACAAGCTCACAGATATATTTTATCATCATTTTATAATATATATTTTATCATTATTTTATAACATATATTTTATTATATGTTTTAGGTGCACCCTTATTCTATTGTGTGTTTTCTTGTATTTTATCTCATTGTTACGGGATTAGAGGGGACTCCCCTTTGAGGTGTGCAGCCGTTTTACTACATTTCTCTGTGGCAGTTTAGCGCTGATTTTTTCTTTTTGTTTCTTCCAGTCTTCACAGATGCACACAAATAGGCTCACTGACAGACAATCTCACGGACACACACAGACAAGCTTATTGGTATACACACAAACGTAGTACAGACAAACTGACATGCACAAGCTTACTACAGACAATCTCATTGTCACACACACACAAACATGCTCACTGACACACACATGGTCACTACAGACAAGCTCACACACACATGCTCACTACAGATAAGCTCACAGATACACACTTGCTTTCTACAGACAATCTCACTGACACACACAAACTCACTGCAGACAAGCTCACTAACACACAAATGCTCACTACAGACAAGGTCACTGACACACACATGCTCACTACAGACAAGCTCACTGACACACACACATACAAGCTCACTCACTAGCAACCACACACACACACACAAGCTTACTAGCTAGCAGGCACACACACATACACACACACAAGCTCACTCACTAGCAGGCACACACACACACGCACACACATACACACACGCACAAAAGCCCACTCACTAGCAGGCACACACACACACAAACAAGCTCACTCACTAGCAGGTGCACAAACACACACAAGCTCACTCACTAGCAGGCGCACACCCACACACACACAACCTCACTAACTAGCAGGCACACACACACAAACTCACTAGCAGGTGTACAAACACACAAGCTCACTCACTAGCAAGCACACTCACACACACAAGTTAACTCACTAGCAGACACACACACACACACACACACACAAGCTCACTCACTAGAAAGCACACACACACACACACACAAGCTCACTCACTAGCAGGCACCCACACACACACATGTAACCACAGATGGTTCCTTTATTTACCACTATAATGTCTTAAAGAATAGAATTTAGCAGGACTAACCATACAGATTTATATCCACAATTTTATATAGTCAGTAAGAGATCCTCTATTTAAAATATATAAATAATTGTGAATACAATATAAAATAAGAATTGTCTTGGAAACAATAAAGTTTTGTCTTTATAAAAATATAATAAATATAAAATATAAATATAGATATATAAAATCAATTACAATAATATAGCAGAGTTTATAAGATTAAACTATATCCTTGCAATATCATTAATAGAATAACATACCCTCCTGAACATGTAATCCTGTCAGCCTCTCTGTCATTATAAGATGGAGCAGTGTCTGTCTCCAAATCTCTCCTCTCTGTGTTCTCTAATATTTAAAAGTATACCTATTTATATCTTAGGTGTCTTCATTTTAGAATTACCGTAGTTCATATATGAAAAAGTAACACTTCTTTTGTTTTTGTTCATTCTAGGGACCTCCCTCTACTTGGCAAAAATACAAGGCCATAACTAAAACGTAAGGGTGCACACATCATGGGAAATTCCCTGACTTAGGACAAGATGGCATATTAAAGTCTGAACATCTTTATCTATTTAGGGTTACCGCAGTATATTATGTACTGAAAGAGTCAGAGCATTGCCTTGAAGCTTGTTTATGCATTATTGTTATTGTATTTCATCTAGGATAATATGGTGTAAACATATTATGAACTGAAAGTAGGTAAAAGGTTGTTGCTTAAAGAAACACGTATGAAAAACAATATGTTCCATTTCTAACACCTTGTCAGTTTGCAATATCTCTTAAAGACAAAGCACACAGTTTGAAAAATACAATATTTACATTTGACCATAACACACAAACAAGCTCTTTCACTGGTAGGCACATACACACATACACACACACACACACAATCACTGTCATGGCTGAAGCTTACCTGAACGGTTTGCCGCGGACTCATCATTGAGTAAACTTTGACCCTGTACCTCACAGTCAGCAGACACATTCCAGCCAATCAGCAGCAGACCCTCCCTCCCAGACCCTCCCACCTCCTGGACAGCTCACCAAGAATGCAGCTTCACAATGGATGCTGTCCAGGAGGTGGGAGGGTCTGGGAGGGAGGGTCTGCTGCTGATTGGCTGGAATGTGTCTGCTGACTGTGAGGTACAGTATCAAAGTTTACTCAATGATGAGTCCGTTTGGCGAACCGTTCGGGACATCACTATATATATATATTTAGAATCTGATCATTGCTGTATAGCATGACATGATCCTATATTTTGGATCTTTATGTTATGTGATATTCTTATAGAGTATACCGACTTAATAAAGATTGTTTTATTACTATTGATGGTTGTGCTCCTTACTCTATTGTTCTTCATGGTCACTCAGCCTGCTGCTGCAAGCCACACAAAGACGCCTATACATCCACTGTACTCTACATATACTTGAGCTGGCTTAAGCTCCATTACATGTGAGTTGGAAATCACACATTGTGTATTGTAGGTTGTTTCATTTGTTAAGATGTGCTGCACTATCGGGTCCTGACTTCTGCTTCTTGTCATATGTACTTACGGATCAAAACTACCATTAGAAACTCAATCTTGTTCCCCCAAAAGGAAGAAAGATAACTATACGTGGGACTGCTTTCTATATTTAGATATTATTTTTTTTTTTGTTCTTTTAATATTGCACTGTTTTCTGACGTAAACTGTGACAGTCCCCTTGTGCCCATTGTAGGTGCAGGGTATTTACAATGTATTTGTATATTGTTAATTGTTTTGTATGCTCTCCTGTCCTGCTGATGCTTGTTACTAACCAAGTGGATTTGGCTATGGAGTCTATATAGTACTCTCTGTGGGTAGCAACAGTTATATACACTACCTGAATAGCAAAGCTTGTTAATTTGCATATTCAAGTAGATTTGCATATTGCTTATTCTGCAGGCTGGAGAGATATTTTGTGTTGGCAATAGACTTCCCCGTCCCCTTGGGGAAGATATGTTATTGTGTTATTATAATTGCCTGTTGTTTTCTGATATGTTTTGTATTTTTATTGAATTGTCACCAAAAGTCACATGTAAGGAGCATTTGGGACAGTCCCAAGAAAAAAAAGAAAGTTTTGTATGTTAGTTGCTTTTGGAATTTGTGTCGGACCTGTTGGCTGGCTGCAGGAACCCTATAGCCCTGGGATAAATCAAAAGAGCTAGGCCTGAGAGCCTCAATTGCCTTTGTAAAGGCAATAGCTATAATCAGACAATAGGCAGTGTTCCGGATACCTGCCTGGAAGAAGAGCTTCATTGGCATAGGTAGAGGGGACGGTACCTGCCTGGAAGGGGAGAGCTGTACAGGTATAGGTAGAGGGGACAATCCCTGCCTGGAAGAAAGGCTGCAGTGGAATAGGCAGAGGGGATGCTATCTGTCTGGAAGGAGAGCTGCAGCCTGGTCAGGTGGAAGGGTGCCTGAGAGACCCTAGTCAAGCTTCCGCGACTGGGGCGGAAGCATTCCAGGGTCCCTGCATGAGGCTAGGAAGCGGATTGGCGGAGATACTCGGACGGAGTACAGGACCTTCGTCACATTAAACTTTTCCCTATACTCTAGCAATTGTTTTGTTGTCTTACTGTATTTGGTAAATTTCACCATTAAGCGCAACCTGTTTTTTTTTTTTCCTTGCTGTACGTTTTCTTTGGGGGTCTTTGAAGGAGTCCCCTTAGCCTAGGTTTGCTGCCATTGTTTTTTATTTGTTCAGTTATTCATAGCTTACCCATCTTTAGTTTTTTCTTGTGATCTGCGAAATTGCCTACTTTTTGAATTTAGCGTCATTAAGGTAAACAACCAGGAAGTAACAGGACTGGTTGTCTGATTGACAGCTGAGGGTGTAACAAGGTTTTATAAATAATAAATGTGCCAATTTCTATTGAAATCTGCACTTTTTGTAAAAATGAAAAAATGGGACACGAGTTGCTTCACTGGCTACAACTCCTCTCAGACCCACCCCCCAGTCCTGATCTTATACCTCCCAATATTTTGAGGTAATCCTTGTTTTGGCTAAAGTGGCCAAAAACCTAAATACATCACTGTGGTAAGTAATGAGAATACAATATAAAGTTTACGCATATAAGAACACACACATACTATGCATAAATAATGTCCCACAACTGCCACAATACACACAAAAATTATGGAATGAAATAAA